AATGTGACTTACTGCTGTTGCGTAGCATTTAGTTCATTCAAAGATTTAAACAAAACAAGTGACGATGTGTTTTTCTTCCATAAAGAACAAAGGACTGTAAAATAAGAGCTCTGTGGTTCTTGGAAGAAACTAGAGAGGTGATAAACTGTGTGGCTGGGGTTGTTTTCTTCTGGCTTTAAGCCAGCAATCACTGTGTGCAACACAAGGAGCTGTCTGGCTGTGTTACCAGATTCTTCTCGTATTCACTACAAGAAACTGTCATACAATAAGAAAAAATACAATTTAAAAGTGACGATCCAAGCCCAGGTTACACGGTTAAAATACACACGAGGTATGTGATGTAGGTTTATGATACCTCTGGTCACAAGATGGGCTCGTTTGTCCAGATTCATGGAGGCAGACTGAAAAGATATTTGTATTTTGCATATATGTATTTATAATATTATGATGCTGTTCCCTGTTCAGAAAAGTCATATTGATATCTTTACCTGAACATCCATTGGATTGGGATTCAAGATAACTGTTACACAGAATGGATTTCTTATTTGGGACTTTAAACTTTAAAAGTCCATTTTAAAGATTTTTTTTTTTTGGCTTTTTTTGTGCCTTTATTGGAGAGATAGGACAGTGGATAGAGCCGGAAATCAGGGAGAGAGAGAGTTGGGAATGACATGCGGGAAAGGAGCCATAAGCCGGATTCGAACCCAGGCAGCCGCTTGAAGGATTACAGCCTCCATGGGGCGCGCACTAAGAACTGCGCCACCAGCGCCCCCCTAAATCCATTTTAGATCTGACATTTTTACCCAAAAGGGCAGGCCACAATCATGCTCAGGAAGTGAGGTACATGTAACCTAAATTGTTGAAACTACTTCAGAAAAATAAGCCAAAAGATTACTTTCACTTAATGAATAGCTCCAAAAAAAAACCTTTAAATTATTTTGTCTGTTGGCCATGTCTTTTGGCAACTCAACACACTATGATACCCCAGATAAAACTCTTTAAAAATACTGACAAAAGTATCCCATATTACAGCTGTGCAAAGGCCAGTAAGTTAAACACACTTTGTTATTTATTGATGACAAAAGCACTCCACCTTGATGCTGGTTGAATAAGATTTTGCCCTCATGTGAACCTTTCCTGCACCTCCACAGTGAGCGGACGTCACAAGTTGTTGACATACCAACTATCAAACTGTCCACTGGGGCCAATTGGATGAGTCTAATAGCTTTAACATGTGGCAAAGATTGTTTTTATTGTGGTGGTGTGCTGGTCGCTTATTGTTTGTGTGGACTACAAACAGCTGAAGGAAGGGCAGGGCTACAGTACAGAGCAGTCACACACACACACACACCTCCCCCCACACACACACACATACACACACACACACACACACACACACACACACACACACACACACACACACACACACAGTCGCAGAGTAGTCTTGACATGAACACATCTGCAGAGCTGCCAGAACTTCAAAGAGGAGGCAACATAATGCATAATGCACTTTTTTCTAACCTGGAGGTGCTGTTTATTTTATAACATACCTGTAATACAAAGTTATCAATACTGCATTCATTAAAAGCCGTAATCAGTATTAATTTATTTGTGGACGCTGAACTGTCATGTAATTATAAACATCTTTAGTATGAAATTGGTCCAAGGCGCTGATTTCCTTTTCTTTTTTATTCTACCTCAAAACATGTTGAATAAAAATTCCCCAAGCACAAAACAACACCAACTCTCCAATGGTCAAAAAAACGTACAAATCTCACCAACACCCTTTCCGTCCTGCACACATTTTCACTTTCTTTTGTGTGTTAATGATCACCTAAAGTAAGTGATAATGGAGGTGAAATAACACCCTCTCCACCTATAAGTCCTCCCACTTCTTGACCAGCCCACTCACAGTTGATCCCTTTCCATTTGGTTATTACTGTTAATGCACAGAGCTGCTGACGTGTGTTACAAGCACACAATACAAAGAGACTGAGACAATGTCATCCTGCTGTTAGAGATGCTTTTTAAGTGATCAATAAGGATTGGAGTGTCATTGATTTAATGGAAACCTTTACTTAAAGCTATTTTGTTCAATCTCTGCAGGACTGAAGTGATTATTGTGAATAATTGTGAAGCTATAGCCTCAGTGTGAGACTGTCGCCACAAAGGAAGAACTGAAGAAATGACTATTCTGTGCAATAGCCTACTATTAAACAAAATGAACACACAAAAACAACAATTACAATCCAACTCCTGCTAGCTAGCTGCTATCTACTAGCTGTAGCTAACGTTAGCTCCAGCACATGACAAAAGTATTTTACTTTCAGCTGCAATGCTAACTTACAGTATAAGTGGAGCTTAGTCTGACAGTCTTCTTCTTTGTCCTCCTTATCTCCATTATTCTCCTTCATGTGTGGCAACATATGGAAGTGGCATAGCACTCTCATGAGAAAAAAAAAAACAGCTCTGTTTTTCTGAAATCAAAGATAATTATTTTGAAAATACTGTATACGTTTCGAGGTACTTGTATTTTTGGGCACAACACCGATACCTCAGTTGCATTTTGTGGGGATCCAGTATTTTCAGCAATTGCCTTATTGTCTCTTCAGTCCCCATATAGCCATCCTATATGATTTCAGATGCATCAAGTTTTATCAGCGAAACATGTCTTATCAGTGTAGCTGAATCTGACAGATCAGAGTAGGGATTCTGTCTGAACTGAAAAGTTGGCTGTGCAAAGTCGACAAACTAATCAATACAAAATCATAATTAAACTGTCTGGGAATGTTTGCTACTTCAATTAAGAGGTCTAAATGAGAGCTTCTGAGAGATTTCGAGGAACCACTCTCTCGTGAATTTAGAAAAACAGAGCAGATTTTTTTCTCTCCTTTGAATTGAATACGCTTCCGTAGCAACGAAATGTCTTCACCATTTTAGCACCCTCATTGCTGAAATGAGAACAGAGTGATTGTAACAACTGGTATCATCCAGTCTCCCCAGTTTCTTAGTGATAACAAACCTAAAGTATTCCATAACCAGCTGCTTAGTATGAGTTTCCTTCTGTTGTCCTGAACATTCAAACACATTCGTATCAAATAGCACAACAAGCAGCAAAGATCATCATCACTCACACTACTTAAACGTTTTTATGTAAATATGAGGTGGTCAGTTTCTCACAGAACTATTTATAAATCAGAGCAGTGTCTATATGTATACTTCACATTACTCCATAGATCATTTTGATCACAGCACACAGCGCTCAACTTATTGCAACAATATTTGTTACAGATGACGCAAAGACAAATCAGCTACAGTACATCTATCATCATGTTTGTTTTCAAGATCATGTCAGTCTGTGGAGTGTAATATTTATTATATTTTATTTTCATTGCTCAGCAGCAGAGATTGGGATGGAAACAATTTGAAGGAAATACAAAATTATGGGAATCTAATATTCATGACAACTTATGATTAAAAGTTTTTATTCATTGGTTTCTCCTAAATCACTATTGATCTTTTAGTGGCCACTAACTTGTAATGAGGTGGTGAGCAGCCTCAAACAAATGTGTATGTGTGTGTGTGTGTGTGTGTGTGTGTGTGTGTGTGTGTGTGTGTGTGTACATTTTAATGGAAAACTTAAGTATGACTTGCTAAAGGTTTAACAATAGATCACCTACAGTACGTCCTTATTGTCATTCAATCTATATATTGTCTTTTGAACTTGTGTTCTTTTGGATAGAATAAAGACTGTTGATCTTGACTCCCATAATTTATTCTTTAGGACTGGATTTCTGCCAGTCATGCCATCATGGGAGAAACTGTATTATTAAGGATCTCTTTTTGACTCAGCTGACTTTTAAATAGTAAGAACTGGACAGGGAACACAGGAGCAGGTGGCTAAAACTGAAAAAAAAATGCTTAAAATCATCTTCAAATTGCACTGTATGGCTTCATTGTTGTCTTAAATACTGTTCTTTGTTTAGGAATAATAGGTGTGTGGTTTAAATAAATTAGGTCAAATTAACAGGCATTATGGTCTTAAACCAACACATTTCCCTCCTGATAATTATATGAAACTAAATCATGCTTAAATAGCAGTGATCGCTCAAACAGTTGGTCAAGTTTGCAGCATCACATCCTGCCTGACTGAACTGGGTGTAACTGAGTTGAGGCGGGGAGAAGAAACCACAGCAGCTCTGGAGAGTCTGTCTGGGAGGTGCAGCGTTTGATCCCACAAACTTAATGAAGTTGGATTATTGAAGACAGAAAAGCGAAAATATTGTTTACAAAACTGTTTCACTGAATTATTTGGATATTTTGCCGGCGATGTTCTGGAGAAACTTTTATTGGACGATGTATTTGCTGCTCTGGGAGGTTCTCCCATGTATGAAGTATATGTTGTTTTTTATTCTTATAGGAAATCTCGTCTTATTCCACTGCCTCCAATATTTATGCCGTAGCTGGTAATTAACATAATCTTGCATTCCTGTTAATTTCGACGATCTGAAGGACAACAAGGACTCCGGATTGCCACCCAAACGCAGATTCTTTTTTGGCACTTTCTGAATGCAGCTGTAATCACACAGGGGAGCCCAAAGTGCTTAAATGGGTCCATCATGAGCACGAGACAATCAAGCTCCTTTATGCCTCGAGATCAGCTGCAGTTTCTTCACATTGTCTGTTGTGAATAGACCGAACTCCAATTGAGCCTCTTCACTTTGGAGATTTTTCGATTTTCGATTATACAGCTATTGAAATTAGGATGTGCTGCATTTTCACTCTTAGCTTGGTGGCTCGATTGTGAGCTTTTTTTTCTCTATTTTTTGATTGCCAGATGAAATTGACACTCGTGTTGCCACTTATCAAGCGAAGCATTTCAATCCAGCGCTAATTGCAGATATAGTTCCATCCTTTCTTTTCACCACGTTTGATTGCATGGGAATACTGCCTCCCATTGCGCACTGGGAGAATGATCGATCAGATACAGGGTTTTTTTTAATTCTAATTGCATCAAACTGTCTTTTGTTGCCAGGGTTTAAATGCAGGAGAAACTGTTCTTCGTTGTTTTGGACCGGATATAGTGTGGGTTGGGGCAGAGATGCGTAATGCGCAGCGAGAGCTCCATCTTCTCTCCAAATAGGCAGCGTTCAAGACCCGAAAATGGTGAGTCAAAAACATCTGGACCACTCTGCTTTGCAGCATTTGGATATCTTTGTTTTTAATCTGTTTTAGGTCTCGTCGATGCCTGTTATTGCTCTCTTTATAAACTTTGTGCACGCACACTAACCCTGGCAGGACTCGGTGTTTTGGCGCATGTTTAAGGAGACTGCACGTCAAGGCTGTGCGCGTTTATGATCGGGGATGTTGATAGAGTGAAACCATGAAACTCAATTTATCAACCTCTATTATGCGGATTAGAGTTTATGTAACGCAAGATTTTTTGAGCTGCAATAAATCTTCGTTTGAAAGGAAAAGGTTAAAAATGAAATAGAACAAATATCTTGTAAGCAAATACATGGGTGTTTGAACAGGTGATGTACCAATATGGAGAAAATACAACTTTTATTTCTTCTTAGAAAGCCTATAGGCCAAGTATTTTTTTCAAGAACTTGATCCACATCTTTCCACCTCATTGCTGTTGAAGGATTAGATATTTCACGGGGTATTTTTTCCAGTAGGCCTAGGACGTTAAAATAAAACAACGATGTATGATAAATAAAATGTGAAAAACCTAATCTATGAAAGAAGAAGAAACTCACTCTCAACTCTGATGTTAATCCGTCCTTTTCTCTGATGCAGTCGAAGACGGAGGTGAAGAAGGAGTCCGGGGAGAGCAGTCCATCGGAGGCCGCCTGTCTCTGCTCTCCTACTGCGGCCAAGAACCAGTGCGCGAGCTGCGGCCTGGAGATCCACGACCGCTACCTGCTTAAGGTGAGAAACAATGAGAAATATGTTACGTTTCAAGAAGAATATAGCGAGTCCATAGAGCCCGTATTGACTGATTGATTGATTTAATTCTGTTTATGCCTTTACACACAATAGATTATTTTAATTTAAAAAAAGAAGAAGAAACAAAGAAGAAAAGAAAGCTAAATAGGCCATGATCATTTGGCGCATGCATTGCAGAGAGTTTCCTTTTATGTTGTCTACACGGGTGTTGCTCTATTTTTTTATTTTATTTTTACAAAAAAACGTTTTTTAAGCTTTTTTTTTTTTTCATTTAACTTCACTTTCATTTAATTTATTCAGTTAAAATAAGATTTATGCAGGGTACTGTTTTTGCTTTTACATTTCGGAGATTGATTATGGGCCATGCATCCACTGACGCGCTTCGTGTGTCTGCACAGGTGAATAACCTGAACTGGCACCTGGGCTGTTTGGAGTGTTCAGTGTGCAGAGCGTCTCTGCGCCAACACAACAGCTGCTACGTCAAAAACAAAGAAATCTACTGCAAACTGGATTATTTCAGGTAAACACGCGTTGTTGTGGTTTTTTATTTTTTGAGAATTTAAAAGTGAAACTCCATGGAGCCTATTTAAAGTACAATCTCACGTTAACGAATCGAATCCATAGACAAAATGGTATCTACATTATTTTTTATAAAATTGTTTTTATTTTTCTTAGTAGGCTTGGCTTGAATTTGGTCGCCTATAGGCTATATTCACATCTTTTTAATTGGGTCTAATTAATCAAATTAGCCAAATTAAATAACGTATTTGATTAAAGTTAATTATAAAATCCTATCTTTTTATTAAGCTTTAGAATATTTGTATTTTATATATCTTCTTTTAACCCGTCTGTATGCGTTTAAAGTTTATTCTGAAAAAAAACAAAACAATTGTAAGTTGTCCACACAATCAATCCTCAAGGTTGATTCTTTTTTATTTCCTTAAACTGTAGATCTCATCAATTAGACCATATCGCAGGGTATAGGGTCAATCAGTTTCCGAAAATCATATTGATCCCTTCTGAATTTAGGATTTTAATTCAGCATTTAAAGAGCACCATTCCTGTTATTTTTTTAAAATCGTAAAAAGACGTGCAGGCAGAGGCGGTTCGAAAAATAAAACCTTGATTGACTTTTAAACGTGCCAGATGATATTTTAATGCATTTCTACCTGAACATAAATAAATGGTAACTTTCAAGTGAAAGCTGTAACAAATGAAGAACAACTTAAAAATATTACTTTGCCATGTGATGAATCTTTGGACATACTTTGATTTATTTTACTTTATTTCCGAGTGTTTGAACAGCTGATATAAACTAATTTTCGCTGTAAATATGGTCCGTTTGATTGACCACTATGAGCATTAAGTCCTCAAGATCCTTTGAGAAATAACTGTATCTGTTCCTGTGTTCACACTCATCAGACTATCAGAGCAGCCTCCTATAAGCCACACCACATCAGTGCACAAACTGCTGGATAACTTCCCTAAATGTCACAATGCACGTCAGTGAATTTCCACATTTGATTGATGCAGATTAGTGAAAGGTTAATACTCCAATCCTCAAGGTTTACTACTTTATTGGTTAATTTCATAGCCTCTTTTTGCAGAGGGATCCTGCATGAAAATATAGCTCAAGAAGCTTATGTTTTAGTTCACACAGGCTTTGTCTACAACGTACTTCTTCCTGAATCAGTTTGCCTTCAATGCAATAAAACAGGAAATATGACAATGAAGGCTTGATTTCCAGTGGTGGATCAACAATTCTTCACAGTGCAGGAATTACTTTAACATGAGCAGTGAGACGATTGTGAACTGTGTTGTGTCCTGGGTTTTACTTCCCAGGTGACTGTTGGTACTATTATTATTTAGTTATAATATAATATATAATAAAAGATCCTGGAAATAAACATGTATCAAAGTTAATGCTGTGGAAAAATAAAGCATTAAAGTGCACATAACACTGTGATTCTTTTGCAGGTGAAGCAGAAGGTTCTGCTGTTGGTTTGAAATACAGTTGAGTTTTAGTATTTCTAATCTGGAGATAAAATAAGGCTGTCCAAAGCTGCCTGCCACAATAGACGAAAAATAACACTTTTAACTGCAGATACTGCAAACAATACAAACAAAACTGAAAGATCATTAGACATTTAAAGTTTATATTTTCTAATTCTGTATTAGTTTTTCTACATTTAGATATCTCCAACATCAGTTTGCTGTGGTGCTTTAAAGCAAGGGTAGAAATATACAAATATGGTAGAGGGTTTGGTTGGCAGATGATTAATATTTAAAGCAGTCTGCGTAGGATTGGGACATTCCAGCCTTTCCCCAAAGCTCAGTAACCTGCAGTCCATCCTCACCTTCCTGTTTCATCTTGTTCACAGTAGGTTTGGCACCAAGTGTGGTCAGTGCGGCCGGCAGGTGTTCGCCAGCGACTGGGTGCGACGGGCTCGAGGCAGCGTGTACCACCTGGCCTGTTTTGCCTGTTTCTCTTGTAAGAGGCAGCTGTCCACCGGGGAGGAGTTTGGCCTGGTGGAGGGCAGGGTACTCTGCCGCAGCCACTACGACGTCATGCTGGATAACCTGCGCAGGGCTGCAGAGAATGGTAACACACCCTCTGATGGTCTCTTGATGATACAGTTTGGATTAGTTCGGACCTCAGTGACAAAATATTCTCGTAACCATTTATCACTCAATCTCTAAAGGTTATGATGCTCCCTTTAATTTCCCCATAATGTCCTTAACTTTCTGTATCACTTCCTAAGATGCATAGGAAAATCAAACGTTACATGTAAAGACTCTCCTGTGACTCATTTTAATCAGGTAATACAAAAAAATCTGATCATTTACATCTTTTTATTCACCTCACATGAGGTTTAATAGGGACCCGCTGTAAGGTTTGGCTTAGCTGGAAAAACAATCAGCAAAAGTTCACACAATCTGTACTCAAGTCAAGGTACAGATATTTGCATAAAAAAGAGAAGAGAGTACGGATTCAACTTTTGTTGGGTAAAAGAGTATAAATACAGACTTTAAAATGTAACAATAGGCTATAAAAGTAAACAGGATCCCCAATAGAGAACATATCTACCAACTGTTTGTTTCTAAAGCTAACTGCTTATGAAACAGATTGAAATAAGTACTGATGCCTTGAGCCACAAAAACAAACAAGACAATCACAGAGGAGATTTTGGGGGGATTCAATCCCCAGTTCGATTCCCAGCTCCTGCAGTTACACGCTGAGGTATCCTTGGGCAAGACAATGAACCCCAAATTGCGCCTGCTGCTTTGCCAGCGGCATGTGAAACGACGTTGAATAAATTAGTACTGATGAGTAGGAGGGCACTTTATGAAGCCGTGTAATCAGTGTGTGAATGTGCTGAGACGTGTAGTGGGTAGTGTAGACGTCAGTCGTCTCATATGCATAGGTCAAATACAAACACCTTCAAAGAGGCCCTCGCCCTCTCACAAACACACACACTTGGCGTCACAAAGAAAAACTCAGCTCGCTGGCAACCTAAGTACAACAAAGAGCTTATTCCCTGGTCGATTGAGATCCGCAGCTATTTCCTGCCAACGTTTTCCTTGTTCATATGTTTTGTGAACATCATGTTTCGTGATAGGAAGGTACAGACACATTCAACAGGCATGCCTGCTGTTGCCATTGTACTTTTAGGTGTCTACCATTTTGCACAGGCACAATCAGTTAAAAAAAAAAAAAAAAAGCCCTGCAGTTGGGGAATAGGCTTGTGGCTCTGCTTCCACTGTGCCATTGTATGCAGTCGTACAACCAACATTTCAAACAAACCCAAATTGTATCTGACCTGTCAGGAGCAGCTGATTCGCAGTGACTGGCCGTTGTGTACTACATGGCAAACAACAAGCATTGGAACTTAAATTGGACCCCACTTCAAAACCGCTGTGCTAGTCAGAAATGATCAGAAAAAAGGACTCAATTTGAACAGTTTATGAAGAACTACATTGTCCACAGGAGGCGCCAAAATTGACACAAACCAAAAGTTCCTCACAGGAGCTTTAAAGGCTAGAAAGACGATAATTTGAGTAAATGGTTTTGAAAAAGAATACTAATGCCAAGTACAGATACCTGAACAAGTTTTTGTACTGCAGTACTCCACACCTCTGGTTACATGACAACAAGCTATGGGAGAGGTAGAAACAAAACAAAAAAAAGTCTGTCATTGTTTATTTCAATCCTAAAATCTATATCACATGTATTCACTTCTTTCAATCATATACTATAGTTAGTGTTCTAGTGTTAAACTGTGCTCTCTGCTGTGCTGTCTATGAGGAAACGTAGGCCATCATGGTATAAATACTTTGGACTGCGCGGCTGTTGGCAAGAAAACGTTTCAATTTTGCTACAGAGATGTTTGGACAAATGGTCAATTTCCTGACACAGACTCAAGCTGCGACAAGACTGGCCAATAAACTTGTAACTGCGCTGTTTGGTCTAACTTCACAGCATAATGATGAGTGTGATCATGCTTTCTTAAAGGGACAGGACTAACTTTGGAGGGAGCGCTACCCTCTGATCAGGACTGCCAACCAAAACCTGCAAAGAGGGCACGGACTTCTTTCACAGCTGAGCAGCTGCAGGTACACAGTCTGCTCTTGTTTGTTGTGTGTGTGCATGTGTGTGCAATGTGTGTGTGTGCGTGTGTGTGTGCGTGTGTGTGCGTGTGTGTGTGTGTGTTGTGCAGTATGGGGTTACCTTTTTCTCGTCATAGCCTCTGTATATTTTACTATGTTGTTTGGTTTCAGGTGATGCAGTCTCAGTTCGCTCAGGACAACAACCCTGACGCTCAGACGCTCCAGAAGCTGGCAGAGATGACGGGACTGAGCAGGAGAGTCATACAGGTAGGAAGTTATGAAATGCAATATTACATCACAATTTCCACACGGCATGGGTGAGAGTCTGTCAGGGGCTATTATATTATTAATGTTCAAATTAAAAAAGTAAAACATTATTAAATAGTTGTCAACAACAATTTCAAAATGGAAGATTAATTTTAGGCTTGCGATGCTTACAGGTCATACAAACTGTAAGACGTGACTCACAGATTACTTTAGATGCTTTGTTTTAAAAGATGTCTAAAGCAAAGGATTAAAAAACCCTTCAGGAATAAGCACTTTTTCCAACTCAAATACTTTTTTTTAAGGCTGTTAATGTTTAGATTTTGGATTACAATTTCCTGCGTTTATCATGGTGCAGTGAAATAATCTGTGAAATTCATTCGGACGCATGGTGCCTTAAATAAAGGTGGTCTACCAGAGACCACACATATTAAAGTATACAGTATTTCAAAAGAAAAAGGGCTTGTGACTCATCCGATTAAGTCATTTTAAACACTTAAACAGTCTGATGAAACACTTACTCAGGTATATCTGTGGAGCAGCCAGCAGTCTTGTACTGAAATGTAAGATTGATTATAGGTTTAAATTAAAAACTAGACCTACAATGGGATCTGTCCCCCCCTTCAAGTGAGGCCATGGCCTGACCTTGTAGGTCTATTGAGCTGTCAATCAAGTTATCTGGTCCTTGTGAATAGAAAACACACACTTTGTTTAGGATCCAACATTTGATCATTATTTCAGAATGAAATGAGGCTGTCAACTTAAAAGGGCTTAATAAGTAGTTGTAATGCTGTTGTAATGAGAAAAAGCCAGTCGGTGATGAATTCAGGAAAAAAGACATCACGAGATTTGAGAAAGAAACGTATAGATACATTGATATTGTATCTGATCGACTAAAAGAAATTTAGAATGAACAACCGCCTCCTAAAGTTACAGATACACCAGGCATAAACAGTGCAACAACAAACTGTATGATCTTTAATTATATGATTATTGCTTTGAGGTAAAGCTCATTATTTAGGATTTATGGATTATGGCTCTAATTTCTTTCTACATCGGTGTCTTGATTTATTAGGTTGGTCGATTGTGAAAATGCTATCACAGTTACTCAGAGTCTAAAGTGATACATTTAACATTCTCAAAACCATCATATGGATGTTAAAAATGAATTTAAAAGAAGAAGTCAAAAGTTAAATATCAGTTTAGGCTAAAAAGGGACTTCACCAGACACATGGATAGACATAAAAAAAATAATAATTACAGCTCCTAGCCATTAACTAAAGGGGTTAAAGTGAAGAATTCAAGCCTCTTAAACCACATGTGTTAAAGATATAACACACAGAGTCTGGTAAGTCAAATGATTTCCACAGTGTTTGCTGTTTGCTGCAGGCTCATCTCTTCTGTGGTATCTCTCAGGTTTGGTTTCAGAACTGCCGAGCGCGACACAAAAAGCAGCCTCATCAGAGCAGCTTCTCCCAGAGTGCTCCGCTGTCCAGGATGCCTCCATCGCTGCCAGACGACATCCACTATTCACCGTTCAGCAGCCCAGACCGACCACATCTACTCGCCCTGCATGGATACCTGGACGGTGAGTGCTTTCAGCCAATTTCAGATTGAAAAATTGCACTGTCTACTTCACTTATCTGATAACTCAAGTGAGTTAGGTTATAGAATAAGATGATTTAGATCTAACATAAAGAAAAACAAATTCATCCATTTTTTTAATTATGATGCTAGAAATATATAACATATAACACACACAAACACTACCAATCAATGGATATACAGTAAAGTAGTTCAAAAAGATGTCACCTGGCAGCAATTTATTTTAATGTAAAAGCACTTTGTGATACTTGTTTTATTAAATGTGCTATACAAATAAAGTTTGATTGAAATAAGCTCCATCTCCACCAACTAGCATGTGAAACTCTACTTAAAACATTTTTTTGACAATCATTTCAGGGATGCACGAAAAGCAAATGAGCCATTTATCTACATCCTTAGTATTAATTTGCTCAGTATTTTTGTTTTTATACTTTGATAGTGTAACTATACTTTGGTCTTTTTACAACGTGGATGTATGGAATACAGGTATATTGCATTGCAGCATTGGTACGTTAACATTATTTCAATAAGTAAATAACTGGAAAAGAGGAATAGAGAATAAAGAACAACAATAAGACCGAGAGGATTTTTTAATGATTCTCTAAAATAAATGTGAGTGATTAAAATCAACCACAAAAATGTAAAATGCTTACAAGAAATAGTGAAATGTGTTAAGGTTGAGTTTTCAGCAGGACGGCCTTGCAGTTTATTTCGTCATAGCGACAGAAAAAACAAACACAAAAGAAACTGAATATGAAGCTCTTTATTGTCATTTTACCGAAATGCAACAACAATTTTAACAAACAACAAAATTACAAGACGCTGTAAATACTGGAGTGCAAATATGCTAATTTGGGGAGAGATCTGCTGTATAATGCTTCTGTATTAGCCTTTTTCCTTTTATTTGTTAGAGTTTTTGTGTGCCTGAATGAAGGGTTAAGTATAGAGGATTTCAGTGTTGTATAAATGTAAAGCCCTTTGTTTCAGCTTGATGTGATTACACTACAATAACAGTGATAGGAGTTAAGTGTTGAACACCTGAGGATATATTCTTTCCTTTACATTATTTGATTCCCACAGTGATACTCTTCCACTGTGGCTTCACTCTTTATTTGGATATACCAAAAGTTTTTACCCCTCATCAGCAGCATCTTTTTAACTAAATAACAGCAACATGCTCAAATCGCTCCACATACTTATGCTTTTTCTCTTGACTTCTTCTTCTTCTTCTTCTTCGTGCAGCTCATCCCTTCTCTGTTCTCGCTGCTCCGGGCCACCTGACCCACCCGTCCATCCAGTTACCACAACTCCCAATCAGCCGCTGACCTCCAACGTCGACTCTCTCCTCATCACTGCTCTGATGTTGTGAAGTAAAAATCCATGTGGGACGTACTTTCAGTAATCTGCTCTGCTTTGGAAGTTGAGTCCCCGGCAAACAGCAGAGGCCTTGACGTTTCTGTTTTAAATCAAGCTGGATTCTTTGCCTTGAGACTGCTGAGCTGAACTTTAAAGACAGCAAACTGTGGAGGAATTCTCGCCTCCAGGACAAGCTGGGAGTTTTTTTTTTTTCATGATGCAGAGAAGGAGACCACTTATTTAATTTTCCTCTTTTGATGGGACACAAAACATTGCATCAGGTCAGAATTGTTTTCCTTTGTTTACCCGCCAATGCATGGTATTTTATTGTGCTGCTGCAATAGGAGCTTTTAAAAAGAAGAAGAAAAGGAGTGTTGTAGGACTTTTAACAGTAAAACCTCAGCATTTTGTGTATCGTGATAAGCAAATTGCAGCTTTGCTGTTTGTTGTTGTGTTGTTGTCAGAAAATTGAATTTCTTATTTATTCAGAACAAAGCTTCACTTTGAAAAAAGCACTTTTAAATGTGTTTAAACGTGGAATGAACAGTGATTGTACATTGTTAATACTGCAACGTTTAATAAAAATGTATCAGAGCTGTATTATAAAAGCTGCTGTTTGAATAATTACGAGGTGAACGGTTGATTAATTTATGCAGAGGGCAAGAAGGGAAGTGTTTACAAGTGTATGTGTGGCTCAAAATGTTAAAAAGAACTCAGATTTACAGAGACATATGAATGCATCTCCACAGGAAGCACTTTATATCAGGGAACTTTTTTTGTTCTAAAAGCAAAAATCAAAAGGTCACCTGGTCAAGTACCTACAGGAACCTGTTATTGACCACATTATCCTGCCACAAACCTCTAATTTACTTGCTGTACTTATCAGGAAATGTGAACAATCTGCCGTGAAAGAGATTACGGTTACGGTATACACTCACAGCATGGCCATTGATTCGGCAGTTTGTAGACTCTTATGAGGCCCCTTAAAACAGATTATCTACAGTCCTTACATTGATTGACAGCACTTAAGGAGCTACTTTGTAAAGAATGAAAGCGATACATTGAGTTAAAGTGTATCATTAGATCTGGATCTTCCAGACTGGATCAATGACTTTTTTTTTGACCACTGCTATTAAATTAAAAGTACATTTTGAGAGTGTGCTACATCTGCATTTTGTATTTCAAAATATGTGCTGATGTGGCTATAAGACATTTATATGACATTTTAAACAAATCTGTTCATGTGTATTGCTTGGTATTACTTCAACACCACCCCATCCCCCGCCCCCCAACCAGAGACAAAGTTTGAGCTGTAGTATTAAACAGCATAAAATACATCGTGGGCCACTTTCACTGGATGTGCCCACAATCAGCTGTGACTCATCAGGCAGAGTTCTGTTTCATTTACAGCTGAAAAGAAAAGCTGGTTACCTCCAGCAGCTCTCCTAACAAATGATGCAGATTCTGACTGAAACAGACTGTATGACTACAGTAATATTACAACAGAGCTTTGCCCTTTTTCTGTCGCAGTGACTGTGGTCACGGCTGTGGAAAATAAGTTAATTGTAATACTGTTCTGTTCATGCTACTGTCTTAACATCTGGGAATGCTGGCAAGTGGCAGCACATCTACTATGTCTGATGTAAGAAAATCTGATGTGGCTAATGATAAAAGGAGCAGAGAGGACATGTCAAAGTACAACTGTGTCCACAGCATCATAGATTTAAAAAAAAAAAAATACATTTAAGCCCAACAAAAACCAAATCCACAGATTCAAACCAGCTCAGGCTAGGAAAAGTAGTTGCAACTTTGCTAGCAATTTGTTTAAATGCAATTTGTTGTTACCCCCCATTTAGCATCATTACAGTGTTAGCGTTCAGCCTCCCCTGTGTGTATTTCAAGTGAGATGTTTTAAAAATTAGAAAAGGTCTCCATTTATCTTGATTCAAAACAGCCATATAGCCAATGCAATTTGTCATTGCAGATAGTTTAGACAGAAAAACACAAGATAAAAGGGCAATAGATCTATATGGGCTATTTCAGCTCAATTCGGGTGTTAAACAACATTTCAGTTCTTTATAATTTTGAAGGGGCAAAGAAGATATAAATAAGAATACAAAGCTCACGTTTTGCCCGGAACCTTGTTCTTGAGAATACTGTAGGCTAAAGCCTACTATCCGGTCAGAGTTTCTGTCGAGTTAGCAGAGTAACTTACAAGTAACTGGACATAACCAAGTTGAGCTGTCAGGCTTTTGTGGGAAATAAAGAACTAGAATACACGAACGGACTGAAATCAAGGAAGAAAGAGGGAAGGGCTGCCGCCAAACGTCACTGAGTTTCAACAGAAATGTCCTGTCTCGTAGGCCGTCGGCATTTTGGATTTTCCGCGCCACATAAGGAAAAGGTGGAGGTGCTTTAGTGACGTGTTTCGGTGCGTGAAGGTACCAACGACATTACAGGTGACTGCACACTCTGTGGTAGTGATGACAGATAAAAATCAAGTCAGTCCATTAGTTTTTTTTTTTTTTTTTTTTTAAATATAGATTCTGTAGGCTAGTTCTTTTGTTACCCTTTGTCCAAGCAGTTTGGACAATTGGCTGTGTGCAGGAAAGCATGTATGGAGCAGAAGAGGCTAGGCTCAATCAGGTCTCAATCCGCCATATTGCATTTTTTTTAAGGCCTACAACTTTATTGTAAACATAGACAATGTTACAATGTTAGATTTGACAAACGAACATGCCAGGGGCTTAAAAAAATCAAGACAAGTAAAACATAGGGAAGTGTAGACATGTAGGCTAAGGATCATCAGTTTACACAATTAAAATAAAAACATATCGACATCCACCTGATGATGATGTAATCACGCTTATCAAATAGGCTACTATCATGTGCAGCTCACAATACTGGTACAACAACAACAATTTATGGAGTAGCCTACTGTTTCCTCATGATATAGGGAGCATAGGTGAAAAGAGTCAGTCCGAGCTATGAACCTTGTGGAACTCCATGGCTAACTTTTGTTTGCATAGAAAACTTAGGCTAACTGAGATTGATCTGATGAATACAACTCAAAGCAGTTCCTGTAACTCCAAGTAGCCTAATTGTTTTTGTATTTGTAATTGGATGTGATGGTCAACTGTGTCAAATACCAGGACAAGCAAAGAGAGAAGTCAACGCTTAGGCCAGATGTTGATCAGTTTAGCTAAATTTAGGTCTCAAAGGTGGTGACACCATGACTATTTGCCTTGTTAGAGCATTGATTTATGATAAAACCATTTAGGCTGTTTCAGCAGGCTCCTAATATCTTTCTTTGTAATTCAGTGTGCCATGTACTTTTATTTGAATTTTCAATATAAAGGGCAAACATCTTTTCTTCGAGTTCTCAAAAAAAAAAGCCTACAGAAGATTTGAATGTTGGCACCCTGTTCCATAACTTTTAAAAGTAAAAAATAACATACACATAGTTTAATGTTAATTGAAGTATATTAGTGGATATAAAAAGGGTAAATAAATTATATTGATTTGTTTGATTTGTGTTTTCACACACATACTTTATGGGAAAATTAACATTCACACTCTTCATGGTATATACAGTATACTTGACCCTATAGTTATTGTTTGTTGGGGGGGTCAATAAGTTTGTCTGAATGTAACCCTCAGGATAGTGGTAAAATATATGATTGCACATGTTTCCTCTGTTGATTTGAAAAAGTGGGCATTCAAATCATAAGACTGTGATCTCCTTGTTCAGATCTGAATGATTTGGAGGAGCAGAAAGGTCAGAATTACGACAGCTTGACCCAGCAACTCAGAGTAGCAGAACTACAGCATATGAAAACAGCTCACACTGGTTGCTGATCCACTCTGAGATTAAGTTAAAATGCCCAAATGTAGACTGACATAAGTGTGTTGACTATCTGTATGTTCCTGTAGTAGATTGAATATCTGTGTAAGAGGGAGTAAGCTTTTATTTTTTTCTAAAGTTTATCTTTGAATCAAACTTTTTTTTTCCCGAATCAATCACTTCCAATCAATTCAATTTAGGAGGAAAAAACTGCTCTGTAAAAGCAATGCTCCTCCTTGTGAAATCTGAGAACAAAAGCTAGTTTCATGCTGAGCAGAGAGATGATTATCAGGCTGACACAGTTTGGGCCACCTGCCAGCACTACACTGTAAAAACCTGCATTTCTTCCCCATTAAAGACCCTATGAGATACAAGCGCTTGAGGCAGCATTTATGCACATCTCTCCCAATGCACAAGCATCCCTTGGCATTTAAGCCGCCCCATTTTGTCATCATGTCATGCGTCTGCCTGGGTGATTGGCAGCTTCAAGTAGTTACAGATGAAAGCGGGCCCCCCATGCTAATGAATAGGCCCCTGATTGCAGAGCCGCTCGCTCTCTGAATTACAGCTTCGGCCGCCTAATGAGTAGATACACTGCAGTGCCCCTTGTCTCTGCGTATTCACGTTTCTCTCCTTCACACTGATGAGCTCTCCTCCTGCATAACAGTCAACAAAACCTCTGTGGAAGATTGCAATGTGGCCCATCTTCATCACCCCCCCTCCCCACTCTTCTTCTCAAGTTTTTTTCAGATACTGCCATATGCTGGCAGAGTCTCCTGATTTTTTATGGATTTCTTTTACCGCTGTACTTGAGGACATTTTTTGACTAAACTGATGGTGCCATGCAAAGAATCTTTATGGCTCATGAGCTCAATAATATCTTACTTTAATCTCTTAAATAGGAGAAGTTCACTAAATAAAAGAAAGGATCTGTAAGATTCTGAAATATTTAATAATACTGTTTCACTTAAAACACCATAGGCTATAGACAATCCAATGACATGAGATATTTTGGTATTGCTACACCCCACCATAAGGCTACCCTGTGCAGCAAACAACAAACCACATATTGACCAAATAAAACATTCAAAACACCTTAACCAAGTCCAAACCAAGGGATTTATGACAAAACACAACAGACAATCCCTGACTGAGTAGCACAGCAGTCCCAACTTCAAAAGCCTCTCCTTCCCTGAACGCAGCACTGCTCTTTTGAGCTCTGAGGCCAGGTGTGCCTCGTTGTTCAATCATCTTCACCTGGGCTGGAAACAACAGAAAGGGAGAAGGGACAAACAGCGCAGGGAAGTATACAGCCGCAACAGTATTGACTGTTTTGTCTTGATCTGCTTTTGTAATACTATTTTCATTTGTAATATAATTTTTACAATCTGTTTTGTTTTGCCTTCACAAAATGCACATGAATGTAATTCTGTAGGTTTACTTTTTGACTCCAATTTAAATTAAATATCTTTAACATTAAGAAATCCCTGAGACAGAATTGTTGTCCTCTGAATTAGGGGATGTCTCCTTTCTTATGCCTGATTGTTTAAAATGTTATTTCAGGCTTCTTTGCTACTCAGCTTACACATTCTTTGAGTGCTATCCTCCCCAAAATCAAAATGCTCCTCACAATCTAAGAGTGAATCTTGCTGTTAAAAAACTGAAAAGAGGCCCTATATGTCCAAATACAACAGTGTTAGCGTCACTTGACATGAGTAAGATTTTTTTTGAGGCCAAATGTCCTGTGCCTACTCAAACTGAACCACCATGAATTCACATTGTGGCTAAGAGAGTTTAATTTGAATGTGGATGTTACACAGCCTGCCATTTGACCCTGGGCTAAAAAAGCTCAACACAACTAAATTCAGTATCAAGTTTCTAAACAAAGACAACACAAACAATGAATTGCTCTGACTCTGGACTGTGGGTCTGTAAATAGTGTGCAATAGAAATTCAGAGGAACAAACAGAGAAACTTTGTTCGTGTGTAAACTGTGATTGGTACAGTAGCACATGTGGGCTGGAGGAGGAAATAGCTGAAACTTATGATTCACTTCACCCATGCTGGCTGCCAAACGTGCACTGTGCAAAAATAAACACAGGACCCACGGCAGGTTCCCAGAATATGTTTATGTTGGGGGAACGATAACATCTTTAGAAATATCACTGCACTTTAGTTTGATTTATAAGAAGGTGGAGCAGAATTGAAATTCCTCTTTTGAAACATGTTAGAGGCAGAAAGGACTGTTATTGCACAGATCTATTCAGAATTTCATATATAAGTCTTCATGCTGTGAAAGTCAAAAATTAGCTTTTAATAGCTTAAGAGATTGCCAAATAATTTTTAAAGTCACATTGTCCTTTATTTAAAGAAAAAAAGATTTTCAGGGTCTGAACTTATACTGTATAAAATCAATAATTAAGAAAATAGAAATTACTTAATGTTCAGGCAACTCCCAATAACAGACAGACACTCCACCCCCCTCAAAGTAATAATACACTTATATAATATGTTTTTACTAGTCACTGCCCATCTGTATGAGCATGTAAAAATCTGGAATCTAATAAGTAGCCGACATATTAAACTTTGTATCAGTTGATTTAAGTTAAATCTGAAAAGATAGATATTTTCTCTGTCAGCTCTGTACTGTGCATATAGTCTGTTGTTCAATACAACATTAGGAAGAGGCCTATGTGTTTGTAACTGATCTCTATAATATGTTATCTGATTTGTCCACAAGGTGGCAGTATGTCTATGCATTCTTATTTGGAGTCTTTTGCCAAATAAGGGCTCAAATGTAATGCCATTATCTACTGAATAAAAGCATTAATCCCTATCTTGAAAGGCATGACAACAGATGACGATGCAAATATATTAAAACATATTTATAGATAAACCTATCACAACAGTGAAGAAGAGGTATTATAAGTGAAATTCCTGTAGGATTGTAATTGAAAGTAATGTAAAGTAAAAGATTTGCCAAGGTTCTTTTTCAGGATGCTGAAATTCATGTTAAATAAAATGACCTTTCTTTGTTTGTTTTTTAAGCTGATTTTTTTTGGGTAGCTTTCACACTTCCACCAGCGTTCAATTAAGTCTGACCTTTATGCATAATGTTACAACATAATAAGTTGCTGATTGTGTCATTAATCTGATGGTGTAGATATATAGTAAGTAGAATAAGTACATCAGTGCAGTGCTAGATTAATGACACTCAAACTTTGGCTGTACATACATCAGGACCGTAAGGACATGCTATAATCAGTAAGTAATGACTGCACTGTTGTAAGGGCAGATTGTAATTTCACAAAAACCTAGCACAAATGTCATCCTATAAATATTACATTTAACAAGAGTTAAACAGTTTTTAGACCATGTTGGACCTGATTCTGTCTCATTGTGGAAAGCTGAATAGCCTTAAAGTGTCTCCACTGTAAACAACATGTGAACATCCAGCGTTCAAACCTGGAATTACATCTAGTTGCTTCTGAAGTCTGAATTTGATCACGTGTATGATCTCAGCAGTGTTTTTGTTTTGTGATTGTGTGTGTGTGTGTGTGTGTGTGTGTGCACAGTGCAGAGGTGTGCATTGCTGGTTGGAGCGAGAGGCATGTTAGGCAACTAAACCAGGTCAGTGTCATTGTGTGATCCGATCCCTCAGAGAGAATAATGCTCAGCAGAGGAATTTTACAATACAGTTAGAGAGGATTACATACTGTGTAGCCTATAACAGAGTTTCTGTCTGCCCGGGTTTCTAGTTCAGCCAGACCCACGCCCTGCATTTCTCAGGGGTCTTCTCTTTCTTTTCTTTCTGTCCCTCCATTGTTCCTGCTTCCTCTTGAGTCTCCCCTCATCCCACAGGGCACTCCTCAGGTGAGGCTGGCGTCTCACATCGCTCAGTGCATTGTGAGCGCGCTCAATGGGATCACTTTGGAGCCTGCAGAGTCAGAGTTGGACACAGCAGTTTGTCCTCCAGATTTCTGCATGCAGGTGAAAGCTGGTGTCACTGCATGAAGGCCGGGGCAAAGTGTAGCTCAAAATGTCACGTTGTATGTAAGAGGAGATAAAACACCGAATTTACTGTTTATAAAGTAGTGACTCAAACCTGTGCTTTTGTTTTTATAACTTATAGAGCACATCCATTAGTTTACATCTTTAAAAAGTGCAGTTTCAATTTACTGGAACACACCAAATAACAGAATGAAACAATCATTTGTAGATGCACACAGAATAGTTTGTAAATACATGATCACTTTCCTTCATTGGATAATGGAGTTACACTTGAATGAACTAACAGCTTCTGATGTTTGCAAACCTTTAAAGCTGCAGACAATAAGCTGCATTTCAGGTTCAGACACAGACAGGTGTAGTTTATTTGCTCCTCCATTATTATTTTTTCAACACCTCCACAAGGTGTCAGGTTGTATCCTCGTGTTTGTTGCTGTGTTGCTGTCTGATTGGACACACAGTCAGCGGCTCCGCCCTGACAAAACAGTCTGTGCCTCCCACAGCCAAGCTCACCTGTAAGTTCTTACTCCCACCATCAGGGTCCAGACGTGACCGAGCAGCACAACAGAAGACCTGCTGAAGAACTGAGCTTGATGTGAGTACTTTTTTGTTCTTCCTCATTTGTTGCTGAATGAGCTAAAAAAAAATTCAAATTCACACTGGAGATTAAAAGCTTAAGAGACTGACCCTGAAATGAATGTCAGGAGGTCTAATAGCTCAGCTTTATTGCTGCTTATGCATATTCAATCATTTACAAACAAGCACAGAAGCATCATAATTACTATCTGGCACACGTAGTGGAACCAGTATTTATTATGTTAAACAACGATCTCATCCCCAGGGCCTGTACAGAATGTATCCTGAGTGATGGATCCAAGAATGAGCCTTCTCATCTCAGTTTAAAATGTCTTAACAGATCTTGTTTGAAGTTTTATCTAATGACTGCTTAAATGCATAATAAAGAGATGCAACAGAAATACTGAGACAGAGAGACACAAAAGGACTACTGAAAGACACAAACTACAATCAAATGGTTTTTTTTTTTGCAAAAATGACCACAGTGAGATGCAAAACCCCAAAATGATTATAGATGTCAAATTACAAATATTAAACAATAACCAGTACAGATATAAGCTAAACAAGTGGAGCGAGCCTTCAAATGACAAAAAGAATTTCAACTGTATGTATTTTTTAAGAATTACTGGCAAAGTTGATGTAAAATTGATTTTTTGACTTTGATTTTCTGTTCATTATTGTCTGTTTTTAGTCTCATTCATCACACACGTTTCAACATGTTAATTAAGACAAAGGCTCTCTGTTCCATTTCTGTGCCTGTCAATGAAAAAGGTTGAGTTTGTTAAGAGCACTGATAAAACTTTCACTTGGAATCCTCTGCAGACGACACCATGGCCTCCACGCTCTCTGTGCGCAGCTACTCGGTCCGTCAGCCGTCCTTCTCCAGCGTGTCTGTGAGGGACAGCGGACGCAGCATCCGCTCCAAACCTCAGGTCCCTGTCAGCACACTGTCCCTGTCCCGCTCTGTCTCTATGGGAAACGGCCTCAACATGCTGGGCACCGGCCTCTCCTTCAACGGGCTCGGTATGGGCGCCAGTGACAAGGAGACCATGCAGGGCCTGAACGACCGACTTGCAAATTACCTGGACAAGGTTCGCACGCTGGAAAGATCTAACGGCGAGCTGGAGGTGAAGATCAAGCAGCTGATGCTGGAGAGGGCTCCAAAAGGACATGACATCGAGGGCCTGATGGCTCAGGCACATGCCATCGGACAGGAGGTAAGTGACCAGGATGTCAGGTCCAAGATTTCTTTTTCTCCAAGTTTACCTTTAAAGCCAGTGTTTTAAAACTCTGAAGGCAGTAAAAAAAACTATTTTATTCTCCTTTGGGTTCACATCCTCTTCGCTCAAAATAGAAACAGACTAAACAGCATTGTTAAAATATGTTCTTGGATCATAGGAATTAAACAAAGATCTGAATTATTTTTTTGAAAGATTTCTCAGTAAGGTGAAAATATTCAGGCGTCTTCTGCTTGACCTGCTTGTAAAAATCACTGCTATTCAAATGTTTTAACCTTCCTGCGATTAGATGACTAAATACTGCATAGGTTTCTTATTCTTTATTAACGGATCCTTTTATCTTTTTATCCATCCTGTTTATTAATCGTTCTACTTTTTCTTTCTTTTTGGTTGTCAAAAAAATGCACTTGGACAAATTGACAATGAGATTAAGTAAACCTGTACAAGATTTAGGTGTCCATCTTGAACTTTGTTGTAAGTGATATGAGAAGAAGCACCAAGCTCCTGCAGCTAATGGGTTCAGATAAGCAGAATGACAAAAAACAAAATCATCTCCAGTCCTCCATGATGCTTTCATTTCCAACCATGTTCCCCACTCAGGTGAGAAAGAGGACGCTGGAGAACGCGCGCATCATGCTGGAGATTGATAATGCTAAGCTGGCTGCTGACGACTTCAGGGTCAAGTGAGTGTCACACAGAGGTTCTTTCTTTTACTCGCGTGTGAGTGTTCACATGGGAGCTCCAGACTGCAGAGCTGTGTGAATAAATGACCTTTATGTCAGGCTGCGAAATAAGAGCCTCATTCCCACGCTCTGCTCAGGAGCCGGCGACCGTGTCGTTTGAGTGAGTGCAGGATGTGTTAGGTGAGGATGGAGCAGCAGGGAAAGGCGGTGGAGTAAAGGTACACCCCCACTGCCTGTGTTTTTCACAGCGTGTCGATGGTATGTTCTGTGGTCCGATGTGAAGCAGCAATACATCAATTGGCAGTGATTTATGGGATTAACAGCCAAGTGCTCTGAACTCTCTAGGTCTGCTCCTTTTATATTTTAAAAATATATTGTACTCTCCACCCAAATACTTTAATGTAAAATGTTGTTACACGTTACGATGAAAATTAAGAAATTTTAAACACAAAAATGTACATTCAACAGTAAATTTAGTTCTCTAAAGGTTGATAAAGGTTGATAACAGGTTATTAAATTAAATACGAAGATCCTCACAAACTGTTCGGCACATTTGGATCAAAGAATATACCGCTCACTGCCCATATAACCTTCAAGTCAATTTCAAACCAACAGAGATGATTTGTTTTTGTTTTTTTATGTGGTAATATAATATATCATTGATTACCAATAAAACAGCACGGCCCAATAATTTTACATCAGGGTCCACTTACGAGACTTTTCTGAGCCTTCTGATGCCTGTCTCTGTTTCAGATGTAATGATTGTGATGATGTGATTCTTTTTTTTTTCGCAGATGGGAGGCAGAGGCCAGCTTGTGCCAGTCGGTGGAAAGGGACTGTCAGGCTCTGAGGAGAGCTAAGTCTGATCACGACCAGATCATCAGCACCCTGCGTGGAGACCTGGACAGCCTGAAGGAGGAGCTCTACTTCCTCAAGAAGAATCACGCCGAGGTGAGATGTCTGCACATGGTGAAGGTCACGTCAGGAATGATAAATGAGTGTTTGCTCGTCAAGGTAATCGCTTTACAAGTTGTCAAGTGTAGTGGTGTTTAAATATAGGATGTCTCTGAAGCACAGTGGGTCCTCTGAACTGCTTAAAGGCTCATGTCCTTTGACTGGATATGATTAAATACATCCAAAAACCTCAGAGTAAAAACATATTCCAGTCCAGTTTTCTATCACTGGCACAGCAGCAACAGTTCGATATAAAGCAATGCTGTAGCGGATGGATTTACAGTATTCAGTATCTGAAATATGATAATGTGTATGGACACGCCCTCTTTCTTTGTCCCAGTGGTGCTTCAAGACAGCAAGACAAGCCCTATTGTACATCCTACACAGAAGGAGTGTTGGAGCCCATCCAGTCACATATTGTGTGTTTTAGACAGGTGTGGTGTCCCGGGTGTAGTCTGAGCCTGGCAGGTGCTGCTCTGCTCCCTGCAGACTTTATTTTTGTATATGAAGGTTTATCTAGCAGAGGCTGAGGTGACCAAACATGAAAGAAGAAAAACAAAGGACACTCTTCTTGAAATAAACACAAGATACTTTTGCCCTAATTCAAGAGGATAAGCGCTCAGTGATGAAACACCTTCCTATCTCATTGCGCCTCTAAAACTAATGCCCTACTGATGATTTGCATAACGTACCCCATGGCACTTAGGGGCTACCACAACCCAAATGACATAACCACATTCAACATACCCAGGCTCCGTTCCTGTAAGCTCCAGGTATTGACAACAGCAACACTACCTACTCTACCACTTGATCCCTAATGGCCCCCACAAGCCAACCATTCAACTAAATGGGCAGTAATAGCCTAGCCAACATATCAACAAGGTTATTAAGTGGGCAGCTGCCTATATGATTTTAATTACAGTTTAATTCTTGCTTAAATAAGGCACCTTTCAGCTGTAGGTGTATTGACATTTATTAATAATAGTTTAAAGAGGTGCCCTAAGTTTGTTCCAAAATGTACATTCCTTTGACATAGTTACACAAACTCGTCCAAAAATGTAACAATAGAGAAGTGAGAAACTGTTAAAAGTAATGAACATGGTAAGGATTGGCGTTGGCTGTGTTTCTAAACCACATATTAATGTACTGCCTACTACAGTACATACTACAGGATCTAAGGGTCAAGGGACTTCATCAAACAAATATTTCTGGTCTGAGCTATGTTGAATAAGCTATCACCAAGCTAGCGTGACCGTCGGTCCGTAAACAGATTCTAGAAATATTCACACGGTAATTACGAATACAATTTCACACTATGATTCTGGAACATACTACATACTCAATCTGAGGTCATATTTAGTACGCATAGAATGAAAGTATGTGGTTTCAGTCACAGCCATTTTGTTGTTGAAAATGTAGAACATTTGCTGAAAGCTTTAATATAGCAAATGGTTTCCAATTATGTCAGGATGTGTTCCTAAAGCATGGAACAGTTTTCATTGCTGTCTGCCTTCCTTTAAGTGTTCCAGTATTTTTATTGTGTTGCACATGTTGTCAAACTGATGAAGAAGTTTTTTGGATACTTATCATCCACTCCCAAGTGTTTCCAAATGATCCAACCTGTTTTTAATGTGATGGTAGAAATTAAGATGTTGCATTAACACAGCTTGACCTTTTGATCTCTTGAAATCATGATAGGAAATGAATGCACTAAAGGCACGTCTGGCCACTGAGCAGGTGAGTGTAGAGGTGGATGCGGCTCAGGGTCCAGATCTAGGGGCCACCATGGCTGAATTGAGGGTCCAGTACGAGGGAATCGCTCGCAAGAACAAGGAGGATGCCGAGGCCTGGTACCTTAAGAAGGTCAGTTCCTGGATACATTTAGGCTACGTGATTTTGCTGTTTTCTTCTGTTCTGTCATTTGCTTTTATTAAACAAGATGTTATATTCGTGTGTGTGTGTTTGCAGTTAGAGGCAGTGCAGTCGGAGGTGAAAGAAAGCAACGAGGCTCTGCGATGTGCCCAAAGTGAGCTCAGTGAGAGGCGTCGTTTCCTGCAGGCTCTCGAGGTTGAACTGGACAGCCTTAGGAAACAGGTGCAGTACACAAAATAAACACATGGTGGATTTATTAAGTCTGAATATGTGCAACTATGTAAGTCAAGCATTTTAATCAAGAATTGTATCATATATTAAGATAGATGGAATCTCGATGAAATCACCCATTGGTTACATAAAGGGAGTTTTGAGGTCTAATGATGGCGGTTGCCATGTTGAAAATGCTGTCTCCAACTAGTTAGTCAAGTACTGTAAACAGTTTGATGTCATCACACTCGCCAGTCAGCACCAGAATAACTAGTCATTTAAATGAATTATTAATAGTTTGCCCTTCAATGCCTGTCAAATGTAATACTCAAACTAAAACGCAAGCCACTAGCCGGGACTGTAGTACACACACTGGCTGTGGCCACGCCTGCTCTCTGTGCTCTCCAACTCAGATGTTAAGCTGCAGGACGAACGGAAGGCTGGCAGTGCTAGCGCTGCTAATGTTAGCCACACTCTGCAAAGCAAATTATATTCTTTATCCGTGGATAATTTTGAATACATTTTGCTTAGTTTGAACTGTTTTCTTGTCTTTAGACTAGTTGGTTAAACTGAATTTAATTTTACATTTAACCAACAAACTAATATCAGACAAAGAGGGTGTGCTGAGGATTGCCCACGACCTCCTGGCAAACAGCTACAACTCGCAGTAATGGCCACAAGGCATGCACTATTCAGACCAAAGTTGTCCTGTACCAGGCTGTAAACATGTTTATTTTTTCCATCAAAATGGACATTTTTAACATGAGTAGTACGTGACTTTATGGGCTTTTGCAGTCAGCCTCAAGTGGACACTTTATTTTTTTGCACTTTTGCATTGGCTTCATTTTTCAGCAGTGGGGGTTGTCACAAAAAAATTTTTTTGTCTAAACTTGGAAATAGGTAATGTTACAGAAACTTTTAGAAACACTTTTTTTCTTTTTTTTAAATATATTTTCATGTTAAGGTATAATTACAGATTTTTTTCCTCAACTGTTTATAGGTTCTTGTTTAAATTGCACATAATATTTTTTATGCCTGCACGGGCTGTGTACATTTCTTGTATAAGTCTATCTTTAATTGCACAGGTTTAAGATTGATTCATCTCGGGGTATTCTTTAAATCTTTTTTTTCGGGTTAATATATATGTATGAGAGGGGGGCGTCGGTTTGTGGTTAATTTGTTACAAATGTTTCATGTCATGTACGTCTTCTGTAACCTGCTACTGGATGCTTTGAATTTCCTTCGGGATCAATAAGGTATCTATCTATCTATCTATCTATCTAGGTAGCCTCACCTCTGTATTCAGTTTTGAGCTCCACTCAAACTCTTGCCTTAGCTATGAGAAGGTATAACAAGAGAAGATTCTTCAACAAGAACTAAGACTGTAAGATATCCCACATCAGGTTAAGCGTACGCTGAACCCCAATAGACCCTGTTCTGTAGCTGTTTGAACTTGCAAAGATGAGTCCAGTTTTACTTTAACAACCATTCCTCTACTTCTTTAGAGCTCAAACCCCCTCCTCCCCTTTTGTCTTCTGTACACAGTATACAAGTCAGACCTTTCTAAAGGTAACAGCTGCTTTCTCTTGTCAACAAAGAGCTAGTAGTGGAACAGTGTACACAGCAATGTCTTTCTGCTCCAGTAATCAATCAAAGCGACAAGACATTGAGTCCAACAAGGAAGTGTTTTGTATTCCCGTTACATGTGCCCACAGATCAAACAGTGTGTAGACTTCCTCAGTGAAGGCAGGTAATAGATCATTGATATTTGTTCTATATATTGAGCACACAGTATTCAATGCATAGATATTATGGTGCTGACAGTCTGTAGTGTCTCTGGGTGATTTGTGAGGGGTCGTGAATGGATGAGCTCAACAGTATCATAGTTAGTTTTATTTTTAACTATGCCTTTAAATGTGCACCTTTGTGAATTTACAAGCATTCAATGACTTCATAATGTGATGTTAGATGCTCATAAACCCCGTGAGAATTATGACCAAACTCTGCGGTTTCCTTCAGCTTTAAGAAGTGTTTAAGTCTTTGAGCTTTGGTTTGACCTCGGTGACAAAGACAGAGCTTAACGCTGTGAAGTGAACCATAGACTTAAGTTCATCTAGGTGTCTGAATCACTTAAATCTCTGCAGATTTGATTGGATAATCTCAAAGTATAGGAAACCTTTTGGTTACTTTCTATTTGTATCATATCTGTAGTAAGAGTAGTGTTCACCAATAAAACTGAAAGGGCTCTTGTTGTATTCATGGCAATTCAGGGTAACTGTCTGTTTTTAGAGCCAATGGGGAGGAATGCTCAAAATGTAATCCCAGCAGCAATTTGCTACTGTTTGGTAAAACTTGGCTTTCTAATCATTTATATAAATGGTTAACTGCATATGAAAATAGAAAACCCTCCAGTGGTAAATACTGTCCCTTAACTCAAAGCTAATATCCGTGTCTCTGTTTTCTAGTATGATTTTAAACAAAGACTCGTGCACAAAAGGGGAATATGTGACCCAAATATCCTCTGGCTGAACTGGAATGTGTTCTGAAACTACCTGAAACAGGACTCCAAATGAATCATCATTTGACTTTGTCTTTAGAATTTCTAAATATGTACAACTTTTTAAGGTTTACAGTTTTCAGCTGCCCCAACATGAGCAAACTGAATAATAATAATAAGGATGCACCTTTTAAACAAGAAATGAATAGTTTTTCTATTGTTTGACTTGTGTATATCTTCAGTTAGGTGACGCTAACCCTTTGCTCCATTGTTCATTGTTTTGTAGCATATGAAACTAATATCCAGTCACTGATCCTTACCTGTTGGTCCTGTTAACAGGTGAACGTGTTGGAAGGAAACCTTGGAGAAACAGGCCACAAGTATTCGGTGGAGATGGATCGCCTTCAGGCCACACTGACTCAGCTGGAGGACGAGCTGTCTCAGCTGCGTTTGGACATGCAACGCAACAAGACTGACTACGAACAGCTGCTGCGCATCAAACAGAACCTGGAGATGGAGATCGCCACGTACAGGAGGCTGCTGGAGGGAGAGGAAATGTAAGAGAGGGCTGCAAAAGCAAAACCCTTGTAACCATTAACCACTGATAACTACATACACTTCTATAACAATATAGATCATATTCACAATTTATATCTTAGCATAGCAGTAAAGACTCTAGGACACCTTCATATTGACTCCACTTTATGGTCCTACTTTCTATATAAAGTCTGTTAAATAGAGAAACTATATCCTGGATCTGTCAAATCTACCAAAACACACCTCTCAGCAACTCTTAAGCACACTAAGTGCATATTTGATCATAGTGAATGGCTTTGAAAATGATGTATCTGTACTCACTTGACTGTGTATAGAGCTAAAGCTAAGCTAACAAGCTGATTCATATTTGGAAGTGATTCTTCTTCAGTGTCCTTGTATCAGATCTTGAGGGAACACTGTCTCTGCTTGGCACTTTGCTCTTTTGGATTGAATAATGATGTTATTTTGTCCCACAGGGTGAAAGAAACTCCTCCTCCTCCTAAAAGTAAGTTCAGATTTATTCATTTGCTGAATGAGGAACAAAAGCTATTTACAAGGATTTTGAGTAAAAAAAAAAAAAACAAGTGATCTATTGGAATTGTTAAATGGACATGATTTTACCTCTTTACACTAATGTATTTCTATTGGAAGAATTGTGTGCCTGCATGGCGACTGCATCCTATAGGCATGTTTTACCAACTAAGGCAGCGCTAAGAGTTTGAGGCTATTTGAAAGCTGCTGCGATGAACTTTGGGGTTTGTGTTAATTTTGGCAAACCCTGTGGACAAATCAATGCTTCTTATCTCTTTACTGAATGTGTCATGTACATGTTCAAAATTAATGTTTTATACAAAAAATCTCATCCTTCTTTCTCTCACTTTGAATCTCTGCCTTGAAAATGTAAAAGAAAAAAATGTAGTTTTAACAGCATGCAGTTAATCACTTTGTAAGACACCTAAACCCCAGCAACAGTTTCAGACATTGTTAAGAATTATATTGAAATTGTCACTCTTAAGGCTGATAGTCTTGTTTGATTTTGAAGGTCAATAAGAGGCAACAATATACATTTAAGTTTATTTCAAGCTGAGACTCTTACAGGAGCTTTGAAGAAAAATAGAAAATGTGTGACCAGGTACCCACATCTTATAAATACAATTAGTTGTGTAATGCACAATATTCAAAACCTCAATCTGGGAATTAAAGGCAATAAAAACCTAAATTGTATTTTAATTGTTGTTCCAGTAGAAAAGATGAATATCATTTGTTATTGTTTGTGATTAAACCTGGTTTTATTTTGTGTTACAGAAGACCCTGAGGTAAGGACCAGAAAGATTGTAAAAGTGGTTACCCAAACTATGATCAATGGAAAGGTGGTGGATGAGTCCAGTGAGGTGGAGCAGATTGAGGAGCGCAAAAAATGAGCCAAAGTGTGTTTGGAGAAGAAGTGATGTGTCTAAAACCCAAAGTGCCTGCTGTGCTTCAGATTAAATCTCACCACGGCCTTCTTGTAAAACGTTATCCTTCTCTTTGTATTGTGTTTTATTGCCTTAAACATGACAAAAATACACTAATAATAGAGTTTAACAGATACATTAGTTTGTCTTTTTTAGCAACATGATAGCTCTCTGTATATATGTTTGTTATCAGATCACTATTCTCTCAAGTGTTTGAATAGCCTGTTTAATAATACAAGTCCAAAGAAGCATCTGTAGATCTGCTGGAATTTGATTTAAAGCTTAAATCATGGGCCAATTAGGACATCATCTTTTTTTCTGGGGCTTATTATCGCTCATCAGATTAATTGTGTTCAGTCAAAGAACTTTTTTAAGGTCATCAAGGAGATTTCACAGGCAATGAGAATACACAGACGAGTAGATAGACACCACACTCATCTTCATGGTAAAAATGGTATACGCTAATAGCCAGTTAGCTTAGCTTAGCATAAAGTCTGGAAAGAAAGGTAAAACAACAATTCTGGCAGTGACCAAAATCAACTAAATCTATAAACCGATACCTCTAATGCTAATTTATGAACAATTCATATTTGGATTATTTAAATACAAAAAGGCATATTGTATATAGTTCTTTGTATTTAATATAAAGCTACAGCCAGCCATCTATTAGCTTATCTCAACACTGATATGAAGGTATTAGAGTATTTCATTCAATAATTATGAAAAAGATGTTAGGTACATTTTTTTTTGCAGTTAGGGGACAATTGCTTTATTAGAAAATGGGGCATTATTGCAGTAGTATCTACTATTTTTGCAGGATAGTTTCCTTGTTAAATAGTAATACAAGTAATTCAATGTCAATTTGTTGAAGAAGTAATCAAATCAACCAAAGCAGATGTACAGTGTCAATAAAAAACAGTGTATAACAAATATGTGTGCATGTCGTTTATAAAAAAAGGTTTTACCCCAAACAGAAACTTTGACTGATATTGGAGGAATTAACAGAAGAGGGAACAGAAAGTAACATAAGATTCAGCGCCAAGAGGGCAGAAATTACAGAACCTAAATACTGAAGGATCGGGTGACGGGCTTTTGTGTTCTTTAGGTTTGAGTTTCGGTGTCTGTCTGTGTGCACATGTACATAGAGAGCAAAGGCATTAAAGTAATGTTGGAATAAAAATGCATTTCATGCGAGAGAAAGAGAAACGTATAAGAACACAAAAAGGTCCAAATCCTAAACTACTGTAAATAAAAGCTGCTGTGTTGGGATTCGGGTCACGATGGTGATGGCAGATGTCGTAGCAATATGGAAACAATGAGCCCGCAGTCAAACAGAGCTTAAAAATTGTGTCAGGTTTGTGTTCTCCACTTTTTGGAAAGAAAACTTTTATTCTAGTGAACTCTCTGCTTTAAACCCATGACCTATGCAATTAGATCATCTGTGACAAAGGACTTAGTTTAAAGATTCAGGGATTTTGTGTGTGAGAAGTTTCACACAGGTGAGTTTGTTTGGTGAGGTTGTATAAAAGAACACATGGTAGCCCTCTATGTAAATCTCTATTAAATCCAGTGTTATTGTCATTAAAGTTTCAATAAATAAGTAAGTTTCAAAAATACAAACATTTCTAATGTATGTGTAAGTGTAACATTATGTGTATTATCTTTTAGGATTTCTATTTGCTTGCAAAGTGCACCTGTGAATCACCACACACACACACATATATTATATATTGAGGAGGCGCTTTCAGCTTGCACTTGCAGTTTTCTGTCAGTATAAATATTTTACAAGTTGTCACTCCAGCGTGAAAAGTTTCACTTTGACCAAGTTAAAAAAAACACATTCCTAGAGTGAAAGGTGACTGATTATGCCTAGCCTTAAACTACAACCTTGCTAGGGCAACAACATCAACAGTGATGTAACTCCTTTTATCACCTCAATGAGAAACTTGTAAAACTCAAATATACGCTGACCTTTATTAGTCTGTTAACTTAAGATGTCCCATGAGGTCATATTCAAGATTTACAAGCACACTGAGGAGACAAGAAGGAATGTGTTAAAGATGAAGAGTGATCCATTGTGACTACCTGCACCTCCTTTATCAGAAACAGGACAGCAAAACTCTTGTCTTGAGATCATGATAATGTCGTACATATTTAGAGTTATGCAAGATTTTGAAGGCATGCAATACACTTCAAATCGAGTAGCCTACTTTTACAGTTTAATTGTTGTACTTTATTTCATTAAAGGGTCAAAATACCTTTTCACCGCTGAATCCTGTTTCAGCCTTAATATTTACAGTCTATGGGTTCAGCTTTGTAACCTATAATGTGTAATAAAGATCGCCCCCCTGTGGGGAAAAGCGTAAAGTGCAGGTGCATTAAGAACCCAGTTAGTTTGGTCTTCTTAAAACTTGTTCCGTGAGTTCAGTTTCTCTCTGTATGTCCTTTGTTTAATTGATAACAATGAAAACTATATTTTAGACAAATCTTAAGCAATGCTTATTGTAGATCTCTGTAATATGAGTAGCCTATTCTTACAAATGCTGTCTATAGTTTTGACGTACAATCACAGTTATTGTATGTTTTTTTTTTTTTTTTATAAAAACCAAAAATGACACACGTAGGCTTATATCATCTTTTTTTTTCAAGTTTTAAACTGATAATTGGATTTTACTTCAAATGAATACGGTAGTGGTCTTACTTAAATTACGTTTGTTTTGTTTTCCCAATTTTCCGAGGTGCTCTGCATAAAATAATAATAAAATATATTCATCAAAAATTATAACAACAACACAATAAAATAAATAATACAACAATTGGGAAAAAAAAACATTAAAACTTTCTGAAGCGCATGCGTCAGGGTTAGAGAGAGAGAGAGAGAGAGAGAGAGAGAGAGAGAGAGACCCGGACCACAGTCTGAATCAGTTCCTAATTAATCATTTTCATGATGTAAGTTTGATGCTAACCTTGAGTCTAACTATAAAAAGTTTAATTAGTTAATTTGAAGCTGAAGTTTAAATCTCAGAAAAGAAGTTAGCTAACTGTTCAACCTTAAACTCTGCTAGCTTACATTGTGATGTAGTTTAGTTAACTTTGGTTTAACAAGATAACTTTTCGTTATTTTGTCTGTAAAAACTGTAAAGTAACTACTTAGGTACTGTTTTGAGGTAGAGTTACTTATACTTTAAATGAGTATTTATTATCTGCTGTTTTGCACATGTTACTATTAGCAGGATAATCTATGTTTTTATCCTAATTCACTAACATTACATTTGTTTGACCTTTTAGCTAACAATTACCACCTTTACAGTACAAAATACAATCAATATAATATTAAATATATATGTTTATCTGTCCACATTTAAGCATTAATGCGTCTGTAATAATATAATATATTTAATGATCATCTAAAATGTGTTATGATGTTCATATTTTGATACTTCTATTTAAGAGAAAACTACTACACTAATCACAAAATTACATTTAAAAAACAAAACAAGACTCATTAAACACATGATTTCCTGAAAATATGCTTTTCTGTGTTTGTATTTTTCTTGATGTTAACAGGTCAGAAACAGAGAGCTGTTTTCCTGCCAACAGGTACAAAGCTCTTGACTATGTTTTCGAGGTGAGTTTATGGCCTGTTAGTTTTCTCTCTCTCTCTCTCGTATCATTAAACTAATAAGCTTTGTTTACCTTTCCGTCTTTATTTCAGACCAACACCAGTTATAAAGTAATGAGGAACCTACTGGCATTACCAGATCCGTACTTAACTGATAGCAGTGACCTGTACCCCCACAGTGGTAAACTACCTGAAGTCACCTATAGGACACCGTGGGTCAGAGGTATGCAGGAGGGTTAATGATGATACAGTATAGCTACTACAGGATGTGGGTTTTCAAGTCTATTTTAATCAGAGTTAGTGTAAGAGGCTCATTCTAAAGTTATAAAACAGAATAACTCCAGGTTATATACAGTATAGAAAATATATGCAAAACATGGGGTCTGCCATCAAACCCCTCACATTTCAAGAAAACATTTAGATTTGATGTCCTTTTACTGTAAAGGGGGAAAGTACAGATGGTGAGGCATTTTTGATCTAGCTCAGGTAAAGGAAAATCCCATATGTCAACTCTATTATTACCTGCCCAAAAATAAAAATGTTAAACGATTATCTAATTTATAATCAATTAGTTATCCTATTGGTTCACTAATTACCTCTTGATCGTTGCAGCACTACTCTATGCCATAAATTCTTGGTCTACTTAAATGTAACTTTTTAACCCTAACAGAAATGATGTGCAAGAATTCATGTAGCTACTTTTCATACTTGCTCTAGGAAAGGTGATCTCTACCTGCAAACTCTTTGTCAGTGGTTCAGTGCTGGATGACCTGAGAGAAAAAAGGCAACTAGTGAATCTACTAGAAAGGTTCTGCAAACAAGTTCACTGTGAAAGATTTTCATCTTGTATTGAATCATGTATTGAGTTAATCAGTATAGTTTTCAGTAGAAGTTTTATTACATTCCAGGTTTAATGTGACTCTGAGTGAGGTGAAAGGAGCTGTGGAGGTGATACCCAGCTCTAATCCTGACTCACTGACCGATCTAGACCAGGATGAGTTAGTTGGTCTTTTAAAAGAGACCCAGATCAGTGATCCATGCCAAGAATCATTTTACAAGTGCACCACAGACCAGATGAAACCTGGAAATGAAAAAGGTAACTGAAAAACATGTCAGTAGTGAAACATGATCTTTTTCAATTTAACGTTCCCTCATGCAGATTTTTTTTGACTGTGACACAGTCTCTCACAAAAAATGTCTAATTAAATCAAAGATCTTCTCCTGCCGGAAGAGCTCATGGGTGTCGATTACCTGCCAAAATTTAAGAGACATTTACCCACACTGAAAGCCAAACTGTCCCGGCTGAAGACCCTTCCTGTGTCCGACCCTCTGCTGAGCTCAGCGGGACTGACCATCTCTGAGGACGCCATATTCAGGTCTTTATGTTCAGGGTGTGAGAGGTCGTTACATCCTAATATCAGCTTATTTACAGTAAAGGAACATTACTTTTTATCGGCTTGTTTGCCCTGTTTCATGCTGTGCTGTGCGGTGTTTAAAGCCAGTTGGATTATAACTCTTTCAGACACTGTGCGCCTTATGAAAAACCTCCCGACGTGAACACCAGCGACGTTGAGGCGTCTGCAAACGTTCATGAGGAGTTTGGGAAAGAATCAATGACGCAGGAAGAGGTAACTGAAAACCGATAAATAACAAATGCTTGTGTATGATATGATTTTAACATGACATCTTTTTTTTCTTCTTCATAGTCTCTGATGCTGCCAGTTGTATTGGACACTCTGAACCTGAACCAAGAACACTGCCACAACTTTTTAGGTATTTGTGGTCGTGTGAATGTTGGCCCTGAACAGCTGGATGAGCAGCCTTCAGTTTTGGAGGTGCTCCATAAAGGTGAGGACACGTTTCTTTTAGATATAATAAAAAAAGCACTGAAGTAAAAGTGAACTGATACACTGGAGTCTCATTCTTCGGATTTCCGTTCAGATGTCCCAGCATCTGTGGAAACTTCCCAGTATGAGATACCAGAGGGGCCCAGCAGAAAGCTCAAGATAAACAGAGGTCTGACAGAGCCGGATTTAGCGGGTAAAAGTAACGGAGAGCCAACACAAGGGTAATCTGAAATGTGATCACGTCAACAAACACCTATTTAGCCACCAGCATGTATTTGGATAAATTATTCAAGTTCAATTAGCAACATCCACCTATTAAAATACTCATCTACAAGCCCTACATTCATAATGTAAGTTATGGGAATGTTTTTTCATATGGTGGTCCAATCAATGTAGAAAGTTGTTAAGAGAGCAAAAACGTTCTCAGTGCCTGCTACGCTGACCAAGAAGGTTTCTTTTTCTGCTGTCTGAGCTCTGTGAGCAGTGCCTACATGTACCAGAGTGCACACAAGTTGTCAGGCTCTGCTGTATTTCCTCAGCAGGATACTTGGCTGGAGTAAATGTGGCTGTTTCAAAAGTCAACCAAAACACTGTGAAAATAAGCAGTTTGTAATACAGGCTGCGAGAAGAAAAACAAATCCGAGTTCAAATACTTTGTACATGGTCCTCGGCCATCGACTAGGTCACCACGTATGACAGGGAATATCTGCAACACCTGCAGACTTCCTTCATACTCTGTGTCATTATCATTGTTATTATTAAGTGTACACATCGTCCTGAGTGACTAGACTTCTGATGGTCTTAGGCATCCCTTTAAAAAGTGAACCATATTTTTTGTCCATCAAAGTTTCAACAGTAGAAGTGTCCATTGGACTCACTGTCACTTGTCAGTATTCAATTAAACCATATTTTATGTCATTTGAATTGCAAGCTGTAAAGTAATTGTAACTATAAAAAAGTTGAGTGAAGTAGAAGCTACCACATTTGCCTCTGAAAGATAGTGAGGCAGAAGCTTAGCCTCAAATAAAATGAATCCGGCTAAAAACAAAGATCCTGAAATTGTAACAAGTTACTGTTCTTATTGTTTTCCACATTAACTCTGAACTATGCTCTGTTATTGATCAAAGTGCTTTTATAACTCACTTTTACAAGAATGTGCATGTTTCATTATCATTTCTTTTATGCACTTCGTCTTCCCTCAGGACATTTGATGCTTCCTACTGACCTGGAGCTGGACCTGACTTTTACCTCGACTCCAGACCAGAACAGTCAAACCAAGATCTGTCCATCCACATGTGAACTTCAGTGGCAAGAACTATCCCCACTCTGTGGACGGTGAGTGATGATAACAGGTCAGCATCTGGTCAAACTGCAAGTATATGCAGCTATTGTCCAAATAAAAAGAGATAATTATAACATTCAGTTGTTCAGATAGTAAATAATCTCTGTGAAAATGAACAAAAGATGATTACATGGGAGTCAACACATTAAATATATGTCAAATTCTTCTTCAGTATACGAAAAGTATAAATCATTATCTGTTAAGGAGAAGAGTCCTTTTGTGATGTAATGTCGTTGTTACTCCACATACAAAAGCTGATCTTACATTCATGATTGTTATTCAGGTCTTTGATGTCAGCGACCGTTCAGCATGACATGGAGACAGCGCTTTGGAGGGCGGAGAGGCATCCAACCTTTGTGGTTGGCTTCCTGTTAGCAGGTATCTGCATGGCTACGTTAAACTGTAGTGTTCTATTCAGAAGCTCAAAGTTAATTAATATTCAAAAGTATTGAAGTTCTGGATAATAAATATGGTGCATTTAGAAACCTTTACATAAATGCATCGTCTATTAAACTCTGATTTACAAAAAAATCTGTGGATGTTTAAGCAGAACTGGAAACAGCAACTGAATGACCAAGAATTCTTTAGAATTAAGAGCCTACAGAGCAAGCACACTCGCATTTCATTCAATCCCAGCTCCCAACGACACACACTGTCTGCAAAGTATTTTTCTAAGAGTTACATTAATTCTCTTAGGAAGATTCAACTTATATAATTATAAGCAAATCAATCGTATGAATCAGTAATGACTGCATTCATTGCTAAAGAACAGTATTTTAGACCAAATGCAAAAACTCAGGTAGTTCTATTCAACTGTTTTTAGCTTCAGTGCTATAAGTTCTGCTCACCACCAGATGTCGCTCTGTCCTCTGAGTTTAATTCTGTCTCAGCAGAATCAATTTGATATAAATTTTCCATGGGATTTTTATTTATAGGAAATGTCCCACACGGAGGTTTTAGACCTTGACAAAACTAAATCTCTGCTTCTGCTGCACTGACTCTGATGATTTGACCGCAGTCCCTCCTTCAGTTTAATCAAGTGTTTCTTTAAGAAGTAGACACTAAAAAATCATCATGGACTGTCCAATGAAACGTGCTTACTGACACATTGTTTATCCCTGTTTATTTCCATTTGCATCACCAATTAATACTTGTTTTCTTTTGAGGATCCTGTTAATTCATGAATGAAATGAGATAAACCGCTTCTATGCTTGGAGGTATTTTAGAATTTGGAGTGAAAGTGTCTCACGTTAGAATGTGCCACCTTCAGAGAGCTGCACTAAACTCAAATCTGCAAAGCCTTTCCTTAACAATCAAATCTGACGTATTTTCTTGCAGAGCCCCAGAATACTGACCCAGCGGTTGACTTCCGGCCTCTGTCTGACGCCTTAAAAATGATGAAGTTAGAAAATCTACATTTTGACAGCATTGATGACAAACTGCAGTCAGAGACTGGACCGGGGACATCACAGGTTAATCTGTGCAGTAACTATGAGTTCACAGAGAGCCTGAGGTCTGAGTTTCCCTCCAACAAGCCAGAGAAGGAGATGGAAGACTTCAAAAAACTGTCACTCGAACATGAAGAGAGTGAGTAGGTTAATGTCAGCAGCTAACTGATTCAGTTCTGTGATAAAGGTGATTGTGTCAGTGGCATCAACTGCTTTAAGTGTTATAATAATCTGTGAAAATAATTGCAGCCTAAAACATTCTTTTCCATTTTATGTTTTTCTCTAAACCTGTTTCAGACCTGGTTCACATTATTTACAATTGTTAGAGTGTTGCAGCAGTTTTCTAACATATCTCTCTCTCTCTCTCTCTCTCGTTTCAGTCACAAATAGATCCATCCTGATAAATCCCACAAACACAACTCAGTTACCTCACCTGGAGAAATGTGAAACAGCAGTTTTTAATCCTGAGATTACAGCAGATGACACCCTTCTTCAAAGAGAAGCCGTTGCTGATACTTCTCAGAACACCTTCCTGAGTCACCGTGTCGGCACAGACGAGACGGACGTTAAACATGCTGCTACCAACACCACCACAGATAAAGATGAGGCTTTTTCAGAAGTGTCAGCCTTGTCTTCTGCTCTTAAGAACATTAAAACATGTCAAGATGAACGTAAACAGAGAACAGCACCCACACTTCTCAGCAGGCAGCGTCCTCCAGATTGAACACGAGAGACAATGGCAGAGGTCCGCAGGTTCTGAGACTTCCTCCAGCAGGGGAGCTGGACCCCCTGTCCACCTTCATGAGGCTGAGATCACAGCAGACAGCTCCTGCTGCATCAGCAGCTCAGACCTCCGCCAAAGCTCAAGGTACACAGTTTTTTTCAGCTTTACTTTAGATTTTTGTCTTGATGACTTGGTGTTTACAGCATGCATGTCACTAAAAAGATCAGTTATAGCTTTGCCTTAGGTTATAGCTGGGGAACTTATTGATCTCAAAATCAAATATTAGTCAAATTTGTGTTCATTTGCACGAGTCTGTATGGTAGTAAAATGTCTGACAGAAATGAATTTTATTGGTTGGTTTACATTTAAGTCGACAATGTTTACTTTTTGTGTGTAAAATAATTATTTTTTCAGATTAAGCTAAAATAGAAATATGCTTTTACTGCCGTCATTACTGATGATTACTACTGGGGATTTATTTAGATTTTAAATGTTGCTGCCACCTTGTGGTCATAACAAGAATGTGGACACCTGATGCAGACAATGATACATAGTAACTTTAATTTATAATTTATGCATTATTAAATTCAATGTGTTAAGGCTTTGTCGTCATAATTCTCATAATCATCATAAATAAAAGAGCTAAACAATCAGCAAGTTAATTCTTTAAAAAAAAATTTTTTTTAATAACTTATTAAGTAACTAAACACTTCAAGATAAATTGAGAAAAAGGATATGACCTAACATATTACACTTTCTAATCTTCCTTTATCTTCATTTTATCAGCACTAAAAGTGGAGAGACAAACGCCACCTGAGCTCCAGCCTCCTCTACAGCCAATGCAGAGATCAGACACAATGCCGATGTACATGAACGGTGCTGTGTCAGGGAACGCTACCAGAGAACAGAACGCAGCCTTGGAGACAAAAGGTCACCACATGAATCATCCTGTAAGTCAGGAGAGCGGAGTAGTAGCAGTCCAACCTACAGGTAAGATACTAAGATAAGTGATAAGATACTACTACAGCACATTCTGTTCAAATATTAAAATATGAAAAAACACTGTATTCAATTATTAAACATGGATGATCTGTTTCAGGTTTTATTACAATATATGTTCTCTCACCTTCCTTCAGACAGTCAGCGACATGCATACTTTGTGCTGCTGGCCTTTGCTCAGCCATGTTTGAGCTCAGCCAGACAGCTGGGGCTCAACGTCCCGGCAGGGCAAGACTTTAGATGCCTGGCCCCTGACCAATCACACTTCATCCTCAAGCAGCAGAAGAAGGCGCTCTGCAGGACACAAGCACAGAGCGCAGAGCTGATCAGAGGTACTTTTTCAATATGCAGAAATACATTTGTAACATCTTGATACATACAATGAAAACACGCTAAACCCATCTGCTTTGTTTTGTTTTGTTTTGGATGCAGATCAGGATGTACTTTTAAACCAGGCTACATTGATTCACTTACTGGTGATGTTTAAGGAGCTTCTGCTGAAGTGTGACCTCAGTACTGCATTGGGTCAGTACGGCTGACTTTAGAGTCTTCTACACCTTGAATTCATTCATTAAATACAGCAACAACAAAAACACATCTCTTCACAACCCACACAAATACATTCCATTCACAAGTGATTTAACAAATCGTAAAAAATACAAATAGCTCATGAAAATAAACCTGTTTAGCTTCAGCAAGACCTTGTAAAAGCCCACCACTTAACGGTATAGTATGGATGAATTTTTGTTTTCAGACTGAAACGAAACTTAAGTTTTGAGGATTTTCATGTTTGTAATCCACGAGTGTTCATATACATGATTGTGTGTGAATCAAAGTAAAATACAGTAATTTATGTTATTTATGGCCTTCTCTGTTTGCACTACAGACTACCTCACCCAGGCAGCTGAGGCATGTGCCGAGCAGAGACTGCAGCAGTTGGTGAAGAGGCTGCAGATCATCCTCTACCTCAGTCACAAGAATCAGGAGCCAGACCTGAAACTGCTGGAGCTGCAGCAGCTGCTGGCTGAATGGCAGCAGGGAAGGAAAGGACAGAAAAGCACAGACAAAGTAAGTGTTATAACTGAAGAAAAAAAGCTAACATTTAATATTGCCTCATTATTTCCATAATAAACCCTTCTATTTTTTATTTGACCTCATGTTTAGTTCTTCCATCAGCCGTAATGTTTCAGAGTTCATTTGTGTTATCTGATTTTTTTTTTCTTCTGTAGCTCCTTGTCATGTTATCGACCTCCTCTGATGAAAACAGATCCAAAATCATCAACAGCCTGAGCCAAACAACTGGTGAGCGACTCCTTCAGATCTCTTTTAGGATTTTCATAAATAAATTCTTCTCAATCAATTTCTACTAAACAGAAGGGAAACAATACACTCTAGTCACATCATAAATATATCACAATATCACAAAACTGGATCCAAGATACCATTTCATCACAATTTTGATGATTTTCTAATTTATATAAAGACTACAAGTGAAGTCAATTTAAGCACAAATATGAGTATTGTACTTCGATCCTCTGAAAATGAAAATACAAATTTTTATTTTCATTTTTTCTTTAAAAAAAAAAAAGAACAGATATTACTTTTTCATTTTGACATTGTATAGTTATAAATCTGCTTCCCTTCATGTTACTAATATATTCTTGGTGTCTCAAACTTCTCAACATATCTCTTGCCATATTTGAACATGGTTTCTGTCGTGTCCATAATGTCCACCCCCTGCTTTGAAACCAGAGAGGTCTTTTGCCCCTGCCCATGTTTACATTTACATGTATGTACGCCTCTCTTCTTCAGCTACTGACGTTGAAGAAAAACCAAAAAAGAAAAACCTCTGCTGGTTCAAAAAGAGTATAGCAGTATATCTTTTACCCGTTATGACTAAATACAAACGTAAATGTTTATGTTTGTTGTTTCAGGAGCTTCTGTAATTGCAGTTCACCCTGAAGAGAACAAGAAGAAGCTAAATGGTGCCAGTGTTATCAGCAGGTAAAACTGGATCGTTGTTGTTTATGGATACATTTTGCACAGGGAACACATACTTTGCTATTTTTCAATCAAATGATCAAGTGTTTCGTCATGTTGGAATAAATGTTTGTTATGCTGTGCTAAAGGAAATATTTGAAGCTGCTGTGCTGTGTTGAAGAAGTGTTTTTACATGCCCATCCTGTCCCACCAGCATGCGCGACAGTGTGTGCGTGTTGGTGAATGAGCTGCATGTGGGCCCTGATTTCCCCTGGAAGTGTTTCTGTCTGGTGGTGGAGTACGATCATCCAGGCCAGTCACCGTGGTCCACAGTGTGCAGAGAGAGGGGGGTCAATCACCTCACATTCAACACTATAATCTCCCACACTGGTCAGCTGCCAATAAAATGATTTGAAGTCACTCTATAGTACCATGTTGTGGGAGAGTTTTGTTTAACTACATACTGTCTGTTTCACACAACAGAGTCTGAGGAGGCCTCGTGGTGCCTGGTGGACAAAGTGCCTTACATGTTGTTTGTGACTGAGGGGCTTCTCAACTGTCCACTTCTGCTGCAGACTCTTGAGTCAGGGTACGTTTATACATGCAGTGTAATTTAATGATATTCAGTTTAGGAATAATAAAATACCTGCGTTTGTATTGCTAGCTTTAGACAAAAACATGGTGGATGATATTACCAAGATGACAAACTTGCATCATGATTTTTAATTGAGACCAAACACTGGGAGGTTAGCTCATGATCAATAATAACAAATTGTTTGTGTGAATGCCAGATTAAGAGTTATTGGACATTTTAAGAGAAATTTGTCATCATTTTACTGAAGATACTGAATTTAAAAAGTTGGTTGTCTGCAGATTTCAGCCTTATCATGAAGGTCTTATGAAAGAGCTAAATAATCTCTGAAATTGTGTTGTTTTTTTTGTTTTTACGAAGCCATTCCTTGAGGTTATAACACCAAAATCTTTGTCTCTCACTACTCACAACAAAAAAATACTTTTATTTGTATTTTCCTCTGAACTTAATTTATTATTTAAGTTTTACAAACTTAACAAGGCTGATACCACCATCAGGAACTTATTCAACTTAAGCCTGGTACACACTACACGATTTCTAAAATCTTAAACAATTTTGATAATGTGAGAGACCCCACACATGACAACAATCCTGACCGATAGTGTGTGGTGTGCAACGAGACGATCAACTCAGAACACCACACAATAACCGATTCATTCGCCGACAACCAGAGTCTCGACTATCACAACGTGTAATTTAAGAGTAAACAAACATGATGGGCAAACTAAATGTGGCTAGCTGTTAGCTGGTAGATCCATTACGGTAAACATTTTGGTCAAACTCCTTTTCTTGTCAGTTGGATTGTGGTTTGATTTACAGGACACGTTGTAATATAACTTGTGCTGTTGCCACAAATCAACAAGTTGGTCCTGAATTCATGACATCCATTTAACTTTATGCTTCGCGATTGCTGTATTCGCCACGGTAATGTATGTTCGTTCGATCGTCTTCCGAGCAGATCGGGGAGGTTAAAAATCACGATTAAAACACACGTCACACCACAGGAGAATCTGGCAAGATAATCTTTCGAACATCAGATAGTGGGGTGTTACGCCGCTACACAAACCCACCGCTAAATGCTATCCTTGCGCCTTACGTGTTTGCGTAAACGTGAAGGTGTATCCTGCCTTACCTGAATGTGTGTGCAACTGTGCTGTCTGTTTGAAGGGTGCGTGTGGGTGACTCACCCCCAAAGAAACTCGTACGTGCCGCGACCAGCTCACTCGGACAGCCCGATCTACGGAGTCACTTGGGTACGATTTCCTCCGCCAGCCCTCTCCTTCATATCAGTTTAGTTCATGTGCAGAAAGAACCCGTGAAGTGTTGAAACATAAACAAACGTTACTTCAGATTCAGTCTCAATACCCATTCCGCCGGCTCCTCCGCAGGTGCTGCTAATGAAGGTTACAGAGACAGAGCCACCACACCCCCCCTCAGGTGTGTCATCAGTACTGACCCTGCTTCTCTTCCTACCAATCACACCTACCGCTAAAGACACTGAAGTGAATCCTCCTAACGCATTATCATAACATGGGGCCTTTGCTGACTTTGGTCGCAAGGGGGGAATCGGGCCCAAAATCGGCTCGATTATCTTGTAGTGTGTACCCCGCTTTACCTGGGCTTGGGTTGCTATGGTGATTAATTGGCCCTTTAACAAACACTGCCAAAGCATTTTCTACAATTCCCTTCAGATAGTATTTCCTGAGACAAAATTATGGCCGTAAATCAGTCCATCTTTATAAAATGTTTACACCACAACTTGCCAGTGATGATAGGATGTAATTGTAATGTGTATGTGTGTGTGTGTGTGTGTGTGTGTGTGTATGTCTGTGTTGTTTTAAAGGTTTAACATAACTGTGCTGGAAAGGAGCCACTGCCCCTCCTTGCAGATGCTTGGTGGGACCCATCAGTATACTGTGATCACAGTGAATGAAAGCACCGCCATCATTGTTCAGGTACTGTGGGACAGAGGCACCTGTTGCATCCATCATCATACTGTACACACACACAAACACACACAGATAAACATTTACACAATATGAGGTAAAACATCCACTTGTTTTTTTATTTCCCTCACTGAGCTTCTTAGGCATTCCTTTTAAATGATGCAAAAATATAATCTTGACAGCAATGACTCATACTTATTTCAGTGTGTGTGTGTGTGTGTGTGTGTGTGTGTGTGTGTGTGTGTGTGTGTGTGTGTGTGTGTGTGTGTGTGTGTGTGTGTGTGTGTGTGTGTGTGTGTGTGTGTGTGTGTGTGTAGGAGGAGGATGAACTGTGTCAGGAGCGAGGCAGTGAACGAGTAGTCATGAGACTGACAGCTCTGTCCCTGCAATACAACTGCTGCTGGCTCATACTGCACTGCCCCGACAGCCGGGGAGGAGGGTCAGTGAACACATACACTCACATACACACAGATGTGGAACTCAAACATAGGTACGTATTTTGTGCACACAGACTCACCATCAGTACTTCTATTCGTGCAGATTTTCCACTGAAGCCTTCAATAACTTGGTGTTGGTTTATTCATCTCTGGTGTTGTTCGGCATGAAGTCAGAGGATCTGGATGTGAAGGTCAAACACAAACATCATTTCATTTTCTCCATCAAACTGTTTCTGTTTTTCAACTGAACGTTGTTGCGTGGAAAATAAAAAATAACTGAGGACATATACTCAAATACACAAAGTTGTTCTTAAATTACCGGTAAGCCTCTTCCTGTGTTTCTCAGGTGCTGATCGTGTCTAATGTGGTGGAAGTCACCAAATGGATCAGCAAGATCTGCTTCCACAGCCTGATGTCCAGCGACAGGGACCCTGTCGAATACCTGAGTAGAGACTGGTTGACGTTGCTCCCCTCAGAGGTGATTAATCATCAGGAAGTTACAAAGATTAGTCTAATATTTGACATGTATTTGCTTCTTTAACTACTTGTTACAACTTGATTAAATTGCATAAGAAAAACAAAGCCTTGAAAAAACAATACTGGAGATGTTTTTTTTTAATCATCCAGGATTTCTTTTTTTTTTTCATGCAGTTTTATGTGTCAATGTCCTGTTGTTCTTCTGCTCCAGGAGGAAAAGTGTTTGTGTCAGTTCCCGAGTATCAACCCTCTGGTCAGTCAGTTAATGCTGAACAGAGCGCCATCCTTTCAGTGGCTCCTGGGGGCCTCTCTGTCTCAGCTGCAGGAGCTGCTCCCTGAGGTGCCGCATAAAGTCCTCAAGGTGATTTGAGATATACGTGTTCTACATTCAAATATATGTATACTATAGGTGGCATGATAAAAATGTTTTATGGGATTTGACCGAGAGTTATGGCTGCTACTCAGGGTAATGAGAATTTTATTGTTCGGTTTTTCTGGGAATAAAACATTAAGAAGTCGAGCCAACACAACTCAGAGTCTAATGTGTTTAAATTCAGTGAATTATTATTGTTTATTTACTGTCGTATGTGACAAAGAAAACAGGAAATCCTTATAGATGAGATGCTAGTATCGGTAAATGTTGGCTTGAAATATTTCTTCGACAATCAATAGATAGTCAAAAGTTGCCTCTTTTTTCTTTTTCTTTCGGTAAACATAATTGATGGATTGACTGATGTAAGCCTCAAACTGTCATCCTTTAACACGGTCCAAATCATTGTTATAAACCTAATTACTGCAGGAGAGATCACAAGTAAGAAGAAGTGATTTAAAAGAAGGGAAGTTGAATCTTCTCAGGACTTAATAACCTCTCTCCTCTCTCTGCTTTCAGATGTTTAGTGACACCACCTCCCTGTATACAACAACCAAAAACCACCCAGAGTCTCAGACAGTCATCACTGAGACAAACCAACAAACCAGGCACCTTAACAGCCCCTGGACTACTGCTGTTTGCCCAGAGCACGTAAACTCTGGTCCACTACCAGAAACCCCCATCAACCCCCATCCAGAACTTCCTTGTGGTGACACCAGCTTCCAGTTTGGAGCAGATAGCAGCTTCTTCGAACCTCACTCAGACGTATTAGCGCAGGACGGAAACACAGATTTCAGACTCAACCTGAGTTCCTCCTTTGGCAGCCCAGACGTTCACCTCCAGACGGGCTGGAACAGAGAACCCTGGAGAGAGGAAGACAGAGGCAGGAAGGAGGTGGAGTTTTCTAGTTGGAGAGGCAGAACTGGAGCAATTGGGAGAGTTGTAGATAGAATAAATGATGAGTGGACCCCAACAAAGCCTGTTGGTTCTTTCAAGCTGGACTCTGTGCTAGGCTACAATCCAGTCCTGCAGCAGCCAGCCGCCAGTCACATGACCACATACTCTCCAGTCTTCAGTGGCTTCCAGGATCCAGGTAGCCACAGTCTGAGCCCTCCTGCAGAGGTATCGATGTGGGACAGAGGTCTAAGCAGCTTCCCCAACAGTAGAGAGACAACGCCAGGTTCAGCTAACTACGGCTCCAAATGCTGGTTTGGACAAGAGAGGAAGAGGCACGGCGAGGTGGCAGGTTTAGTCGGCGCAAGTACCGGTAAATCATTTATTTCCATAAAGTTGTCTCTGGGGTTTTCTACCATAAGAGCATCGACTGTTTGTCATAGACTGGATAAAATAAGTGGATGAAGCCACATGGGCGTAGCTTTGTGGTTTTTGGACTGCTGTTTAGAAGTTCCACAAAAGGGTGGAAACTGAATGCATTGCTAAACATCTATCTTGTATGACTGGTGGCCCTTGTAGTGACTTCTTAGTCATCGTAGCCCTTGTATAGTAAAGCATACGCTGCTTTATTGTCTATCTATAAATGGGGCCATAATTATTAAATCAATGTCAATTCAGGTTTAAGGCGTTTGCATTCCCGTATCAAACCTGTGGGCAATTCTCACTGTCAAACACTAGTGAGCTTCCTAATTATATTTTAAAAGCTTTTCTATTGTGATAATGTAATTATGTAATGGTTTAATTGCACATTACATGAGAGGTACCCACACCCACTATTCAGCCCAAAAAACTCCCCCTGAAGATTTGCAAAACGGTAGAATGTAATTTTCAATCTGCATTTCTTTGATTTGTATGTAGATTTACTAAAACAAAAGTTTCAATGTGTTTCATTTGGAGTGGCCTGTTTGAGACTGTTTGCAGCTTCATTACCTGATTCAGACATGTCTGTATGTGTGTTTCTTTTTTCAGCGATGACTCCACTAAAGAAGGGAAGGTTAAGCTTCGAGAAGGTTCCCGGAAGAAGTGATGGACAGACGAGGCTCAAATTATTTTAGTCGTGAATATTTTGTCCCTGTGTTCTGTTTGTAAACACCAGGGAAACATTTCTTCACCAAATTTTGTAACATTCAAGTTATTGACTGAAATAGTTAGGTTTTACTTCTGAGCTTTTTATTCAGGTGGAATAACTTTCAAGTTTGGCTGCAAAAACCGGCTAATGCGCTTAAATATAATCGCTGCATTTTAGACAAATATTCAATATCTAACCAGCAGTGTTTTGACCTTTAAAGCAGGAAACTAAATGAAATTGCTGTTCTGTTACGAGCTCCTGACCAATAAGTTGTTTATATAAGAATTATCATCTTGCTATTTTTAACGATATTTAAAAAAAAAATGTTTTTTATGAAATCTTAAAGCTGTATTCCCTCTTAAGACGTTCTGAACTATTTTGTATAACTTCTCTATTTTTCAAATGTCCTTCATCTTGTTGCCATTCAAAACAAAATGTTAGTGTATAAACAGATAATTGATATCAATATAAAACAGTTTTAGATGTCTTCACAGGTGAAGTTGGAGTTGTTGACATACTGTTCGCTACAAAACACTGAAATATATCTGCTCAAACTACTGTACATTATAGTGTGTTCAAAACTGTTTCTGAAATGTTTATGTTCTGCCTCTAAGTAATAAAAAGCATTAAGATTGCCACCGTGTGCACATTTTGCTTTTGTTTTGGTTCCCCCTCCCCACATGGAGCATGCTCAGTAGTGAAAAACAAACTGTGATTTATGGTTGGAGGAGCGGGATCGAGGGTCTTTTCCCAGCTAAACTGATAACGCCTCTCATTCTAGCAGCTCCAATGGTGGGGCTATTTTTTTCTTTTTTTCATTTAGTGAAGCAATCCCCTTATCATCGTCTCTCAGCATGTGGAGAGAGTGCTTATCTTCACGAGCCAGCAGAGTGAAGCCAGCTCCCTCAGGAATGATCCCCAGACAAAGACGACCCCCGGGGAAATCGACTCCAAGCCTCCCCCTGTCTGTGGACCGACACATCCAGCACTGACTGGCCGCCATCAATACCAAGCTAGTCCCCCCCCCCCCGCCCCCAGCCCTCCTTCTCTCTGGCCTCGGTGGTCTAACAAGCAGTGGACAAACAAAGACGCAGACTAAATGTTTTGTTTTTTATGGCTCAGGAACAAAAGTGATGTTTGCAGGTTGGTCAAAGGAGGCCTGGTACAAAGGCGAGGTAAACAGCAGCCTAATGGAGCAGTAATTGCCCCCTGACTGTCCGGAAGCCCTGGACTGAATGGAAGAGGAGCGTTATTGTGGGAATTAACAGGCTGTTTAAACCAAAGCGATCTTTCTGACTGCAGCTGTAAAGGTCACACAGCTGTTATCTGTAATCACAGCAGCAGTTTACTGTGTCACCTGTGTGTTTCCTCTCCTCTGTGAATGTGTGTGTGTGTGTGTGTGTGTGTGTGGGGGGGGGGGGGGGGCTCTTCTGAGCTGGAGTTACATTTGTTAGCTTAGACCTGATCTTATTTGTAGACAGGAAAGGGAATCCTAAAAGAAGCAACACACTACTTCAACTACATCACAGAAGCACATCAGTGACGAGTCAGTCATTGATACAAAATGCAATTACACAAAATGAATACAATTTCAGATTAATTGGTGGTAATGATACTTTAAAAAAACATATCTAAATAATAACTTCACATTAGCATTTTCCACTAGCTATTATAAACATACAGGTTATTTTGAATGCATTTCTCTGCGCTACGTGTGAATTGAATCATACCTAACTGGTACAGCTAATAGACTGTCCTCGTCAAAATAAACAAATCCAAAAAATAAAAAGTCAAGCTTTATTGACCTACTCAACTGTGTGTCTTTATCATTGAATCTGCTTTACTTTAATTTGACATTTAATAATTTGTAAAAAATAAAACAGTACTAGATTTCAATGATGAATATTTTCACTCTTCACTCACTACATCAACTCAGAAGCAATCCTACTGCACAGTATCAATGATTGGTTGTCAATAAGAATCATAGGGGTTGATTGATGATCAATGTTTGAGCTAGCTGTCACTGCATTTAGAAGATCAGTGTCAAAGTTAAGATAAAGCCCTACAGCAAAAACTCATTTCATTGACAGTCAACCAGAATTTATCAGGTGAGAAATAGTTCTGAATGTATAATTGATCTAATATCACGTCACTAAAGTCTACTGCTCTGCCGGTGTGATAACATGAACAGTCAATACAGACGTGTGCTGAAAGGGTCAGAGAGGTCAAAAACTAAAACAGAAGTTCAAAAAGAGGTTTTGAGTTTTCGAGTTTTGAGTAATCATATCGTCAGTGTTGTTATTTGTATTGTCTGGCATTTAAGCACAAAATGTAGACATTTTTATAAACTAAAAATACTTCTAATATACTTCTTTTTTTTTTTCTGTCGGAAGTTGTTTGGAACCAATACTGTGCTATTATCTTCTGTATAGTATTTTCTGCATACATTTGTGTGAACTTTTCGTTAGTGTAAAAACAAAACAGATTCCTCTTAGTCGTCTTACAGTTGTATCAGCATGCCTCCCTATCCAAGAGGTGCACCTTAACAAGACCCAATTAATTCCACAAGTGGTTTCAAAATGTGTCCTTGTGTTTTCAGGCCTGACCTGTACAACATGTAGATTATAAAGATTCTTCACCTGGCCTTGTAGGTGTGATGAAAAATAACAGACTGCCACTGGAGTTTCTGCAGACGTTCAGCCTGCAGTGAACACTGGATGGATGCTGCATGGAACTACAGAGCAGCGGCGCCTGGCCTGCAGGTGCAGCCTCTTGGCCGTGCAGCAGGGCCCATGAATGGCCGATTGAGAAAATCAGCCCCCATCGGGCCTGTTCTCCAGGCCCAGGGCTAATCCCGGCCCCTAATCGGATTATGTAAATTCCTACTCCACACAGAGACTTTTATGGAAGGCTGCGTCTTTGAAACAACACTTGAAGGGTGTAAAAAGAACAGTGACAATTGGTTAAACTAGGCTTGTTTTTTTTATTTGAATGTAGGTTGAAAGTGGGAGGTAGAGAAGAGGGGGAGAGAGGGAGGAGAGGAGTGGTTAGAGAGAGGTAAGTCAGGGCGCTGTGCATGCCCTGTTTCCTCTGTAATTTATGTGAAGCCCCTGTGAATGGCTCAACAAGATTACCATAGTCATAACAAAACCCGTATTGTAGGACTGTCAATCTGGATATGCTATTTTTACCTTTTGTGGCCCAATCAGCCTGAACTCAATCGCTGTGATATCAACATCTTTTTTTCACGGTGGAGGGCTATGTGGGCTGTCCGTGCCTAATGTCAGAGAAACAGAAAGGAACAAGTGTCCACAGCCAGTAAGAGGAGGATCAGAGACATGAACGTCTCAGTTTCACTCCAATGGGAATATATTTGTCACCTTTAGTGCGAACCTTTAAGGATTAAATGAGCACTGAATCATAAAAGCAGCACAAATAGTCACTTTAAATGCTGTTGAATCCCAAATCCCTTCAAGTGATGCACTGACACACCTATGAAAATATTTTAAAGTGATGATTTAGAGCCACCCGCATTGTTTCCAAAAGATCTTGCAGAAAATGTGTGTGTGTGTGTGTGTGTGTGCGCGCATGTGTGTGTGTGTGTGTACTTTGGCAATCATTTAACACCAACCTCACACAATGACACAGAGGCTCAACGACAGCACACGTCACACAATGGGTTCACCCTCCTATAAAATGTGGGATGCGAGCATGCAGCAGTCTTACCCCTTCTCTCTCTCTCTCTCTGTTCCCCATCCCTCCCTCCCTCACACTCTCTCTCCCTCTCTCTCTCTCTCTTAAGGATATCTAAGTGAGCATGAGAAAACATAACTGAGTGGACATTCACGCCGGACTTCTGCGTAGCTGATAACCAGCGGAGGACGACTCTGCAGCTGAGATTTTCTGCATATTTCTACGCACATATAGGTGAGAAATCTGGCGTGAACTGAAGGATTTCCCCCCCCCCTTCATCTTTGCGACCATTTATTTTCACTATGGTCAAGTTCATATTAACAGGATAATGTCATTAGGGGAGATATTTTGTACGTTTAGCCTGCAGCTCTGGTGTTAACGGTAAATACAAATAAATAGACCAGACGTTGCATTACGTAGAAGATCAAATGATCTCTTTATATCGATGCATAAATAGAATTGAGGTTTTTGACGCTTAATAAAAAGGTTGATGACACTTCTCTTTAACCCCTCTATTTAGCATTTACTACCACAGTTTAATAATTACCTGTTAATAATGCACTATAATGTAACTGTAATTTATTTGAAGTGTTTATAAATGTAAAATTTAAGAGAACATTTCTAACACCTCAAAAGATATTCTGCTATAAAAGATGATGTTGCATTATAGCCATTTATAATCAGTCTATACACCAGCATCAACCTGTGATCAGTTGTTGACAAAATATTTTTACAATTCATGTTTAAAGTTTATTTACTGTTTAAAAATGACAAACACGGCAGGGCGTTAAGTGAAGCCCTGGTGCCGCATACACCAAACGCAAAATGCAACATTTCAGGAAGAAGCAGAAAAAGGCTCAGAGGAGGATTTGTTTTTTGGCTTAAAATATAATTCTGTTATTTGGGGGCATAAAATGGGGCATACTGCAAGCTGCTAGTTTTAAATGAATGAAGTACAGACTCTGCTTCCAGTTACTCAGCTCAGCTTGCTGGATTGTGGTTATAATTTACAAGTGATTCAACTGCAGATCATTTTTCTGTATTATTGTTCTGTCTCTACAACTTTCAAATAATTATAAGAGAAATTGAAATATCCAATTTACCGGTTCATATTTGTGTTTTGTCCGACCAAGAGTTCAAAACACCGAGATGATGGGGTGCTGGTCAGCCTAGTAGTTATGTCACGCGCCTGAAGTACAGAGGCTATCGTCCCCTGGGCAGCCCGGGGTCAACTCCATTCTCATTTGTCACTCCCCACTCTCTGATCCCTGTTTCTGACTCTGTCCACTGTCCTATTTATAAAAAAAAAAAAAAAACAACATGACAGTCTATGATCATGGATGGAAAAGCATAAAATCTTAACATTCTCAGGCTCTTTACATTAGAATGTCTACTGAATAATCCATTATCCGTTGAACAGTTTCTGATGACCTGCTAACTAATCGTTGCAGGTTTACTCAGCATCATGACCAGGAAGGTTTTCACCAACACGAGGGAGCGCTGGCGTCAGCACAACGTCAACACGGCCTTCGCAGAGCTCCGCAAGCTCATCCCCACCCATCCTCCAGAGAAGAAGCTGAGCAAGAACGAGATCCTGCGTCTGGCCATGCGCTACATCAATTTCCTGGTGCAGCTGCTGGAGAGCCAGAGCGGTCAGCCGGCCAGCCACTCCCCCACCGCTCTGCTCACCTTCCTCAGAGGAAACATGGAGCAGCTACGCTCCCCTCCTCACGCCTGGGCCCTGACCAGTGACACAGAAGTCCCATCACCTGGATCCAGCTGTGACAGCTCTGAGGCCTGGTAGAACCACTGCTGCAAAACGAAAAAAAAAAACGACAAACTCTTGAGTGGACTTTCTAACTTTTTCCTGGGGTTAAACTGATCGAGTCCATCTTCAAGACTCATTTTTATCTCTGCGTTTTTTTTTTAATGCAGAGGATATGATTGCGTGTCAAATTTGTGGACTCCAAACATGGCAGAAGAAGTGGGCAAGGCCTCCAGCTGATCAGTGTTGAAATATGATTTGCTGTGAAAAGCTCATTTGTATTTTGCATGGATGTATAAAACCTGGATGTACAACATTTCCTTCATGTCTTCCTGTTAATATTCCTTGTTGCCGGTCGCCTGGAACTAATTTAGTTTTGCACTGAGGGATGTTTTTGCCAATAAGGAAAATGGGGGGGGGATTAAGGAATTTCTCATTTAAAGCATAGATTCAGGCAAGCATTTGAAAAGATAATGGCCCAGCCAATTCTCCAGACTGCAATCGTCTCAAAAAGCCAAGGGCACTTTTATTTTTAGTCGACATGCTTCTTTTCTTGGGAAGACTAAATCTGACCTTTATTTTTATGAACAAGGTTATGTCACTTTGAAGACTCAGACTTTTTTTTTTTTTTTTACCCCTTTTAAAAAATACGATGTTCAGTATTTGTTGATTACAGCGTGTGATACTTTCGGCAAAACTGACAATCCTCTTTCAGTGATTTCATGCCTCCCCACACAAATGTTTTCTTATTTAAATGTGCTTTGGTTTGAGATTTTTGTATTATAAAGCATGTCATATGGCCAAAGATTATGAATTGATTGTTTACTGTGAAGAGTGTGCTTATTTCTCCTAATACCTCTTTTGTAACTTATTTTGGTCTGTTTGTGAATATACAGTATGTTATTTATTTGAATTATTTATTTAATAAATGATTTGTTATTAAATTACCCACTGTGTCTTTTCTTCTCTTGTTGTGCACAATTCAAAGTTATCTTTACATTTTGATGATTGACTTGAGCTACGCTTCACGTCTGAGCTTGTTTGTGTTGCTATGCATTTAGAAAGAAAAAGAAACACCAGAACTTTAAGTTCAGTATTGATGGAAATGATTGCTCTATAATGCAATGCACAAAACATAAGGATCTGGTCCTAACTGAAACAATGTTGTAAAGCAGAGAGGCAACTCAGTACTGAAATCTAAAAATGATTGTTATTATGAAAATTAATGCACACCTTAAGCAGAATTTCATGATATAAAAATATGTTGTTTACAAAGAAAATAACTTTATATAATCAGTATTAACAATTTGAAATTTCACCTAGTGTGAGATACAACTAAACTGAAGAGTGGAGCTGCTGCCTCTTTGTCCGTGCTCAACAAGCCCCAAAAACATTTGTCCACTAGAGCTGTGTCGGCCGTGTGGACACAGAGCTGACCTCTGCTCTCTGTCCACTGACCAGAGCAGTGCTGCAAGTGAAAGCTTAACTTGTGACCCGGGGGTTGAAGGTCGCTCTAGAGTCAAACACTGTCCAAATGACCGATGATCAGATGGAGTTTTCTTCGGGAAAATGTCACTTAGCTGCTGCACATGCGGTATATGATAACAATCGAGTCATAACATCTTAGCAAATCTGGCCGAAATTATTCGGAAGAGTGACAACAAAAATGGTTCAATTTATTCGAGTTAGATTCCAAACATACACGTGAAGGCTAACATCCAGCTAAATCATGTACATGTTATTGAGCAGTTTGATATTATTTTTTTAGGGAAATGCAACAAATAACACATGACAATAGTAGTATTAATTATTCTCTTTTCATTTCTAGTAAATCTATTAAATGTCAAAATATAACAAAACGTGCACATTATAATTGTTTTTATTGGCATCCTTACAAAGCAACAAATCTTCACACTTCAGACATTGCTCCTACAACATTTTTTTGTGGCATTTCTGGTTTAATAAATGACTCACCAGTAAGCTCTAAATAGTTTCTATTTATTTTTCAACACATTAACACATTATTTCAGCTATAGTTCAAATATATACAATTTACTTTGCACCAGTGTCCTTGTTTGTCATTTAAACCGAGGTCAGACATTTACATGCCTAATCGTCTATTGTGACTCTAGAAAATGTGCCCCATTTTCAGGCAAAAAGGGCTGCAACTAACTGAGCTGAAGAGTAAACACTGTGTTGGGTTCAGGCGCTTTCACCCTGGCTGTTAAACTCCAGCTAATAGTGTGTACACGGAGCAGAGGGCAGCTGGACACACTGACTGGAGGCCTGTGGGAAACTGACAGGTGACTCTTTGTTATCCTGCAAACAAAACCTAAATAAATCAAACTGTACTAGAAGAGTGAAAATACTGTATATTAACAGTTTATCACTCTCACAGCATACATTTGAGAGGTATTTACCTCTTGTTCGATTTCATGCTGAATTGAGCAATTTCATGGTTTAGTGATATCAAAATAAAGCAACTGTGGTTATAAAAAGCTACTCTTCTTGGTAATATGGCATGAAAGATTAAAAAATGTTTTTTCATATTGATCATTTTTGTGCAATTTAGATTTCCTAAGACATGGATAGGAAGACATTTGACAGCTTCTGCAACCGTTCTGCTCGGCTGTGAAATGCATTTTGCTGATACAACCTATTTACAAAATTCCCCAATCGCAATATGAGCATCACTCTTACCTAAACTTTTTTGCAAGATTATGAAACCTTGCATTGAAAATAATGACAAATGTGGTTATTCTCATTCCCTCCACCAAGTATATTTGCCTGATTGACTATTCTCAACCAAGTATGTGGGTAATCGTCTATTGAGAGCACATTTCCTTATCAGCGTCTAGCACACTGTCTGAATCTGTTATCACAATGGGCCAGATCAGTGCAGGCAGCCCCTCGCTCTCCCGGCTGAGGCGCCAATGAAAAAGAATTTCTGGAGTTGGGTGCCAACCGATAGGCCCTGAGCTCTTTATCCCCTTAAAGCCAATTCACACTCTGCATGTTTAAATATCTCAGCTCAACCCCTGCCCTCCCACTCCCATCGTGCACTCCAACCCCCCCGCTCCTCTTTCACTATTCCTCTCGCTCTCTCTCACCCCTCCACGGCTGCAAGTCCAAGCAAGGACTGCCGCTGAGGCCAACCTGCAGCCCGGATTGGTTGGGTGGGATGCAGGTGCAGGCTGGTAGGAGAGTGAGAGAGGAGGGGAGACATCCATTGTTAGGCTGGACAGCACCCTCTCGCTTTTGGAGCACCCTCTGATGGGGGAGCACACTGACAATCACGCATCCTAATCTGATTATGCAAATATCTACTTCAAAAAGCAATACGCTGTAACCCTTACCCTGTGGTGGGAAGACAGAGCGAGCAAGATGAACAGAAGGAGAGGAAGCAGCAGGAATGTAATGAGAGAAGGGTGGATGGCTTAGCTCCAAAGAAAATTAAATACAAGGGTAAAATGCATAATTAGACTCAATACTTCGGCAATTTTGCATGAAAAATTCTGATACGCCTGTCAATAGTTTCTCTCACATACACTCTGTTCCACCAGGGGAGGTCTGGAAACAACACAATACACACTTACACACTATGAATGGCCACTGACTCCATCAACAGGGCATTGAATTCAATATTCAAATGTGTATTGTTTTTCCAGTCGCTCCTGAATCAAGCATCAATAGGAATCTACAATGTTAATGAGGCTGCCAAAGAACCCAGAGTTAAGATTTGGACAACCGAACAGTCGAGGTGACATTTCCTGAGAACACACAGCCTGAACGCTGCTGCTTCCAAAAGGCACAGTCGACAAACCCGTCGCCCCAATATTCAGTCCAAGGTGACCCCTGGCTCCCGCAGGTTTTTTTAAAAATCAGCTGCTTCCTTGTACTAGCAGACACATCTCTTAAACAAGACTTAAGGTCTGCTGCACTGCTAGCAGCTCTTTAAGTCTGAACTAAGCAGTACCTTTAGCTAAATGCAAAGATCAGTAAACAGTCTCACAGTGACCCTGTTAACAAGGTAAATATTGTAGTAAGAGGAGAAGTAAGAAATGTAGTTACATTTGCTAATCAACACTTAATACAAATAACAGCTGAGGCTGATGAAAATGTTAATTTTGCAAGCGTTTTAAGTCACTGACTAAAATATTAGAAAACTTAAAATATGACCTGATGATGGGATATCCAAAGTCAGTACATTCATGGTGGTAGGGACATGAATTTAACAGAATTAACGGCAATCCATCCAATATTTATTGAGTCATTTCTCTCAAATAGCACAGACTTGAAGCTTATGATGTTGCATCAGGAGAAGTCCTGTGTTCAGTCAGTGGGACTCAGCATCCTGGAACTACAGCTATGTATACCATATCAAAAGTCAACCATTTTGGAGATGTTAACATATTTCACTTAGTAGTTCAAATTCTTAACCCGCTGGTGGCACTACATCTCTACCAAACGCTCACAGTAAAGCGTTCAATAGATGTCTTTAAAATTCAGACAATAACATTCTTCCCCCCCACCCATGTTTTTAAACAAAACTTCATGGCAATACGTCCAAATGTTTAAAGGATAGTTCTAATAATCTGTGCCAAAGTGTGATACTGAGTAGGACAAAGACAAATGCTTTGGAATGTTCCTTCAAAATACAAAATGTTTTCATTTTGTTTTCCTGACTTACTACATTCCCCCTCTCTGAAAACCCATCCAGTACTCCTTTAGTGGTATGCAAGGAAATTCTTCCACAGGCACCCACATGCTCTCAACTTCCTCAGATTATGCAAGTGTTTCCAAGCACATTGAGATGGAATGCGTATGCCTTTGTGCCTTTTTTCACCTCTTCTCGTCTAAAGAGTAGAACTTGAGGATCTAAAGTCTGAGTTTCTGTTTGTGGAGTTGTGGTACAGGTCAGATTGCTCTTGTTTTAGTACTGGGTATTAACTTTACAACCACTATCTTTTACCTCCAACCATTTGCTTGGGTGGGTCTGTGTCATAGAGCACAAAGAGGAGCTACATGTCAGAGTTCAGCTTTGATTAGTTAATGATTATTTTTCAAGGAGTAGCTTATACAGGAGAGCAGAGCAAAGCAGGCTCATCGCCAGACAAACAGCAACCATGAAGCTCGGCAAACATCTTTCTTTTTCCATTCTGCTTCTTCTTTCGGCAACATGGAGTGCAAATGGGGGGAACATTTTGGTGTGGTACACTGAAGGCAGCCACTGGATTAACATGAAGCCTGTGCTGGAGACACTGATCGACAGGGGACACCAGGTGACGGTTCTGGTGCCTAGCACGTCGATGTTCATGAACATCAGTGAGCCTTCAGGTTTCAGCTATGAACCCTTCAATGTCTCTGTCTCAGTGGAGCAGATGGAGAGGTTAATGGAAGATTTATTTCAATTTTCTATATATGAGGCAGACAAAATGAGTTACTTGCAGATTTACAACAGATTCATGGAGCTGATCGATGTCAACATGGAGTATACTTTAAAGTTTTTAGATGGACTCCTGAAATCAGAAACCACCATGACGAAGCTGAAGGATGGAAAATACGATCTTCTCTTTTCGGACCCCATCTTCCCAGGTAGTGACTTGTTAGCTGATGTATTGGGAGTCCCCCTGGTCTTGTCCTTGCGCCTTTCCATGGCCAATAACTGGGAGAGACAGTGTGGTCAGTTACCAGCTCCACCCTCGTTTGTCCCGGGGGGTATGAGCAAACTGACCGACAAGATGAACTTCTTGGAAAGAGTGCAGAACTTTCTCTTTTACCAATTTCAGGACATCATGCTGGCCAACTGCATATGGACAAAAGTTGATAAATATTACTCCGAATACAGAGGTGAGCAACTCAGCCAAAAGAACAAGTCACTAGACTGGTTGGCAACTTGTTAATCTTGGTAAATATCATTTAAATAAAAGCTTTTTTTTTATCTTGGGTATTGACGATACTTTTCGAGGCGCACTTGTCATCCATACCTTTTGTCATGTGACAGGAACCCCCACCAGTGCCTGCGAGTTATTGGGTAAAGCAGACATCTGGTTGATGCGAACTTACTGGGATTTTGATTTCCCTCACCCTTTGCTCCCTAACTTCAAATATGTTGGAGGGATCCACTGCAGACCTGCTAAGCCTTTGCCAGAGGTCAAGCTCATATACTGTCACACGTCTTTTGTTTTATTACAACTATTACGTCAGGTGATTTTTTTTAAACAAAGATGTTACTTTCCTTGCAGGATATGGAGGAGTTTGTACAAAGCTCTGGAGACGCTGGTGTTGTGGTCTTCAGTTTGGGATCAATGGTCAAGAACATGACCAGAGAGAAGGGAAACATGATAGCTTCCGGACTTGCTCAGATCCCACAAAAGGTCAGAAAAAATATTTTTGCCAACTATAACTGATTTGAGCATGATTTCAATATAGTATTCTGTTGTAGTGTGCAAACTCAACTCAATAAACTTAAGATTGCTGGCTTGATTGTTGGCATTTCTACTGCAACCTGGCATTGAAAGGCAGCAGCGTTGAAAAGTTTATCAGCTTATGCCAAGAGGTCAGCATTAACACAAGCTTTGAAGATAATGGTCATAAAGTTATAATGACATTGCATCTTTTATTAACTGCAAAGTTCAAAATATATATAACTTACAAAGATTTTACAGGAGAGGTGTAGATCATATTTTTTCTTAAATTCTAATGCAGAAAAACATTTAATTTGGTAAAATATACCGTGATAACATTTTAACCCCATTCTTTTTTAGAAATAGCACAAAGACAACATATCAAATGTTGAAACTGAAAATTTTCACTGTTTAAGATAAAATAAGGAGCCTATTTTGCAAATGTTGCAAGCAACACCTTTCAGAAAAGTTGGGGCAGAGAAAGAAAAGAATGAAAAAGGTGAGAAATACTAAAAGAAACACCTGGTGGAACATCTAATTTTTAAGGTTGACAAACAATAGGTTAGTGATGGGTATGGGCAAATGATAAAAAAGAGCATCCCAGAGAGGCTGAGTGTACCTAATATCATTTAAAGATTCAGAGAATCTGAAAAATCTCTATACACATGGGACAACAACCAACATTGGGTGGCTGTGAGCTTCAGGCCGTCAGAAGGCCCTGCATTAAAAACAGACAATTCTTTTGTGGACATCATTGCATGGGCTAAGGAACACTAACGCTAAGGAAAACCATTTTCTGTGAACACAGTCTGCTACTGCATTCACAAACGTTAGCTGAAACTCTACCATGCAAAGAGGAACTCTGATGAATCCAGAAATGTTGCTGTCATTTAAAACAGACTGAGTCAAAGTGAAACACTGTCCTGTGGTCAAATGACTTCCTGATTGGATTTAGAGGAGTGGGACTATCATGCTTGTTTTCAGTGCAGTCCAAAAGCCAGCATGCGTAATGGCATGGTGGTGCATTAATGCACACAGCATGAGTAACTTACACATTTCTGAAAGCTCTAATGCTAAACCATGTGTAAAGGGTTTGAAGCAACATATTCTGCCAAATAAACAACTTCTTTTTAAAAAGGGAAGGTCTTGCTTATTCCAGCAAGACAATGCCAATCCACAATCTGCACCAATCACAGCAGAATGGCTCCGTAGTCAAAGAGTCCAGATGACTAACTGGACTTCTGCAGTCCTGACTTGTCACCCATTGGAAATGTTTGGAACATTAAAAAGCATAAAATACAGAAAAGGAGACCCTAAACTATTGAACAGCTGAAATCCCTCATTGAGTGTGAACAGTAAAACATTTCATTTAGAACAATTAAGGAACTGGTCGCCTTTGTTCCCAAACTGTTATTAAATGAAGAGGCGATGCAACAGGGTGGCAAACAAAACCGTCATGATATCAGAATCAAAATGGGCGTATCATTTTTTAAATAAAAGCCAATATTTCCCTGTTTCAACATTTGATATGATGCCTTTGAGCTATTTTCAGTAAAATATGTGTTTTAAATTATTTGACAATCTCTGAATTCTGCTTTTATCAAGATTTTAACAACTTTTTTGAAATTGGGGTTTGTAAACTAATTGACTAAGCACTCTCTCAGCCAGGGTTTTTACTTGTGTTTATAGGTGTTGTGGAGATATAGTGGAGAAAAACCAGACACACTGGGTGCCAACACCAGGATATACAACTGGATCCCTCAGAATGATCTCTTGGGTAAGTAAAGGTTGATCAAATTTTGACAGTAATAAAAAAAAATTAAGAACTAGGACTGTGAGAAACTGTATTCTCTGTTGTGATAAAGAAAATACATAAATGTACTCTTTTTTTTTAAGACAGGACAGAGAGAGTGAGACATAAAATGTATTGGAAAGGAGGTCGCAGGTCAGACTGGAACCCCATTTGTAGGACCACCTAGGGACAAGAGTTGGAAATTAGCAATAGCTTTAAACTCTCTGTGCAGCATGTCAGTTTCATGCTCTGTATTGAAACTATTGCATTGTCCCTATTAAATAAATACATTAAATCCAATTCAATATAGCCTCCATACAAGGGGCGCAAACTAACTGCTATTCTATCAGTGCCCCGATAGGCCTTATTTCTGGAAAAAGAACAGGCCCCACTTATCACCTGCCGAATGCCATCAAAACTGATGCCTGGTAGTGGCAGTATTATTCTGTATAGATTATTTTCAGAGGCAGGGACTTGCCTGGTAGGATGGGATGTTGTACCAAACAAAGTACAGTGATATTCTTAAAAAAAAAAACTGGCCTCCGACTCCAGACTGGGCCTAATAGCTACGCACCACAGCGGTTGGAGGTTCAGGGCCTTGATCAAGGGTGCCTCTGCAGTGCTCGGAAGCATCCTAGCACCTCTCCAGCTACCAGACAAACTTCCATATTATGGACTTGAACCGGCGACCCTCTGGTTCCCAACCCAGGTCCCTACGGACTGAGCTACTGCCGCCCCTATTGCAGCCAACAGTCCTTAACCAAGTATTGATTCAAGAGCTTGTATACCTATGTCAGTCATTCTTCTTTCAATAAAATGCTAATTTGATGCCAATGTTGTCGTTAGGCTGCACGGTGATGCAGTGGTTAACTTTGTTGCCTCACAGCAAGGAGGTTCCCGGTTCGAATCGCCGCCAGACAGGGCCTCTCTGTGTGGAGTTTGCAAGTTCTCCCTGTGCATGCACGGGTTCTCTTCGGGTACTCTGGCTTCCTAACGCAGTTCAAAGACATGCTCATTAGGTTCATTGGTGACTCTACATTGCCCTTAGGTGTGATTGTGAGTGTGGTGAGTGCGGCTAGTTGTCCGTCTCTATATTTAAGCCCTGTGATTGACTGGCAATTAGTCAAGGGCGTACCCTGCCTCTGACCCAATGAAAGTTGGGATCGGCTCCAGTCCCCTGTGACCCCGAACGGGGAAAGCGGAATAAACAATGGATGGATGTTAGTTATTTATTTTTATTGGGCAGTGAGAGCAGATAAATGACGGTTAAAATCCAAGTAATTATTATACTGCTACAAAATAAAATGTGAAAAAAAGCTAACGGGTCTGACTCTTGAAAGTGAATAGTATCTGACTGTTTAATGATTTTGGTACCAATCAGGTCACCCCAAGACCCAGGCTTTTATCACCCATGGTGGCACAAATGGGATTTATGAAGCCATCTACCACGGTGTTCCTTTGGTGGGCATTCCACTGTTTGGTGACCAGCCAGACAACCTGGTCCATATGAAGGCGAAGGGAGCTGCAGTAAACTTAGAAATAAACTTCATGAAGTCTGAAGATCTTACAGATGCAGTCCATACTGTCATCAATGATAATTCGTAAGTCCCTTAACCAATCTGCAATTTTTCTGTTAAGAAGTAGATTAATTTGACAGATTTTGTCGTGCCTGTGAAATAATAATCCAGGAGCAAAGTGATAACATGCCGAAAAGACATGCCATGGTTCATAGCACCATGACAGAGATTGCATAGATTCCACATTTCCACCTGTTTATTCACCTTCATAGGTACAAAGAAAATGCCATGCGGCTGTCCAGTATTCACCATGACAGACCAATGAGTCCTCGAGATGAAGCAGTTTCTGGATCGAGTACACCATGAGAAACAAAGGGGCCAAGCACCTAAGGGTCCAAGCTCATGAACTCACCTGGTACCAGTATCACAGCCTGGATGTCCTGGCTTTCTTCCTTACCATTGATCTCTTCCTGATATTCATCTTCATCAAGACCTGCAGTTTCTGCTTCTGTAGGTGCTGTGGCAGAAAGAGTACAACAAAGAGGAAGACTGAGTGATTTCCTAAGAAAATGCAAACAGTTTAAAGACAGTCCTGTGTCCAGAACAACCTAAAATCACTTGCTTTAGACTTTAATAAGGACACAAATTAAGAAGACTTAAGTGTCAAGTATTGCTGCGTAAGTGCTTTTTTTGCTGAGGCTACCATCAGCATGATTGAGATGAGAAACTATATATGTTTAAACTGTTTTGTGATGTAACTCAGTTTTTTTTCAGTCTAGCTTAAAAATAGTTTTAACAATATTGTCTACTTATATTTGCAAAATAATCACTCATACAATTTCAGACAAATGAGGACCTTTTCTTCTCTTTCTTTTATTATCTGTCACCACTATTCACTTTTTTTCAACAGCTAGCAACTGGATGCTCAATGGTAACCCTACACCATAGAACCATTTGGGATTAAAATCTGAATGTTGGTTGTTGCTATGGCTGTAGAAAAAAAACATTAAATGTTGTGATACTGTATAATTGTATTAACATTAAATAATATTCTGCTCTCTCATACCACCAGCACACAGTGCATCACTAAAATAAATGTGACATTCAAATTTGCATAGCCGCATCTTTTTGGTGAATAAGCAGTGTAAAAATGATTCTTTTTAGACTTTTTCACAAAAAAGTTGAATTCTAATGATGAATGCTGACTAGCATACCTTAACTAAACCATTAGGAATGTATTAACACTTCGTCAGTGCAGTTATGTTTCAGGAATATGTTGACATGATGGATAGTTTTCCCTTACAGAAAGAATATTGTATTTTAAACCTCTTAATTTTCTTCAATTGCCTTAAAAACCCAACCTACCAAACTCTATAATTGTAGTTGTGTGCGTTATTGTGATTTTTAAGTTCATTCAGAGTTTTATCTATTCTAATCTGTAAACACTGTGAACATATAGCCTATCCAAAAAGTAACTTGCTAAATTAAAATAAATCTACCACCTCCTAGGTAACTGTCTGGAAATGGTCTTGTTGTTGGATGGTCCATGCCTAATAAATCAACAAAGCAAGTATCTAAAAATTCTATTGAAAACACAAATAATAGCTACAAGTAGATTTTGTTGTGCAGATTGTGTTTGTGAGAGAGCGTTAAAACGTTGTTGTCGGTGTGTGTTGGCTATTTGAGCCGTGCATATGAGACAACTGTAATGAACACAGATCTGACTTCAACCTCATTCTGTGGGAGTTTTCTTTTGACAACTTTCTGCTCTTCCTAATTTAACCCACGCTGAGTGCTCAGGTTTCGTCCGACAATCAGGTCTTCAAGGGTGAGCACATAAATGGTGAACTTTGGTCATGCGTTGTAAATGATTCAGTCGTACAGACAGTTTATGCTGATGTTCCACAACAACTTTTGAAAAATTGTAACATGTACATCTGGCTTAAGAGTTGGTGGCAGGTGGCCACAATGAGATTCTAGTACATCAAAAAAAACTGGTTGTTTCTCATCATTGGTTGGCGACTATTGGAACGGATATAATTTATGCAGAGACATATTTTTTTGCAAAAAAGGCCAACCATGGTGGATAAAACGCTTATAATTCATGACCTCTGGGGATCAGATATCATCTATGTTATTTGCTAATGACTTGGTTCATTTGGCTTCTCCTGGCTTGGAGCGAGTTGCTTCCCTAAGCAAGGTAGTTAAATTCATTTTGTGATCTTGTTCACAAGTAAAGGTAAAATGGAGATAAGGTTGACATATAGGTGGGGTTGGCATCAGCTCAGATGAAGGCATTATATCAGACTCTCAAGGTAAAGAGGGAGATGAGTCAGAACAGTCACGTGAAAGTTGGTCAGCTTCATTCAAGCCCTCACTCACAGGCTTGGGTTAGTACCAGAAATGTCCAATCAGTCAAAATGGGTTTCCTCCATAAGTTGGTTTGGCTCACCTCTAGAGACAGGGGTCATATATCTATCAAACCTACAGAAAAGCTGCTGTTCCTTCATGTTGAAAGGAGCCTGTTGATGGTTCAATCATCTGATCAGTGTACCTCCTGACCACATTCATTTGAAGTCATCCAGGCAAGTCCAACTATTAGTAGATCCCGAGATCATCTCAGTTTAGGGTGGGGAGAACATAGTTCATCAGGTAAGGAACAACTCTGGGCCCTCTCAGGGGTCATATATCTATCAAACCTACAGAAAAGCTGCTGTTCCTTCATGTTGAAAGGAGCCTGTTGATGGTTCAATCATCTGATCAGTGTACCTCCTGACCACATTCATTTGAAGTCATCCAGGCAAGTCCAACTATTAGTAGATCCCGAGATCATCTCAGTTTAGGTTGGGGAGAACATAGTTCATCAGGTAAGGAACAACTCTGGGCCCCTCAGTATTGGCTGGAGCATTAAAAGTTCCAGTTTTCTGCACTACTTTCCTGTAGGTGTTCTAACAATAATATCTATAAATGTGTCTGTCAGTGTGTTTAAGGACACTCAGCCTCAAGAGAGAACAAATACCTCACAACAGCATGTGTGTGTGTGTTGAAGTGTGCCCTCTAGTGGTGTACAAGTTAGCAACATAAAATGTCTTTTCAGGGAGTTTCATTGACCTTTTTTACAGTTTAACCATTAATTTCTAGATGATGTAGAGAATATTGTTCTAAATCAGTCTTTCATCAGTCAACATATAGTCCATAAGAGTGTTGCACAGCACTTACTAACTTAATCAGTAAAAGCAGACTCCAAAACAATGTTTGGTTTAATCATTATCCTTCTGTCTCACATCTCTTCATCAATAATGTAGAAAATTGTTATCAGAATCTTCTCTTTCAGTCTGGTGATTTCTGGTACTTAGAAGAGATGTTTTTCCTTTGTTATACCAACTAGTGTACACAGTACATTTTACCTCTAACACGGTAAGGACCTGTTATATGGCCCGTCAGAGCATATAGAGGAGCAACAAGCCAGAGTTCAGTTTTGATAGTTAATCATTTTCCTAGTAGCTTTTACAAAAGATCAGTGTGCAGAAGGCTCTCCACTTACCACATGCATTATGAAGCTAGAGCAGCGTTTCTCCGTTTCCGTTCTGCTGCTACTTTGTCTCACATGGAGTGCAAATGGAGGGAACATTTTGGTGTGGTACACTGAAGGCAGCCACTGGATTAACATGAAGCCTGTGCTGGAGACACTGATCAACAGGGGACACAAGGTGACGGTTTTGGTTCCCAGCACATCGATGTTCATGAACGCCAACGAGCCTTCAAGCTTTGGCTACGAACCCTTCAATGTCTCTGTCCCATTGGAGGAGATGGAGAAGTTTATGGAAGAATTTCTTCACTTTTCAATGTACGAGATGGATCATTTGAGCTACTTGCAGATTTACATCAAATACATGGATCTGATGAGGGTCGACCTGCAGTATTCATTGAAGTACTTGGATGCAGTGCTGAAATCAGAAACAATCATGACGAAGCTGAGAGAGGCAAAATATGACCTTCTCTTTTCTGACCCTATCTATCCGGGTAGTGACTTATTAGCAGATACACTGGGCATTCCCCTGGTCTTGTCTCTGCGATTTTCCTTAGCCCATAACTGGGAGAGATATTGTGCTCAGTTACCAGCTCCACCTTCGTTTGTCCCGGGGGCTATGAGCAAACTGACCGACAAGATGGACTTCTCCGAGAGAGTGTGGAACTTCCTTTTCTATGCGTTGCAAGACCTCGTCATGTATGATGTTTTTTGGAAAGAACTCAATAATTATTACTCTGACTTCAAAGGTGAGCAACTCACACAAGAACCACTGTCTGAAGACACAATTTCTTAGAGACCACATGCAGTTCAAAGATCAAATTGCTAGGGATTCACTGCAGAGATCTGATATTTAGCACTTTGAAATACTTGATAAAGCAACACAAATAAGTTATCCTATCTTTAGAATTCAACATACTTGTAACCAGTAATTGTTACAGTATCAATCATTCTTTCTATGGTGACAGGAACACCTGTGAGTGCTTGTGAGCTGATGGGTAGAGCAGATATCTGGTTGATACGAACCTACTGGGATTTTGATTTCCCTCGTCCTTCACTTCCTAATTTCAAATTTGTTGGTGGAATCCACTGCCGGCCTGCTCAACCTTTGCCAGAGGTAGGACTCTACCCACTATCACAAGCCTATGTATCATTTATGACACCTCCTAAGTATTCCTTGCTAAGCAATAATAAATAAAGCTGCTCAATTGTTTTGAAAATAAGTACATGCTATGTTTGCATTTTTGTAATGTTTCTCTTACTGCAGGATATGGAGGAGTTTGTGCAAAGTTCTGGTGACGCTGGCATTGTGGTCTTCACTTTGGGATCATTCATCAAGAACATCACTGCAGAGAGAGGAAACGTGATAGCCTCAGCTCTCGCTCAGATCCCACAAAAGGTCAGAGAAAAAGAAACCCAACTTAATTGTGAAGGGAAAGCACATTTGAATGAAATGTTGCTGCTAAAAAAATGTAGTATCAGGTGATGCTATTTTCAAAAACAAAACTTCTGCACAAACGTGATGGAGTTTTTTGATAAAGAACGTCAAGTTTACAAATTGCTTTTCAAAAATAGGCAATCAAACCAACATTTCCCTAATGGGTTCAAAGTAAGCACAAGAGGCTAGGTTCAATTTAGCAGCAACAAATAATGTGCAGTTAATGTTTACAAAGGTATTTGGAGATGTATTTTTGATAAGGATTACTTTTCTCTGAGGGGTAGACTAGTTTGTAAGGATTTGCATCAACTCAATTGTTTGGTGGCAGGACAGTGCACATGGCGTGGCAAGGTCCATTGTTCTGAGAGTTCACCACAGTTGAGCTGGCTGCCTGTAGTTGCTCTGATGCCTTTGCAGGTATCTTGGAGTTAAGTAGAGGAGATTCAGATTGTACTGGTTTAATACCCTACAGGATACCAGTATAACAGTAAGAATAAAAATAAAACACAGCAAGGAGAAACAATCGAAAGATGAAAAAATGTGAAGACTGATTGGAAAAGGATTGTCATATATCTATATATATTTCAAGCAAGGACTTTTTAATTATCTGCTGTATAGGACAGTTCGATAAAGCAAAACCCCTGAGTTAGTGTTTAAGTGTTTTTACAGGTGCTGTGGAGATACAGTGGAGAAAAACCAGCCAATCTAGGAGCCAACACCAGGATATACAACTGGATCCCTCAGAATGATCTACTGGGTAAGTAAAGTGTTTACAAAAGTTACTGAGCAGGCCTTTGACCATTTTATTTTTTATTAAATATATTAGTATTGATTAGTATTAGTAATATTTAATTACTTTTAAGTTTTAAAGTACAATATCCTGAAGCAACATATGGGAGACATTTGTCTTTGGTCAGAGAGCACATTAATTCAGAGACATGATCCTTTCCAACCACTAGACCTTTGTATTATTCGTCATGATAAGATACATTTTAAAACAGAAAAAAATATGAAAGCAGGTCCACACAATGTGGTTTAGCAGTTTATGCTCAAAAAGTTATGCCTTGAGATCCACCACCATTTAAGATTACTGTAGTTTAAAGTTTTTAAACTAAGGGTACTTCCTTCATGCAGGAAAAACATGTCCATCAACATTACACAAAGATCAAGGGTTGTTTGATAGTATACAGACAATTACGAGTATACTCTCATCATTTTTCCGTTCACATAAAACCTGCTTAGATGTATTCACAGGTTTACACATGATACTGCAGGTAAAGGGCACTTCAGTACAAATCTCAGGGTAGGGGGTGTTGCTAGAAAATTGATCATGAAATTCAAATCAAACACTGAGAATGTAAATTATTTCCTTTACAAGCCGTCCTGAATTGATGAAGTTGAATATATTTAATCATTTTTTGTACCCCATTAGGTCACCCCAAGACCCGAGCTTTCATTACCCATGGTGGCACAAATGGGATTTATGAGGCAATCTACCACGGTGTTCCCATGGTGGGCCTGCCCATGTTTGCTGACCAGCCAGACAACATGGTTCATGTTGAGGCTAAGGGAGCTGCAATTATCTTAAACGTGAACTTCATGAAGCAAGAGGACCTTACAGATGCAGTCAACACTGTAATAAATAAGAAGTCGTAAGTTCACTTACCTATCTTATTTAAATCAGTTGGTTTGTTTGCCTTAATGGGGCTTGAACTTAATGATACAGAAGCAAGCATAATGACATGCAATAAAGGAGCCATTATGTAATGCAGTAGGATTGAGTTCACTTAAAGCAGAGTTTAAAGGTCAAAGAGCTGCATTGCTTTTTGCTCTCATAAATTGGTGTAAATGTTCGACTTTTAAATTACATGTAAAAAAAAAAATACTTTTTTCATCATCATCCTTGATGAGGCAAAGAAACTTTAAATGTTAATAGAAAAATGTAGACAACATTTAAAATTACACTTAAAAGTACAATATTTCACCCTAATAATATGCTAGTTTTGTGTCACACTAGACCTGTACACTACTGATACAATCAGACAAGTATTATGTAACAGAAAAAAATAAAGGGGCCCGATGTGGAAACTTCATATTTAGATAATTTTCCTCCACAGTTCAAAGGTCAAGGTTTTATTTCTATTACACAGAAACAGATGCACATAGCAATGGTCGGAGCTCAATCCAGTTCAAATTCACAAAATGTGTAAATAAACAAATAATGATGGAATAAAAACAATACGATAGGTAAAGTGTTAACAAAATTATATGAAAGTGGCCCCAAAGGAAGAAATACAACTAAACATTTAGAATATCTGTAATGTCATGTAATTATTTTAAAACTAGAAATGTTTTAATTTAAAGGTGCAAACAGAAAGGCTTTGTAATAGTACAAATACATGAGTATATGAGTAATGCAATGTTAATTTGCAAAACCAGCATGTAGTTATTTTTACACGGCTGATTTTGGAAAAAAAACAGTAGCAAAATAACAAAATGTCCATAGCAGTTGGCAACTGACAGTTAAAAATAATAGCTTCAAGTACTTGGAAGCTTTTAGATTGCTGTAAACACCAAAGGCTAATCTGCATGCACTGCAGGCATACATATACTGATACAATCAGTAGCGCTACAAGATAAAGCATGAAGGGTCCTTTAGTTCATGGTAAAAAAAGTGCCAAAAGAAGACAGATGCACCCCCACGCTAAGGTACAAATACAATATCTCCCCTGTGCTTACATCTGGCTGAGACAACAACTCCAAATTGTATCAAGAACTGGGAAGACCGGAAGCCAAAGCAACCCTTGCAAAGAATTAAAATGGAAATTTGGAAGAATTACAGGAACATACTTTGACCTCACTCTCTCTCTGTTTGCAGGTACAAGGAAAATGCCATGCAACTGTCCAGCATTCACCATGACAGACCAATAAGTCCTCGAGATGACGCAGTTTTCTGGATCGAGTACACCATGAGAAACAAAGGGGCCAAGCACCTAAGAGTCCAGGCCCATGAGCTCACCTGGTACCAGTATCACAGTCTGGATGTCCTGGCTTTTCTCCTTTCCATTGTTCTGTTCCTGATACTGATGTTCATCAAGACCTGCAGTTTCTGCTTCCGGAGGTGCTGTGGCAGAAGGGGAATCGCAAAGAGAAAGGCTGAGTGAATGACTGAAGGATGAAAAAAAAAAAGTACTAAAGGTTGTTCTGTTGTCATTAAGTATGCAATGTGATCCCGCCTTTAAAACATTTGGGGCAGAAAATTAAAAACATTCAACTTTTAGGTAACACTGTTGAACTTTTGAGCTATTTAAACAGACTATTGAACCTATTTGTCACAATAAACTCAGGTTCAGTCTGATAACTATTGTTAACCTAAACACACAAAACATATATTTGTTCTCCAATATAGTCTCTCCAATCTTAGGCAATTTACTTGTTTGAGTTTTAATAACCAATGTCTGAAGCAATCACTACAATTGCTAACAGGTGCACAGTCATTTGCATATGTGCACCTGCACCAAATTTGATATTAAACACTGAATGTTCATTGGCTCAGAAGATTAAAAAAACAAAAAACAAAGGGAGTGCAGTCATTTCTTTTATTTGGATAATACTGATGACATCACAGCCTCTTTAGGTTTTTTAATACAGTTATACCACATATATTACGACAGATATAGACACATGGGCTGCAAATACAAATTTAACAAACAAAATCCTGTATTAACATTTATCAGTGATGTAATGAAACTAAAAGAAAAAACAGCCCTCTTATGTCATCAATAAAGTTAACTGAGAAATACAAAACTAAATGTGACATTCAAACGCTCCAACAGCTTGTGTTTTATTCCATTTATGGGCGGGGGAGAATGTTTTATTAAATCATTTTTTCAGTTTTCCATCTTCTTTGACCTTCCATAGCATAAGCTCCATGCAGGCAGCAGCATCTTCTGCAGTGTCATGGCCATACACTGGGAGAAACATTGATAGGGTATATTATGGTACATGTACACACTGGCACAACATGCATTGAATACAGTATTGCACATAATAGTCTATTATTGATCATGCTCAAATGTAGCAGTCTGCTTATTATCTATTTCTGCATTAAACACATTTTATTCTGATCTATAATGCAGTTTAAACTTAATGACACCAGATGAAATGACGGTGAAACATTTATTCGGTGGTTGTAGTTATCCATGTTGACCCACCACTCTGTTGGATGAGATGTTCAGCAGTGAGATTGTTGAGGGTTAGCTTGTGAGGGGGGCCCAGGCGGTGGGGGAAGACCACTGATGTGTCCACCACTGTCCCATGATGCAACTACAGTAAATGGAGAGATATCTACTGGTAAGGCTTTCTTAATGGGTGTAGGTCCCTGGATAAAGTAAAAGCAACTTGATAATCATACAATTGAGGTAAAAGCAAACGCAGACATGGTCATGTCAACTGCTTTATAAACTAAGTATCCCCTTTAAACATTTCACCACAATTTCTGTTGTGTGTAATTTCACACTGTACTATTATTTAAATATGATTTTTCTTATATTACCTAAAACCTCCCAGTCACCAAACCCCATTAACAGCTGAACAATGTTGCATTCAATCGTCTGTAATCCATTGCTGTAGCACTCTCTTTGTTTTAGAAAATTCCATCTCTACTTTGTGAACTTTTCACACAAATTTGACTACTCTCTCTGTACATATGAAATAGAAGTGATTAAAATAATTTAAAAAAAAAAAAGGTCCAACTTCACCACTTTCATCTGTAAAATTTTGTTAGCTATAGATGGAGAACAAGTTTAAACTAAGTATTTAACCATTTAAACCAACCTTAACATTGATATACTCCTCTTTAACATGAGAAAGGCTTTTTGCTGTATGATTATGTTTGCCATGTTGAGAGGGAATGGCTTATTGTTCCAAACCTTTTTTTTGCTTTTCGCAAACACTCGCAGCTTAGTTCTGATCCTCCTGTGCATGCCGTTCAATCATAGTTTAGTGAGGCCTGCGATAATAACTTAACGAATAATATTGGAAAAAGGCGAAAGCAATCACCTTCAAGGCACAGAGGTCTGTTTCCATGCCATGTCCAATCAGAATGGTGTCGGCTTTTATGAAGCTCAATAAGGCCTCCTGCACCTCTCTGAGGGAGGTGTGGTTACCCGTCACATCATTCTCACTGATACCTGAAAACCTGGATAAGTAAATAGTCACATGGGTTATTGACAGAGTAATTAGCTGATCAAATATATACAGATAGAGCTTTCACTAAAACCATGTGTCAGTTTTGGGTTGTTACTTGCAGAGTAAAGTAGGTTAAAAAAAAAAAAAAAGGCTTTCAAGAATCAGATACGATTACCTGGTGTTATAGTCGATGACCTCATTATCAGGTCTGACGAAGGTGTCATAGATGACTTCCAGACTCGAGTTCACCACAGTCACTCTGGACAGCTCCAGACCATGAATGGTGTAACACTATGAAGACAAGAATGTGTTATAATATGCAGCACAGGCCCTTCATTGCCAGTCAAGGTCATCCATCTAGATCTGTTTTAAGGCAGGATGTGTTCATATCTGTTCCTCTATGAAAGCAGTATTGTCTGTTATCAGGTATAGTATTCCTGTGGTACTTTTAATGAAGTGCTAGTCAGAGTTTCTGTGGTCGTAGTTTTAATCATGGCCTCTAATAAAACAAGTTGTGGTATAGTTGGGGTTTTCTGCTCAACAAGGTGATACTTTCTTGAAGGCTGACATCACCATTTCACAATCCAAGGAATAGACCCCAGGACAGCTCCTGTCTGAAGATTTTCTTGGGATGGTTGTCACAAATCCATCCAGGCTGAGGGAATCATGGACATGCAACTGTTTAAGAAATGACAAAAATGCAAGTATAACCTTTTAAAATTTGTGCAGGACTTAAGAGAATATAAATGAGGAATAGTATGTATTTTCATACCTTAAACACCTGACATCCAGGTGCTCCCATGACTCCCTCACAGCAGCTGTAGCGGGTTTCTACTCCACCTGGCACTGTTTGTATTTTTGAGAAGTATACAATGATCTGAAGGAAGTCTTTCAGCACTTTGGCACACTTGAGATGTTTATTTTTTTATTTCTGAAGTTTAACCATGTAGTATGCTTACCTTTATTCTTGACACCTTTCCCATAGTGGTAATTACACTCCTCCTTACGAACGTGTTTGCCCGTTTGGCTCACAGAGTATGTAGCCCCACATCGACAGCAGATCCTCTTGAGGGCTTTAACCAACAAAAAACAGGCAAAAGCACATCATCAAATATGACTGGGCTGAGAAAAGAAACTGTCATTGTACACAACCTAAGTCAAGTGTGCCCTCTAGTGACAAGGACAGCATTGTCTCACTGCAGCATTCTGTTTCCACTTACGGTCTGTGTTTACTTTCTTGGGGTCAGCAAAAAGAACAGCACAACCTGGCTTCTCAGGGTGGTGGACAGGATAGTTGCTCTCAATCATCTTGTCTTCCATCATAAGATAGTCCTTTAAACTCTCATAAAATGGCATATCATCTGCTGAAAAAATTAAATGCATGAAACTCAGAGCTGACAAAGTAGTTCAATAAACTACAAAAACATATTATTACCATTTCCTTCAAACTTCTCAACGGTAAGTGGAATGTTGCCTTTGCGTCTTTGGGTGCTGACCACAGTTGGATCTGATAAAAATAAAGCTTAATTCTTTACTGTTATTAGCACATTTAACAAAGAACAGTGCAGATTTTCCCCAACGTCCACACCTTTAGCAGCAGCAGCACTTTGGTTCTTCAGCCTCTTCAAAGCATTCACTGCAACACTCAGATATTTGATTTTGTTCACACTGCGATTATACAAAGTCTTCTCTTCAGCGAGGGCCTATCAAAAATATCGATATAAGAAAATCAGTAGCAGGAAGTTTGTCAGTGAGGATTACATCAATTGGCACCTCACCTTTTCAAATGCATCATTGACATTGGCTGATGTTTTGAGGAACTCCTCTGTAAACATGTTAACATAACGTTGTCTGATGTCATGGGGCACTTTGTCTTTGGGGGCCCCACACTGCTGCTTCAGTTTACGTTTAGTAGGAACTGGCTGGAACGAATAAATTCATTATCAATAAATGAAAAACAATAAAACCAAAATTGTATTACATTTAGTGTATACAGAGCCAGCTTTTGGCATCTCACCTTGACAGTGGAATGGACAGCAGCTTTAGGAGCAGAAGCTGCTGGACTTGAATGTGCTAATGCAAAGTTGAATGTTGGTTTGCGCGCCTGTGCAGGGATGAGCATAGGTGCTGTTGTGCTGTATCTATGCACATGGGTAAGTCCAGGTGGCAGATATGTGTGTTTAACCGTTACAGGGTTTGTATACACTTGAGTGATTGGAGTTAGCACTGAAGTAACTTGGCTGGAACTGGAAGTCACGGGCAGGGGGAAGGCGCCTTCAGGAAGGATCAACTGCAGGTTGTTTCCGACATTTATCATGGCTGTTCCCAAAGGTATGTAGTTTATGTAAGCTTAGGGATAAAACAAATCAATGCAGATGTGATGCATTCAGTATATTACACAAAAATACACAAGAATAAACTGACTTGAAGAGTTTAAGATTTCTGCATGTAGATGTATGTATACTTTAAATATGAAAACTAACATAAAGTGTTATATATTAATAAAGGGTTCAACTTTTAATGAGACAATAATGGCCATAGATTTCATATATTTGTTTTAATATGTTATGTAAACATTTCCAATATTTTAAATAACTTTTTTTATTTGGACTTATTAATGTAAACATCTTGCCATCTTAAAAAAAACAAAATATATTTTGTGGACTACAACCAAAGATTACTTACCATTTTGGACAGGAGCAGACTGTAAGTTCTCAGGAGTTTGAGTGGAAGGAGAAGGCGTACTCTGGGTCTCTGATGTCCTCTGACAGGCAGAGGAAACAAAAGCCTGACCACCTTTAAGCGAAGCAGTCAGAATCGACGCTCTCTGCTGTACCTGCTGGATCTTGGCAGTGATGACGGCTGGGGGGCGAATCCGACACCACAGGCCCACGCAAAGGAACCAGCACCTGAGGCTGAGGTCTGCTCTTAGCTGCTGGCTGCTCAAAGTTGCAAGATTATCAAAAAAGGTTTGCTCATTTCTACAATATAAAGGAGTTAGTGGCCTAGAGCAAAAAAAAACTGATGTTCTTAAATTTGTCCATATTGTTAAAAGGCACAAAAAAATCTAAGTTATAAAAAATGCTCTTCCATTTTCTACATGGGTGCATACAATAATTCATCAATTTGACAATCATCTTAACTTACATGGAAATGAGAGTGCTTTATTTATATGAAGCATTTAAAAAATATTTTGCCTTTAAATATTTGATTGGAACAAAGACCTCCAGTGCACATCGTTAAGACTGAAAAAAACCCTGAACTGCTCATAAAAAAGGATATATACAGATTTAGGATTAGCTGTCATTTTTGCATAAATGAAAGTGGCTTGTACCTCTACATGTTTGGCTTCATGAGCCACCCTCTTCTTTCCTGCCAATGCTGCTGGTTTGACATTTAACATTGGCTTATCCACATCCATATCTCCAACCTGAAAGTGACAATGACAGGGGGAAAAAAAATGTGAACACTTGGAGACCTCTTTATCTTTGATATAAAGGGATGTACAGCGTACTTACAGAAACATCAGGGTGCTCTTCACTTCCATTATCCTTGTTTGCTTCCATGAAGATCCTGTAACATTCCTCCATTGGGTCATCGTCTGAGAGCTCTATTTCTGAGTAGTTGAGCTCATCGTCGTTATCAGAGTAGGAATCAATGATTATAACTTCTTCACCATCTGCCATCATAGAGGGTTGCTCAATTGATTCTGAAGAAATGTGCCCGGCCTGAGCATTGCTGCTGCCTGACGCTGGTTGTACTGGATCCACGTATCTTTCAAGTGGAGGATGATCATCCGAGTTTTACCTTGCATCAGCCCGAGTGTTTTGTTTGATGTTTTCTGGCTGTGTGGACGCAGTGTTGGTAAAATATTTGCTGAAGCCCAATGGTCACTAACTCTGTTCTGAGCTGGCTGCTCTGTTGTCTGGGCTTGATTGGCATGGTGCCTGTTCTGTTCTTCTGAGTAAATCTCAGGAGCTTGATAAAAAAGGGAATTCTTTGAATGATAATTATAAGGCTGCAGTGGATTCATGTTCTCAACACTATGGGACGGCTCACGCTGTGGTACTTTATTTTTTATAACCACCAGTTTGCTCTGGTTTGGATCTTGCTTGTCTGTGGTTGCAGGAGGATCTGCAGGTTCAGGACTTTTAAGTGTTTCAGTGGAATGAAAATTAGTATTCTTACGACTCTCTCGTTCCAGGACGTCTAAACATTTAGTCAAGTCAAAACCACTTCCATTGACAAGCACATTTTCACATTCTTTGTTCTCATAAAAATGAGACAGACTTTTTTCAGTATTGATTTTGTTTTCAGTAACACAGTTAATGTGAACTCTATCTTTTAGCTTTAATGCAGGTTTGGATGCAGCATGGAACGCCTCAATTTTTGAAACTTGCAGCGGTAGAGAATCAAGTAAAATTAGTGGAGCTTTAACCTCCTGAAATTCCTCACTGTATCCTCAAGGGATTTTTCAGCAACAGAATTTTCAGATTTCCCTGTCTCCCCGTCAGGCAAGGGAGGAATGTCAATGATCAGTTCACTGTCTTCGTAAGAGTCATCGTGTCTATCTGGAGATGGCGATCGGGAGAGTGGAGCCTGATACTTGAGTGTCTGCTTTTGGTCAGAATGACAAGCATTTCTTCCTCTTTTCAAACCTTTTCCGTCTTTCTCCTTCTGCTCTTTTTCTGATGAGCTGCAAGGCCGCAAGTTAGCAGAAAAGTTTGACAGTGGGTCATACTCCAAATCAGTCCTTGGTTTCGAGTTGTCAACTACATACTTCCTTGCTCGGGAGTTGGTCTTTCTTAAGTTTGTACATGAAGACAGACAATATGGCTCTTTGTCTATGTTTTTGCCTGTTGTCTCATACGTGGAAACAGAGACACTAGGCACCAAGTTTCTCCTGTCCACCTGTACAGTTTGGTAGTGGGTCAATCGTCGTTGCTCCTGCTCGACCTCATGTTTGACAGATTCAATCTCCTTGTTGATCTTCGCCAGCTGCTGGAGGCAGTCATCTTTTTGGTCATTTATTGGTGCGCCACTGACATCATATGGATAGCCATCTTGGACTCCTGTTGAAAATTAATGAATATATTTATTTATATAAACGTCTTAACATTTGTCACATGGTGGGAAATAATACAGGGTGAACATGGATCAAATACAAATAAGCTGTGCCAAGTGTTGGTGTAGCTGTCTGTAGCTCAGTGTTAACTTATGTGTTTTGATTTGTTTTAAAGAAACTGAATGAATCTTTCGTTTTAATGTTCTTACATTGAAAATTTCCCCTTGAGACAAGAATAAAGTATTTTCATTAGTGTCCCAAACCAGCACTGACAAAAAGAAGCCAATTAAAGTAATTAATTTGAACACGGCATAACCCATTATAACCATGACCTGCTGAACGATTCTCCAAGAGTATAACGTTAAATGTTTGGGACAACTTTCATAAAAAGGCATCATTTATGTAGAGTTTAAGTCTTACCAATTAGCTGTCACGTTTTAAAACAATGTAAAACTAATTAAATGAAGCTTCACATTGTTTGAAACGAACAAAGTACATTGACATTAAAACAAGCTAAACAATGCATACGCAAAAAACAGTCAAGGCAACCTCACTTGGCCAGCATACATGAAGTACCTGCGAAGTCAACTCGGGAGGATTTGAAGGAGGAACCGAACATGTCCCGCAACTCTGCATGTTTGTAGAAACAGTGAGGCCGCTCACAATCCCCACGTTTAGTGAAAGGACAATTTATATCACCAAAAAGACCGGACGAAGGAAACATCAGCAAAACTCGACTTCTCACGACGCGAGAGACCGTCTAGTTCAATTAAGAGTCGACCAACAGGTGAGGGCTCTGACTAAACCTAATGTGACGTCAGTCCCCCTTAAATAGGCTCTGCTCATGGCGCGAGACATACATGTTATTTATTAAATAAATATTTACCCTAAATTTATGTTTCCATTTTCGGAAAGAACTCAATTTACACCGAAATAAAAAGTGAAAATGTTTGCCTAAGCACTTGATTGACGCTGTTGTATCGCAGTTATACATCCATGTCGGCAGATGGCACAACAGCACAAACCTGGACCTGACTACCATGAAAAGAAAATATTCACTCTCAGGAGCACTTTTGCCTTCCTTTATCTCAGAAACAGCTGCCTTATCTGTTTTATCAAAAATATACTAAATATTCATAACACAAATGGATACGAGCGAGGATGAGATAGAGGAGGATGAAAACGAGTGGAAGACCAGTTTCGTAGATTCAGTCCCACTAAGCCCCGCTCCTGCTTCTGTAGAGTATCTGTCTAAAGTTGTTTCCTTACAACACATCATGACTGTCAGCTGTGCACACGTGCCAGATGGTAAATATTTCAAGATTAATCTCAGTTTCAGGTCCAAGCCTACAGAAGACCCTAGGACCAACGCCTGCACACAGAGTTATTTTGCATTTTGACCTAGATTGCTTCTATGCTCAAGTGGAAATGATCAGAAACCCAGCACTGAGAGAAGTCCCTTTAGGTACGTTCACTACTTCACTCTAAGGTGGGAGAGTAAAAGTGCACCCTCAGATTCTGTTTCTGGACAAAAAGAAGAGGATTTCTAACGGGTTTGGTGTATGTTTCTTATATCACCAGGTATCCAACAGAAATACATCATAGTCACCTGTAACTATGTTGCAAGAGAGCAAGGTGTCACCAAGCTGATGTCTGTGACAGCTGCTAAGGAGAAATGTCCTCAGCTGGTTCTGGTTAAAGGAGAAGATCTGACACATTACAGAGAAATATCCTATAAAATGACCGGTAGGCAGGAGTAGTACATCACAAAACGATGCCCCCTTTTGTATTAATCATAATTGAGTAATATCCTAGATTTCAAGCATAACTCACAGAGCAGTCCATGCTTTACTTTCCCACTCTTGTCTGAAAGTATAATTTAACTGACATCATGTGTATTTTCTCTTTCTGTTCTCTTCATATATTACCTTTTCTTTTCCTTCATACAGAGCTGCTGATGTCCTACTGCCCACTGGTAGAGAGGCTTGGATTTGATGAAAACTTCATGGATATCTCGTCGATGGTTGAGAATAGGCTTGCACAGACACCAGGGACTGATGCAGTTTCATTCAAAGGACACGTCTTCAACCATTTAAGTAAGTCATATTTGTGCAGCTGCCGTTAAAGTGTGAACATCTGGTCAGTGGAAACCAGGATATGAGTTGTGAAAGAGACACAGAAGCTAAAACCTCTGAAGCATTTGCATTGCACTTTCAATTCCCCAGAACATGAAAAAACAAAGGTTAAGACTTCTTGTAGAATCTCAGGTTATCAAAAACCTTGATGAATATATGTTTGCTTTTTTTTTTTTTTTCCTGCTAAGCTGCTGATGTGGATTGTGGTGATCATACAAGGCTGGCTTTAGGTTCACACATTGCAGCCGAGTTGAGAGAAGCAGTCCACAGCAAACTGGGACTGACTGGATGTGCTGGTATAGCCACAAATAAGCTACTGGCCAAACTGGTGTCAGGCACCTTCAAACCCAATCAGCAAACCACCCTCCTGCCAGAGAATATCAGTGACATCATGGGCAGTCTCAGCGGTCTTCGTAAAGTACCAGGTAAAGAGGTTTAGTAAATGTAAAGCTCTTTATTCATCACTTGGATCATTCTGTATCTCGTAGCTGTGAACAGAAATAATCACAGGTGTATAATTACAGGTAAAGATTGAGTTTGAACAACAGTCATTTTCTATTCTATTCTGATTATTATACATTTGTGTAACTACCGGAAAAAAAATCCAAGTTTCAGCCATAGTTCAGTATTTTTATCTGAAAGCTTTGTATAGGGATATGACACTCGTATCTAGTATATCTGTTGATACATGTTTGGTTCCTCTCTGTATTTTTAGGGGTGGGTCACCAAACCGCTAAAAGACTTCAAGCCCTGGGATTGGTCAGTGTGAAAGACCTGCAGCTCTTCCCATTGAGTGACTTGGTGAAAGAGTTTGGGGCCTCCAGTGCTCAGCGGTTAAAGAATCTGTCTCTCGGTGTTGATGACTCACCTGTCACCCCAACTGGGGCCCCCCAGGTAGGCAAGGATATCCCTAAATTGAACAAGGTTTTAGTAAAGTCATAGTCTCATTCTCCTAAAAACATTTCTGCTAAGCAGATAAGAAAGCTGTTGTTCACAGATTCATAGTTTATACAGTCAAACAATGGAAAATCATCAGCTGTGAGGCACCAATCCAAGATGTCATTAGATCTTCTGTACTACATTTTATGTCTGTGTCTTTTCTTTGTGGAATTTGGATTGCTAAAGGGAGTTTTCAGTATTTTTTCTTAGAAGAAAGAATATTTTCAGCAATAACATGTATGGAACTTATCTTATCCCGTAAGTAAATTAAAAAACAGATATAAGAGGACTGTTTTTGGAAGAAGAAAAAAAACATTTTAAGTCCACAAGTAGCTCACTGTAGAGGCTGTAGGTGCCTCTTGGCAAATATATGTTTGTTTTTACTCGCAAACGTAATGTCCATTGTGTAAAAAAACAAATGCATTGGTAGTGAATACATTTACATTAGGCTACAGTATTTAAATTTGTATTTAGAACATTCAAATCAATCTTTCTATTCAGAATCAGTGGTGTTATTACTCTGGATAAATCCCAGATAATCTACTTCATTACTAAAGTTTTATGACAGAAGATGAGTATGTGTCCTCCTAAATTTAACAATAAGTCATAATTTAGGTAACATGCGAAAAACGCATGTATTGTCTTGATCAAAAGCTATATAAGATCTGGAACATCTGAAATGTTACATGTTACAAAATATTTTCCCCTAATTATCATCCTCTGTGCGTTTCAGTCTCTCAGTGACGAAGACTCCTTCAAGAAAATGTCATCAACCAAAGAGGTTTTGGAAAAGATACAAGAACTTCTGAGCAGTCTTGTAGAGAGGTGACGACTTATTTAAAGATTTATATTTTGGGGGCTTTTTCTGCCTTTTATTGGAGAGATAGGACAGTGGATAGAGATGGAAATCAGGGAGAGAGAGTGGGGATTGACATGTGGGGAAGGAGCCACAGGTTGGCTTTCAACCCGGGCCGCCCGCGTTGAGGACTACAGCTTCCATACATGGGACGCGCGCACTAACCACTGCGCCACCAGCGCCACTTACCCAGTTATTTAAGAACCTTTCTCCTTGTGGTGTTTTTTTACTCAATCACTGAATTACACCTTCACTGTCTGCGCAGGATGCACAAAGATGGCAGGCAGCCTCAAACCTTTAGGCTCACCATTCGCAAATACTCAGCGACCAACAAGTGGTTCAGTCGAGAGAGTCGGCAGTGTCCAATCCCAAACCACATCGGACAGAAGATCTGCTCTGGTAAGTTTGTGAGCCAAGTCTGACACTCTGTGTCCAACCTGCATCAGCTCAGGATGAAATATTGAATTGCTTTATTTGTGTTTCTGGTCTAGGAACAAGAAAACATGTCACTGTGAAATAATTTTTAAGGGTGTGTCAGTCAAAACCTGTGACAAAAATCTGTGACAATTCTCAGTCATCCAGGTCATATGTTGTTGTTTTTTTGGCTATTTATACATTTATTTAGAGACAGGACAGTAGATAGAGTCAGAAACCGAGGTGAGAGAGAGCGAGGATTGAAATGAGGGAAGGAGCCACAGGTCGGATTCAGACTGCCCGCTTTGAGGGACTATAGCCTCTGTACATGGAGTGTGCGTGCACTCTAACCACTTAACTACAGCCGCCCCTGTCCAGGTCATATCTGAAAGTTCAGATGTATCATATACAGAAAGGTTTTGGTAATGACACCCTTTACCTTTTATACTGGCTGTGATTCAAATAGAAAGTCTAAAATGGAATCTTTATTGGTATGTAACTTTTTTTTTAAAATTTTTTTAACAGTCTCTCTAAAAAATGTATCTCTGGTCAAATAGGATAAATTGAATTGTCTGCATTTCCAGCCGTCCAAAACTGCCATTTAAGCATCTCTGTCTCTTTTGTTTTTGTAGGCTGCTGTGATGATGCTGTGGTCCAGCTGCTCTCGCTGGCCTTGAAGCTCTTCCATAAGATGGTGGAAAGCAGCACGGCCTTCCACCTCACCCTCCTAAATGTTTGCTTCAGTAACCTGCAGACCAGAGAGGCAGCCACCAGCGGGAAGGGCTCCATAGCACATTTCTTCACACACAGCACGTCTCCCAGGAAAACACAAAGCATCTCTTCACAAAGCCAGGTAGTACAGTAACGTCATGTTTAAATGTCTTTTCATGACCACTTCGATCATCCTAGCCTCAAGTTATTCATACTTTCATTTTTTCATGACGTTGTTATTATCTCATAACAGCGTAACCTTCATGTGTTATAGTTGGTAAAGGTCAAACACAAGTTGCTCCATTCTTCTTTATACTGAAGATACCTTTCAGCCATCTTTCTTCCATAATTGCAGTTTTGTAATACACAAAGCCCTCGTAGCCCTGGGGCAGCTTTACATGGCTTTAAAAGAAAACAGAGCTCTGTTGTTGCTGAAGAAGGCCCTCCTCCTCCTCAAAAAGTGTTCTGCAGCACGGCCAGTTCAGACTGCGGTGAAACAAATAACAAGACGACACAGCGATTGCCCCCAAATGTTGACCCCGAAGTGTTCAGGCTTCTCCCTGAGGACATCCAGAAGGAGCTTTTGTCTCCTGTCTACACAAACTCTCTCGTCAACACTTCAACAAGCTCAGCCACAGAAGCTGAAGTCTCCCACACAAGAGAAAACAAGACTTCACTTTTATTTACAGGCGCCCGAAATATTGAGGACATAAAAGAGACTGTGGATCCGTGTAACTTAACGACTGTAAAACACCAAAGTGCTGCAGGCCAGAGCTTATTTCCAGGAGATAACGTCATGAAAGAGGGGAGACTATCATTCTCCCGGTCTTCTGACTGCAAGTTTCCAGGAAATGTTGACCCTAAGGTGTTTTCTGAGCTACCTCCGGATGTTCAGGCCGAGCTGATGGCTGAATGGAAGCAACAGAAGCCGCTCCTGAAGGATCCCTCATCCAGGAAACCTGGAAGGAGCTTAATGACAAAAGACAAAAAAGCTGCAGGAAAAAGCAGTCAGACTAACAATCTGTTCAAGTATTTCAAACCCAGTTAGACGTTTTATTTTGTTATTAGTTACCTCAAGGAAAATGTTGTTGTCATGTGATACACAAAGGAAGTGAACGAGAGAAAACCAAGCTATAAAATAAGTCTCGAGAAATGAGCGTTTTGCTAAGACTGTTTGAGGATAGTTTATCAGAATCAGAAAATGATGCTGCAAAATAAATTAAATGATAATGCTGCAAAAGAATGAAGGACTGAGGGTGCCATTAAAATGACTTTAACTGTTTTAATTGATGTGTAACTGAATATTTAAAACAGGATTCGTTTTACACATCTGTTAAATAAATCCATAAAGTCACTACATTACTGATACATTAATAATTTACCATGGTGTTTTTCATGAATATATTGATCATATATTTTTTGGTATTCTTTCAATAATCATTTTGATCAACCTTTAAAATAAAGCAATTAAAATAGATTTATTAGTCTCATTTCAAAGTTGACATATCCTTTGTATTGTTTTATTACATAAGATCTTATTCAGATCATTTTCATGACACCTGATGTTCTACATAAACAAAAAGTTAACTTTTGGAGTTTGCTTTTCTGATTTTTTTTTTGTCCACTCTTTGTTGGTGTCAGGTTCCTTTTTGGAATAAAGAACACATTTGTTTAAAAGTGCTCTATTTGATGATGCTTTGAGAGTCTTTCTATGAATACACCAATTACCTGATGTGACCTTTTTTGTGTCTCCCCTTTTATACGTTGAGAAAGGAGTAAATTGGGCGAAACAAATTCCACAATCTTAAGCAGACCTAAATAAAGTCTTTAGGTTCATTGTTTCCATGTTGTTTTCAGATTGTTTAGAGAAGCAGGATTATTTCTCTGAGCCTCGAAGTGGAGAATGTTGCCTGGTTGGATGATTTCCACACAAATCCACAGAGGCACACATTATTCGTCGGCGGGGGATACAATCCAGTTTTAAAGAGCCTTTTTTTTTTTTTTTTCCCCTTTCCTGAGAAATACCAGAAAACACAAGGTCTGTAAGCACAGCCCTGCTTGGTTCTTGCTAGAGAGAAACTCCTCCCTGGATCACATGTAAGAAGGAGGGAAAGGCTCAGGATGGGCCATCGCATCATGATAGTGATTATTTTATTTAATCAGGACAAGTTGGGAAATCTCTGAATGGACATTGGCACTTCCTGCAGATAAACTGGTAAGGTGTTTTGTTTTTTGTTGTCATTTTTAGAAACTTTTTTTTTTGTCTGTGTAAATCAACAAATAGCGGATTGATGGTGTTTTGCCCCATGGAAAGGTATTTAAAATGTTTTATACTTAGAGATCGCTGCAGGTTAGAGGGTGAATTACTCAGCATCTTGTCAATGTGCTGACAGCAGAGAATTCAATACAGTTAATCATGCACAAGGGAAATGAGCCCAGATTTGATTGTAGTATCTCATGTCCTGTCACTGCTGTGATGCTAGAATCTGAGCTGCATGACTTTTTTACTTAAACCTGTAACCAGCAGAAAAAAGATGTTTAGACTGCTCAAAGGAATGTAAGTGGTACTTATTTTTTTCTTGCTTCTCAACCATTGCATTCATAACCAAATCTGATTTTCCATGCTGTTTTTATGGCCTACCCATCCCCAGCTGTAAGTGTAACCGAAACATTGCAGTGACCTGAGTGCCGTCATGCAGTATTCAGCTGCCTGCCCACAGTCCTTGCAGTCAATAAAAGGAGTTCTGTCTGCCAAACAGGCTGTTTTTTCGCTCAGCAAAGTCTGATAAAACTCTTGACTGCTCATGTGGAAGCCAGTTCCAGTCATGTGCTAGTCCCTCTCTGATCAGGGCCTCATGAGTGGGGAGTTATGACGTCCTGCAAAGCCTGCACCTCAGACTAAAAAACTGTTGCTTAGCAGGACCTAATTCACCTTTCTTTACTAGTTTTTTTGCTTCCTCTAAACTCTTGTGATACATGAGCCATCCAGAAGTCTTTTTTTTTACTGTGAGTTCACCTCTGTGGCAGGTTGAGCACTCAGCTCCACAATGGCTGACTGGGATTATGACTACCTGATCAAGCTGCTGGCTCTGGGGGACTCGGGGGTGGGAAAGACAACCTTCCTCTACAGGTACACAGACCATAAGTTCAACCGCAAGTTTACAACCACAGTGGGCATTGACTTCAGGGAAAAGAGAGTGGTAAGTGATAATCAGGTGGTCACATTTAAGGCTTTAAATTCTGCTTTAATGGAGAAGAAGATAGGCAGATCATCATCATATCATGCTTGATGGTTTGTTTCAGATGTACACAGGGACAGGTGTTGATGGGACGACTGAGAAGAACTTCAAAGTCCACCTTCAGCTTTGGGACACAGCAGGACAAGAGAGGTAAACACAGGTCATATTTACAACATATTCATATTTATTTATCATTGAAAGCCCCAGAGCAATGGCGTTCAAGATGTGGTGCTCCAGCTTGACAGTAAAGTTATTCTATTTCATTCTCTAATGGCGTGAAGTATTCCTGTTACTATAAGTGTACGTTTACTTTCTTAAGAAAACAATGTTACTCAATTCCTGCAACACATTCAAACCTTGGGAGACCTAGAATAAATAGGCTAAAGCACGGGATTTATTGGTCAGGATTAACTTTTTTTTTTTTTTTTTTTTTTTTTTTTTTTAATAAAAACTAACTATAATAACATAATAAGGGTATTAACACAAAAACACATACACAAGCTACAGTTATGCTAGCACCCATGTAAGACTGAGTTTGTTGCAAATATATCTTACTTCAGTGTGTTAGTATTCTAAAATGTGTTAAGTAGCAATGAACATTAGCCATTTTTCTGGTTGTTATAATGTTGGGGTGCTGTGTTAAAATGTGTGTCTATATTTGCAATAGTTGTATTGATATTGTCAAAGTTTAAAGTATCATTCTGCCAGTAATGCTAGAGAAGACGAGGGATCCCCAAAGTTAGTTGGACCTCAGGGGACTGTGAATGTCTTTTCAAAATATCATGCTAATCCATTGCAAACATGCTGAGCATTGCTGAAAATCCAAACACAGGAGATTGTTACTGCATTAAAATGTTTTCATTCTGTTTTTTTTAGGTTCCGCAGTCTCACTACAGCTTTCTTTAGAGATGCCATGGGCTTCCTGCTGATGTTTGACTTGACCAATCAACAAAGTTTCCTCAACGTCAGGAACTGGATGAGTATGTGTCATCTCAGCAGCACACTCCTCTTCAGATCAATGCTCTAATAGATCAATGTTTCCTCTCCCATTACCACCAGCACCAAGATTAAGAGGTTCCTTTTTTAAAGTGTGTGATCACCTTGACTGAATGAGTTTCTGATCTCATGTCTGTTTGCATTTCACGGTTTGAAGTAACTTCCTCTGTGTTGGTTCAGGTCAGCTCCAGGCCAATGCGTACTGTGATAGTCCAGACATTGTGCTGGTGGGCACAAAGGCTGACCTACGAGATGTGAGGGATGTTCACGCCAGACAGGCCAGAGATCTGGCAGACAGATACGGGTGAGGATTTGCACATGTCCTGGTGTCTGTAAGTTACAGATTCAGGTTTACTAGAAGGTGTGAGAGACTGTGTGATGTGAGGGAGATGCTACAATCAATGCTAATCTCAATAACTATCTATGTAACCCAGAACTTAGGCTACATTTCCTTTAGTGTTGATGTAAACTGAGAAACATGTAATTGAATTTATATTTTTTAAAATGATAAAATTCAAATAGGAGGCGGCCACCAACGAGCAAACAAGATTGGACATCCTTATGTCTTCATTTACATTTTGACATAATTATTTCTTTGTCCAACAGACTGATTCACTTTTTTACAAGGAAATACTTTTTTGATAGACAGTTTGAAGGACTTTTGTCGTATGTTATCAAAAAAAATACAACTCAAGTTCGTGATCAGATGATTTACTTTTCAAAATCAAGCTGATCCCATAATTCACAGTGTATTTTATTATTTGGATATTAAACTGAAAAACACCTTAATCAACACTCAAATAGTAATTGTTTGCATCCCGGTTTGGTTGGTTTCAATGTATTACTGCTGCTTTTCATGTTGATTATGTTGTCTTAATGGTCTAGACTTTTTCACTGTAGTCTGCTGAACAATTTATCTTGGACATTTTCAAATGTAACTTTATATTTTGAATAATTTTATATCACAAGAATTTGGTCAACATCCAGGAGATAATCAAGCATGAGGTTTGCTGGGATAACACTTTGCTTCTGTACCACAGGATGGTGCTGGTGATTCGTTTTCAACCTTGCTCCACTTCTCTTCATCCTTTAAAATTTCAGTCAGCACACAGTGGTTTCCTGCCTTTGGGGTCAAGGACTCCTCAGGGGTGGAAAGATTAAAGTAGAAAATACCTTTCTATTTCACAAACTTCTGTTTTTTTGTGTTATTTATTAACAATTAAATACCAATTGGCTATACTTCTTGATATATAAAAAAACACATCAAACAAAAAAAACGTGTAATCACTGAGAGTCACATGAAAGGTTTGAAGTAGTAAAAGCAGTAAAGGAAAAGGAAGTTAACTAATTTAGTGGTCAATCCCAACAACAGCCCGCACTCCTCAAACTATTCTTCTCTCTCTGTTCTCGTCAGCATTCCTTACTTCGAGACGAGTGCGGTGACGGGTGTTAATGTGGAACAGGCTGTGACCACACTTCTGGACATGGTGATGAAGAGGATGGAGCAGAGCAGTTATGGGGGCCCAAGCGCTGAACCTAACGGTAGCCCTGCCACTAGCCATGAAGTGGAGGAGGCACCTGCCAGGAGAAGGTGCGCCTGCTAATTTCATCACCTGAAGCCCAAATTAGCATTGGGTTTTTAAAATGCTACTCTGCTCTGGAGTTTGACTGAGGTGCCAGGAGATAAATAACCTATATCCACTATATCCTATACTTTAATAATCTGGCCCAATTACTGTTGGTATTTACTGTCTGTAATGTTATTTATTCACAGCCTGTGCATTGTTGAGTGTGGAAAAAGAGAGAGAAAATACTTCAAAACTTTGAAGACTGTATATAGTACCTGAATACAGGTATCGTTGTAAAAACTGTGATGTTTTGAAGTCAATAAGAGTTGTTGTTTTTAGCCAAAATAGTCAGTTATCATCAAATGGGTCAAATCAGAGAAAAATACTGTTTTATTTGACACATTAGGCATTGATGGAAGGAATATGCAGGCACATAACATATATTTATCGTAAAGTATACTCAAAAAACATTGAAGACATGGTTACATTTCCTATATGTATGATCGGTTTTGTTAGAACAACCAAGATAGCAAAGTCCCTTGAATGATTTATGACTTTTATACGATATGTACATAAGCAGCCAAGCTTTTTTATGCATTATGGAACATAGTTGCCATGCAGATCGAACACAATTACAAGAATGTTAAAGGGCTGTCGGAACGTCTCATGTATGGTGCTGCATTTGGAATAAAAACACTTTATGGTTAAGTTGTGAATGTCACAGTCTTTAAATGTAATGCACAAAAAGCTTTACTGTTGTTCTTACTGGAATTACAATCCTCACAGACTTTGTTAGTATCAGTATTGTTTTACACACATTCTACAGATTGCTTAAAAAAATTAAAAGATGCCTATTGGAGAATTTCCAGCACACATCAGCAGATTATTCAGACAAGTCAATCCCTAGGAGGACATTCATGGAGTCACAAATAAGTTTCACAACAATACTTTGGCTGCAGTCAAAAAGCAAACCATTTGAATGATTTGTGTGCCACAAAAAGTGATCAACATGAAACTCGACACCAAAAAAGAGGATACTACACTTCTTCTACTTATACTTGTTAGTAAACATACAGGTTCACAAATCCCCCCCCCCCCCCAAAAAAAAAAAAAAAAAATCTGTATGAAGCTTAAGTAACATTTCTTTCTCCTTTTAAACAAATGGTCTTTGGTGTACATACAAAACATTCCTAATGAAGAGACTACAGAGATTATCCATACACATAAATGACCAATAAAAAAAATTGCCTAAAGATTAGATTTTCAGACTTCAATCAGATATGTGTTTTCATGGCTGTTGTGGTGACTGAGTTACAGACGAGACAAAAGTTAGTTGTCAAAAAATGTTCAGTGTTGCCTAAGGGGACAAAAAAAAGAAATTTTCAGTGTTGCCGGGGGAGACAGACGGAGAAGAAATTCTTTGTGTGAGGAAAGGGTAGCAAGGAAATGCCTGCCACAGTAATTCTGAGTGAGCACGAAAGCACACACTACATCTGGAAAGTGTAAATGACTGCATTGCTCTGTATATTAAAGCTTGGTCTCAGCCAGAATTTGCAACAAGGAGCACATGTTGCATGGTCATGAGATGGTCATGAGATGGTCATGTGGCCAGCTTTCAGTGTTTGGGCCCAGTCCTGAACGCTATATCCACCTCTTGGCTTCAGTCTGGCATAATTAAACTCCAAAGATGACCTACTTTTACAAAAAAAATAATGCTGTTGATATTTAGTTTATCTGCAGAGGTTTGGTCCCACGTGAAATATAGAAGTTCATTTTTTAGTCTTCAAACATCTCATACAAAGACACTGGTGATACTCTTAAGGAAAAAACCACCAGGAAAACAAAGAAAAGCAAATAACTAAATTTTTCCATCAAACGATCATCAAAAAGGTTGTAAAAAACTAGCTCAAAAGATTTGTTAGTGCCTCACATGCTATGCCATTAAAATGGATCATGCGCTTTATACAAGATGCAATATGTCACATAACGTTCATTCATTACTCTGTTTTAGATCATAAATATTGAAATTGATATAGATACATGGCAACTAAATAGCTTTTTCTCTACCAAGAAAAGCTCATTTATAAATATCACAATTCTAATTCATTGTTTTAGTAATTAAGATAGTGGCAAAACTCGGAATAGTTGTTGGTATTCACTTTTTGAAGAAACTGTGTCCAAATGTTGTTTCCTGATGTTTGTAGCCACGCTAACGCCTCATTGTAGGTCACAAAACACTTCAGTTGCAGCTGTTTACAAATTCAAACAATGCTTAAGTGTGTAATTCTAAAGTTAATATGAAATCACATTTATATATAAGTTTCTCAATTTAAAAACCTAAAAAAGGTGACAAGCCTCACATTTCCCATTGACAAAGCTAGCATAGTTGGCTAGCTTAACTTGCTACAGCACATCCTGTTCTCATTAAGTGGTAAAAAAAAAAAAAGGACTGCACTCTGCACTGTAAAAATGGAAGCTTTTTAGATTTTAAATTAGACTTTACAAAACAAAACAATTCACCTCTTTTACCAAGTGTAAATTAACCGGTAAAATTATCAATTAGCATGATTGAGGTTAGCAGTCAGATATTTTCCAATAATGCGTTTAGCAATCAGAAATGTTTTTCAGTTGTTAACCCTGCTGAAGATTTCCTTTCTTTATTACAGCTTAAATTAACTAGCTCAGGTAATGGATTCGGACAAAATATACTATGAGTACTTTAAAAAAAAACGTTTATTAGCTTTCTTGTGAGCAGGGATGTGTCCAGACTCTTATGACTGGGTTGGCCCACCTGGGGCATTGACTTATGCAGGGTCGGCATTAAGTTTGAGGGCACACGCACACAAATTATTATTTACACCCTTTCTATCCCCACTAATAATAAGCAGGTAACACTATTTGGCAACATATAAATCTTCTTAGCTTGATCTTTTAGGGACTCACAATTTTAAATGCATGCAAACTCTTGTTTGCTGTCTAACTGGCAAACATACATTTAACGGCAATTAAGTCCATTGCCAATTTGACAGTTTGCACACATTAGTCCTTAGAAATTTTCATGGAAAGCGTAAAATAAATATACACTACTAAAAGCACTAACATTAGCATGTGGAAACAGCCAGAATAGTTGATTTGTACTTAAGTTCCGCCTCTGATTAGACACATAGCCAGTCATAGATTTGGCTTTTGGGTTGGCACTTTGGGTACACGCCCCTGCTTGTGAGAGTTTGTTGGAGTCATAGCTAGTTAGCTTAGCTAAGCATACTGTTAAGACTAAACTTTGAAAACAACTTTTGAAAAAAACAGCTACAGGCCCTGTCCAAAGATAACGGGAGTACAACTACAAAAACCTGTAGTCTGTATAAGTCTGTATAACATCTTACTTCTTGTTTGTCCAAACAATACAAAGCTTATAAGGATAATTGTTTTTAAAGGTTCCTTTTTCTTGGGGGGGGCAGTGACTTTATCAAATCAAAAGTTACTTCTAAAAAAAACTTCAAGGATTTACAAAGATACAACTACAGGATCTCTTTGTAAATTTTCATTTAAAAAATAAAATGTAAATTTTTCCCCATGTTGAAGAAGAGCAAGGAAATGTATAATTTCCAGCTTCCTGGATACATATAGGGTACAGCAACGTGGGTTACAAGTTAAAAATCCTTTCTTAAACATACAGTAGACCAAATATATTTAATCCAGAGGGTTCAACAAGTCTGATGAACTGAAAACAATTTAGGAAGAGCTGTTAGAGTTTGTAAACAGCATTATTGTTTTTCCCATGCATTGCTTGCTAATTCGGCATTGTGACATTAATGAAGTCGCTAGCGTGACCATAGACGTAGTCTCTTTTTTGCAGATATCTCGTGTTATTGTCTCAGAACCTAATGTAGGCTGATTCTACTCTCAAGAGTCCAGCATGTTAGCACAACACACCCCATTTGTCCATGAATTTATGGCTTATTGTTGGAATGTTGATTATTATTCCAAAAACTTTCAGCAAAATTTGAAGTGGACAGTCTGTCACGACTGTCTACAGAGAGTAAAAGACACACAAGTATATTTATATTTATATAGAGTACAATCTTGTAAACACATACCATCTTCCAGAGTAGTGCAGCTTGTGGCACACCTCTTGGGGGGAAAGGCCTGAAAACAGAAACTACACCTCTCTTGAGGCATTAAATCTGATTACAAAAAAACACTGATCTAACTCCTTCCCTGAGATTAGGCAGTGATTTCAGTGTACAGAATCAGTATACTGTTGTAAAAGGCGATTAATCAATCAACACCATGTCAAACAGAACTTGAAGATTTCACTGCTGGCATTTCCACAGCAGAATCCCCTGCAGTTAAAACAGACGTTTGTTAAGATCGAGCTGTTTAGCCACGGCCATCAGCCATCAGCCATGCAAAGGAGATCAATGGAAGCAACTGAGCAGCATAAAAGTCCTAATTGTGGTACTGAAGACAACAACATACTGGATGAGTAACAACGCTGTGATTTACATCCCGAGTGAGCCTGACATCTTCATGTGGCATTACAGTGTGATGTGTGTGTTTGTGAAATGTGGGTGTCAAAAACTGACTTAACTCTAATCATGCACTGTGGGCCACAACAAAAGTGTAAGCTGAGCTGATGGATCTGGGTCACCATCTTTGGAGTCACCTCTTCAACCATCCAGTACTCATTGTGTGCCTAAGAGCAGTGCGTCAGGCTGAGTCTGATCACGCCTTCCCGGTGCAGCTTGTAGAGCAGCTTGAACTCGGTGGGCAGCTGATGGGTCTCCTGCCACTTGGTGGTGAATTTGGTCCCTTTCTTGTCGTAGTAGTGGTAAGGCAGATCCTTTCCCGTGTTGGGGTCCCAGCCAAAGGGCCAGAAGCCGTAGAGGTGGATCTCGTCGCACATGGCAGAGGCCAGAGTGTACATGAGGATTCCAGTGCTGAGGCGTTTAGGGGAGAGGTTTTTAGTTTTCCAGTATCTGTGACGGAGAAAGGCAAGATATTCATCAACTCATCCAAGAACAGAAATACATCATCCCATTAAGCTCCTCAGCCTCTCCCTCTGGTTTACCCACATATCAGTAGTGGCAGTGGAGCTCCAGTCTGAAACTCCTACTGCAGCCCCTAAAACCCACACCTATACATTACCCAAACCCTTCGCTAATTACCTTTCAATCTGCAACATGAACATACTCACCAACACATTCAGAAATAGACAAACTTTTCATTTTCATTTTGTTTTGTCTTTATTTATTTTTTTGTTTATCTCCCGCCTACAATATGTCTGATTATTTTGCAATTATATTCACTGCCATTCAACACAATGTTTTGTGTTGCATCGTCTTGCACTTGTATTGCTTTCACACTTTATTGCACAATAAAGTTAAAAATCTTACATCCAAACGTTCTTAGTCAGAATACCGATATTAATCCCACAGCAATCTATCCGACCGTGACACCACTTTCCATTTCATGCTCCCTTTCTGGTCTATTCTTTTATGTGTGTGATTATGGTTTTATTGTTTTGAACAATATTATACACAATTACAAAGTCAAATGTTGAGAATATGAGATGTACTTAGGAAGTAAGTCCACTGCTCTGTTTTCATATCATGGTATTCAGTGTAGGCCACTATATTCAATATTTTCCGAGTAGCATCTGATGAGATAACAGATGGGAAAGGGATTGCTCATAATGATGAACCCATAGATATTATTACTGAATTATTCAATTTCTCTGAGCTCCAAGAACCTTAAACCATCTTTCAGCTGGCTTTTTTCTGCCAGCAACTTTACTGTTTTGAGGTCGCTGCTACAGATCCCAGTCTTTTGGTTGGTGGAGACCAAATCAGAGCTAGAGGGAGATAAATATTGGACTTATAGTCATCGACTGTCAAGAGACACATCTCAAAGTGAATGCTTACTTTACTCTGTATCTACTAGACATGGAAAATGTAAAAAAGTAAGTCTTAAAAAGTAACAATATATCAATAGTGTTTTAACAGCTTTTTTTCTCCTTCCCTTGAGCCAAAAAAGCATGAATGGGTATCATATAGTCAATAATGTTGATACTCAGTCCACTGTCTTTGCATTTAACTCTTGCTGGCCTTAAATTGGTCAATTGAAGTCAATTTGTATCCACCCTTTGAAAGTTAATTGTTGAACCCTTACCAAAAAGAAAAACCACCAAATGTTGCAGCCCTGATCATAATCAGCAGTCATTCTCTCATTCATTCACCTGAGTCTTAACCATCAGAAACACTGTCTTACTTGTTGACATCATGCATGATGTTTCCAGGCCAGGCCAGTTCGACCTTCAGTTGGCCCTTGTGCTCCACAAAGAAGTCCACCAGGGTCCTGGTTACTGTGGCTGAGGTATGAAGGAAGAAGGCGGGGATCCACAGGATGGCTCCCTCCAGCTTCTTCAGGTTGAGGAAGAAGTTATTCCTGTCTTGAATGGTCAAGAGGTTATTGTAGTACCTCTCCAGGATGCTGGGGTTGAAGGTGGTCAGGTTGGTCTTCTTTCCCACATCCTTTGAGTAGACATCTGTGGGGGCAAAGTTGCAGCGGAAGACAAAGTCGGCCTGGTCGATCTCTGGGCCACAGTGGCTACCTGTCAGGATGCCACTGTTTCCCACCACAGAGCATATGCTGTAATGCTTGTTGCGGATGGGAGAGGTATCTGGGAGCAGGGATTTGAAGTTGTTGCTGATCGAGAAAACATATTTGTGGCTGGAGTAGTCAAAGTGCATCAGCTGGCCCACACGTACACTATTCTTTGTGAGGGAGAAGTTTTTGGGAATGTCGATGTAGTTGAAGATATCTTTCCTGAAAGAAGACAATCACTTGTTACACACAGCACATTGAGATGTACGTTTATAATATACAGTATGGGCCCATAATTGCAAAGGCTCCAGTTTAAAAGGATAACTGCATAATTATGTAAACATGTGACGCAGCCACAAAACATGGTGCATGACGCAATGACTGCAACAGCAATTACTGAGCAGTTGTTTTTACCTGAGTCTGAAAAGATTAAAGAATATTTGATTTGTTGATCTCAGAAAATATTCAGTGACCACTTTGATGTATGTATTTAACCACAAATGCAAACATATGACAGCCCGAGGTTCTCTCAGGACACAAGGTAAAAGGCACTTTTAAAATGATAAGTTACATAATTAATATAACTGATAGTGGCAGCCCTTATATGAAGACTTTTAACTATACAATTTTACCAATCACTGAGTGTGAAAGATTTAGATCCATTTTCTGGGGATTTAAAAAGCATTCTGAGTAATTTGGGACATTGCCAATGGATATGAAAATAGTTATCAAATGACAAACGTAAGAGCAAAATGCACATTTTGGATGAAAGGAAACTCTTGTTATGCTAAGTACATGGAGAATCAAGTTCCACCCATCATACTCAGCGTTTTCCTAAGTCTAGGAATTTAATATTTATTTATTATTTAATATTATTTGTTGTGAAAATGCTGAGGCTCTTAAACAAACAAGGAAATCTACTTTCTTACAGGAACAGTGTCCAACATATAACTGTTTATAAAATGATAAATATCTGTAAACAACACAGCCACTTTGCTCCGTGGATTTCAGCTTAGGCAAACCCTGCCACATGTTTTCCAGCAGGATGACTGAGTCTTGGATGTTCAAAATTCTTTACAAAGCAGAAAAATCTGATTGTTAAAATTGGTGGAAATTGGTTTACCTGACCTTCATTCAGTCACATAATAAGAACTTGATTTGGCACATACACAAAAAACACACACGCACAAATCTTTCCCAACATACATACCCATGCCAAACCTGTGTCTGTGAAGCAGACATTTCTAGGATCTGTATCCATCTTGTACAAAACAACAATCTCTAGAACAGGGGTCCCCAACATTTCTTCATCTGAGAGCTACTTTGAAAAAATGAAAGTGGCTAGGAGCCACTTGCATCAAATCGCTGGCATAACACACAACAGCTGGATCAAGCTGCTGTTTGTGCATGTGTGAAATTGCAATAAGCCAATGCTTACAATAATCTTAAATTCACATCAAGGTCCGAGAAAAAAACATGAACATTTTACACTTCTTATTGTGCCACATAGTAAGCTATGTTGCTGAAAATTCACATCAATGTCCAAGAAAACATTACTACTTTACACTTGTTTTTATGGGCCAAATATATGAATAGTTGGAAGAGGTGCATTTATTGTCGTCAGATTTTTTTTTTTTACACAGTCGGTCAACTTATAGGCGAGCTACTGAAAACTACTGAAAACCTGCCCCCGGCTACCTGTTGGGTAGCTCTAGGGAAATACACAATGCCAGATCACCTCAACCTGGTAGATGACCAAGAACATCTGGTGAAACAATACGTGTCTGTTATGTAAATGTTCAATGATCTAATTGCCCAAAAAAGGATGTTGAAGGTGGTATATGAGAACTGCTCTAACAGAAATAAAACAGATCCTCGATTCACAAGCCATGCGTCTCTTCTTGATTGTTTAGGAGTGTTCGCTCCACGACAAAATCTCTTACCTCTGCTGATAAAAAGCTGTCTTGTTGAACTTCCATTTGTATGGTTTTCCTTGAAGCTCTTCATTCAGGGCATTGGTTAATGGGATGAAGGAGGGGTCCAGGAAGTTCATGGCAAACTGAGACCTGTCAACAACAACAACCATAAAATATAATGTTTCATCTAGTCTCTTGCCTCTCTGCTGTAAAATGATCTCAAACTAAAAACAACAGTATCTTCTTTAAAATCACATCTGTTTACATCTGATAGTCCGATCACTGTCCACTTATATCTACTCTTTTTATATTTTATATTTTTAAGTTAAGTTTAAGCTTTAAGTTGTATTTAAATTGACACTTTTTATTTAGGTTAAAATATTTCGTCTACTTGCACTGTTGTTAATTTACTGCTCTGTGTGCCTTTGAATTGCCCCCCGGGGACAAATAAAGTTTTTTGAATTGAATTGAATTGAATCACTGTTAAAGAATGAATCTCGATCAAAAGATCATCTTTTAATTCATATGTCATATCTGTGTTGTTTTAGTTCATTCTTATCTCATTTTTTCACCATTGATTTAGCTGCTGCTCTTTTATTTTCTATGTCTTCCTGTTTTATTGATTTATTGTTGTGTTATTCATTGTTTTGTATTGCATTGGGACTTAATTATTGATGGCATCGTTATTCATTTCAATCTGTTTCATAAACAACTCAAACATTCTCAGTGGAGCTTTCCACAACATGTTCAAACATTAAAATGTTAACTAAAGTGTAATTTGTTAAATGTGTTTGCCAAAAGAAATAGATAAATCGTTATAAAAGATAGCTTTACGTGATGGGTAAACGGTTCAAATGGTTATTTAAAATGATTTAAAAATCTACTTTTATACCTGCAATTGGAACATAATGGAATCAATGATGGGATAGGTGAATTCATCAACAGGGTAGTGGCGGCAGGTTAGGCCAAAAAGCATTGGCCCGCCACTGTTTTGAGTTCAAGCCCAGGAAAACAGCATCAGCACCTAGGACAGCTCACTGTTTGAATGACAGGAAGGAATTTGCCCCTCAAGTGAATGGAAGATGCTGTTTGAATCTTGCAACCTAGGCCTGACACCTGACTGTGTTTATATTTACTACGTCACTTGCTCGCTTCAAAATACCTCTGCCCAAATTCTGCTGTGAAGAAATATTACTCACCGAAATCTCGCATGAAACATTACCCTAGGTCCTCCCATGTAGTATTTAGAGGAGGCGAAGAGGCTGTCTTTCCTAAGGGACACATAGCTGATGAGCGACAGTATGAGCACAGCGACGCACAGAATAACCAAACCGAGGGCCTTGACGATGCGGACCATCTTGGGAGCGTTTTCATTCCCTGTGTGTAGCTGCAGCGAGGCGTTGGCCTATGTGTTCATCTCCGGGACTGCTCGCTTCTGCTGCCCGTCTGCAAGACACAGACAAACTGGCGTTCATCGGCTCATGTAATTGTAGAAACTGGACGGCTGGTGGTGGTCGGCTGCATGGTGGTGGAGATGCCACGTCTAGGTCCGCTCTCATTTCTCCGTCTGACTTTCTGCTCTCACACTCCGCTGCGACTCCCCTTCAAGGCGGCCGGTTTAATCAAGGAGATGGAGCAGAGTCAATACATCCCAAGCCAGCTAACAGACAACCCCTCGTCCACAAGCACAACCAGCAGCCTCACCACTAACTCCGCCCCCTCGCTTTATCACTTACACACACACACACACACACACACACACACACACACTGAGTCAGGCTCCCAGCAAAAAGGAAAGCGTGTGCAATGATAAAATGAAAGGGACAGAAATAGGAGGATAAGGATAGAAAATATGGGATGAATAGACACATAACATCCCCCCCCCCTCTGGTCATAAATCTTCACATTAGGCTACTCGAGTGAATTCAAGGAAATGTACTTACTTGTGTACTCGTGTTTGCTACATCTCACTCCACTATGTGTCAGAAAGAAATAAATATTTTTTGTAATTTCACTGTATTTATTTTGCAGCTTTAGTTACAAGTCATTGAAGAAGTATTGAGATTGCTTAAGTAGTAAAACTACTCTGTAAAACACCTCATTTTCAATGTAGTCCTTCATTAAAACAAACACATGTCAAAGTACTTTTTGCAGTAAGATCATTTCCCATTGTTAGCAGAGTCAGTTTGCACAACGATCCTGGCGTGCATACCAAAACTAGACCGAAATATTTACGGAGGAATAAAAGACACTGTGGGGTAAAGGTTCTTGACATATATGCGCACTTCAACTATGAATATCAGCGCATATCATTGGCTGCTGTCACTTGTCATTAATACAGTATAGAACCTTTTTACAATTGAGATCACAAACATTTCCCTTTATGTCAACACCCCCACTTGATCTCACATTATAATAAAAAAAATAAACAGGGTTTTCCACCTTACATCATGTATGTTTTCACATGGTTAATCTCCAAACAAAATCTTATCAAACTTTCTCAGCTTAAACTTTGTAGCTGGTTTGGTCATCACATCTGCAACCATCTGTTCTGTTGGACAATAGTCCAAACTTATTTTTCCATCATTAACAGTTGACCTTACCAATTGATACTTGATGTCAACATGTATACATCTCTGTGTGTTTACAGGGTTCTTAGCCAATGCTATCCACCCTGGTTATCCTCATAAACCTTAAAGGAAGTACATGCTGATGTGCATCAAGTCCCTCTAATAGTCGCATGAGATTCAAACATTCTTGTGTTGTTGCAGCCAACGCCATGTACTCAGCCTCACAAGTGGATAACGCAACAGTAGGTTTTTGCTTTTTAGTTTTCCATGAAATCATAGGACCACTTTCGTTTAAACTTACACAGTAACCTGTTGTACTGCGAGAGCACACATTATCCGTCAACACCAATTCATTGTTTTTCATTTTGTTATTGAATTATCATCGCTGGTGGATTAATTTGTTAAAAAAAAAAAAAAAGAATTTTACTGCTGCAATATTGTAATGCTGTGATAACTGTTGCAGTACTGTTCATCTACAGCTATGGATATTAATGAAAAAAGTCATTAAATGTTCGTAGTGAGAGGTCTTGTGGAATAAGATTTCAGATTAGTTCATTAAACTCAATAAGTAAATTGATTTTTTTCAACTCACAAAGCAGCAGTTCTGGTTTGCAAAAAATCCATGTCAAATCACCATAACTTGAAGAAAAATCATTGTCTGAAAATCATAGAAAAAACGAATAAAGGACAGTTAAATTGATGCGGTATTCTTGCCCTCTTATTGCAGTGGGGACTGTGATTGGTTGAAGGCGTACATCATTTAGTATTTAAGATTGCTTCTCATCTCTCATTGTCACAAACCATTTGCCTGACCAAGGGTTAAATGTTGTAACTATAAGTGTATAAACTAGACAGAATATGGAAAGAGTTCTTTATATATGACTTTTAAAAACACTCCTAAACACACCGAGATCAATCAGAAAAGTTAAGTTTCCTGTTGGTCTAATCGTGTGAGAATGCATTTATACCCTTACTCTCAAGGTTCATCGCTTCACTTAGACTTTGTGGCGATGATGTGAGTTTTAACGCATTTGTAAAGTTAAGCAGGGAGCCTATGCCACAAGTTCCCGCAGACGTACAATTCGAAATCACAAAGGATTTAAAACAAACAAATGTAGATAAAAGGTACTTGTCTTTATTTGAAAGGACTTCTTCTGATCCTTCCAACATATTTCACGTTATATCCAAATACAACACATATAATGTAGCTTTCGCAAAGCATACATTTTTTCTTCTTTTTTTACAGGTTATGTACATTTTTTTCATTTTTGTTTTACAGTAAGCTTATCTTGGTAAACATGAACATTCCTTCATTATCACATATTTTAACGTATCCATGCATATACAGTCGGGTATTTTCTCACTACCTTGTCACATTAGTATTATGCATAACATACACTTGCAGAACACTGTAAATATGAATGATTTTGAGTATAAAATCTGCTATTAAAAAAAGATGGAGGATATGCTAGTGTGTTAGCTGTATTCATCAATGAGAGTACCTCATGACTGACATCTATTATCTCTCGCTTGTGCTTCGCTGTTTTTCCTGGAATGTGCCAAGCTCAGACACAAACTAACAAAAAGAGAACATTTGGGGAAAAGACATTCAGATGCATTGCCATCAAGCTGCCAAGATATTGCAATTATCTATTTTGCACTAGGATATGTTTTCTTTAAAGAAGGAAATAATAAAAGGAATCAACGCAGGCACTTCTAAAACGTTCACTTGGCACAGAGTACAAAAAGTGAAACACAAATGTTTGCACTGTAACAATGAAACAATCTTAAATCTGTAACAGTTCAGGGGATAAAACACACATTCAAAAGGGTTTTAAACAACAATGACTCATCACTTTCTGCTGTTTACAAAAGCAGAGGGGAAGAAGGATCCTTCACCGTCACTTCCTGGTGAGCCCCATGGACTGTCCTCTCCACAGCTCATGTCCTCACAGGAGTCCTCACTAGCAGAGAGGAAAAGGAAATAAATACATTTATCTACTAATGTTAGAGGATTAGTCTGCATTGCTTGTTGGATGTGGTTCAATTGTATTCATCACATTTAAATTCCATTAATAGAATCTGAATCCTCTGAAATCCTTTGTTAAGAAGTATTGTAAACAGTGAAGGCTGTAGAGTATTTGGATCTGTAGCACATACATGGACCATACACTATCTGCATGGCTGCTTTGGTTTGAACATGTTTTTCAAATCTTTCATTGACCTGTACATATCTGCCACAACAATGCTTTTTCACAACAATTTCGGTTAATGTATATGAATATATCCAGGGATTAGGGCAAACTTTTACATGCTCTTAAGAAGAGCTACACAATGAACCCAAATGTGTCATTATATTAATATGGCATAACACTACAATTAATACATCACAAAAGGTCAAAATTTATAGCAATAAATAACAAAAATGATTTCATATAAACAACAAATGTATTTTCTCTCAGCATGCTTACACTCTTCCTTTTGTATGATTGTATGAAGGCCTGGGTATACTGGCCATGCTTTAACAACTTGATCAGAAAAAGCTCAAGATAGCAATCAGCTATCCACAGACTAATTGGTGAAATTCTGGAGGTGATAAAAAAAAAAAAAAGATTTTTGGGTTCATTTTGGGTTCAGTAGAAAATTTGGAAACACAGGTATTGTGTAAAACATGAAGAACAGCAGATAGACATACACACTTTTAGTTCTGGCCAATGTGTCAATGTAATATTTGTTTTATTGATTTGACTTATTGATTTATTATTGAACAATGTTAACACGCATTGTCATATCCTGCAGGCCAACTCTCAAAGCTTTGCATACGAGAGAATAGCTGCTCTTTTGTTATATTGTAGACTGAATATCTTAAGTTATGTTTTCATAAACATATTTTATGTGCTTTTTAAAGTATCAATATAGGAAAAGTTAAAACCTTCGTCATAGAACAAAAGTTGTTTGTTTTACTTGTTTAAAAGAATTGATGCACTGAATAGGATATGGAAATAATTGACCAGACATTGTTTCCAATTACATTGTCCTTCATTCCCCTCTGTTTACTCACAGATTTGAACCATCAAATTTAGCAGCATACTTTGTTTGTACAAGACCAGTTGACGTAAACCTTTGTAGTTTGCTTTTATTTTTGGTACTTGAGTGATTTTTTTGACTCTTAAATTTCAGGAAGTTGTTCAGCAATGGTCATTCCAGCATGAAAGAAATGGAAAAACTGTGGTATTAACCTCTCACTCTCGTCCCAGCACCCCTCAGGAATGGTTGGCAGGCCGGGAACACTGAAGTGATTGGCCTGAAGATTCTGTGCGGTTCTCCTGGACACGATCCAGACAAGCTTTTTGTTGTCTGGTTTGTTACATTCAGTTGAGCAGTATTTACTCATGCACTTAGCCACAAGTTCCTTCCAGTGGAACAGCTCGCTCTCACTGATCTGTGAAGAAGACAAACAGGAAATATTTGAGAAGCTGCAGACGGAAATAGTCTTTCAATATGCTGTCATCAACATGTCAGGAGTTGTTTTTTTCCCCTAATGCTCGTGGTCACACAACACAAGCATTATGACACAAAGCAGAGAAAAATGTAAGACATGCAGGACCGGGAGAAATTAAAAAAAACAAATCTTGAGCATTTTAGTCACAATGGAGACTTAAATACCTTTAAATATAACACTGTAGTCTGAATATTTGTTGTATAATCAAAACAGCGACACAAAAGCTGTGTTGGCCTGGTAGCAATGATTAAACATTTCCAAAGAAAAACAAAACAAATCAAAGCAAATTTAAAGAAAACAGAAACAGTTATTAATTAACCTCTTACACTATAGTAAACCATCGATGGGCATTATACTGGAAATATAACAAAATGATTAGCTATAAAAAAAAAAGTATAGAAGCAAAATGAGACATATTTACCTTTAGGTGTCTTTGGAATTGCTGGACAATCTTTAACAAGGCAGTGGACTGGAGGGCTTCAAACTCCTGAGCAATGAGGGACAGCGCCAGCACTGATGGCTGTAGATCAGAAAAAAGAAAGACTTATTAGCTGCATGGCTCAAAGTGAATGCTGCTATGCTGTCAAATTGTCTCCTGAGAACAATCCTTACTTTTGCTTTAGAGAAAACAAGCCGACATAAGCAGG